GGCTACTGGTTACTTTCTCAACTAATTTAAAATTTTGTGTAGGACAATTTAGTATCCGCCACCACCATTGCATTAAGTTAAAGCATAGACCTGTTTCCCAATGGCAACAAAACTAAAGCTATAGCAAAAACAGCTCTACAGTCTGTTTGCACCTGTTCTGATTTAATTCCATAGCCCTTAGAGTAGAAGCTGGAATTGCAGAGCAGCCGAGTATTAGAAAAGATATCAGTCAAACCCCTGAAAGAAATCGGTGGTATCAGACACTATGTGCAAGGGAAACTAAATTCTGAGTACAGAAAGGTTATATTTCAGCATGCAATGTTTTGTCCCCAAATATATAGATATGTTCACTCCTCTATGAACACAGTGAAAATCAAATGATGATTTAAAAAAAGAATATCAAATTGGATATTAAAGAAAAGCATAAACACAATCCATGAACAAAGAGGTGTTTCTTCACTGCATTGCTTATTCTGCCCAAATATGACCGTAAATATTCAACACCTCAACTCAAGCGGAAGTAAATGAATATAGTGATATAGCTTGCATGTAAAAGAGGAAACTTGTGCACTAAAGGAGAAATAGTTTTGCTGATTAGTCCTCCCATGCACCCAGGTTTATCAATTGGTGAGCATCTGTGAATAATTTAATAGGAATATAATCTACTGTACAATAACACGTCCAAGCCCAAATACTCATTCATTTAACCCTCAACATTCACAAGATCTTTCAAAACGATGTAAGAACTTCCACATGTTCATCCAACCATCAACATTCACACAACACTCAAGAGACCTATCCAACAGTCACAAGACATGTCACACATTGACCATTCACATACAGGCTTCATGAGGTCTTCAGTAAGCTGACACTCACCATTCTTCCTGAAGAAAAAACCCCAACAAAAAACCTCCACGACTGAACACAGCAATCTACTAGTTTTCCAAAAAGACAGCCCACTTTTCTGAACAGCAAAACCTGTCGCAGGAATATTTCTTTTTAACTAGAATTCCCAGCACCACAGTCCTGACAATGTCTATTTCAAGCAGAAGGAAGAGAGATTTGTTTGACAAATATATCAATACAAAAAATCTGACTGATCTATACCATAGACAAGAAAGGAATGTTTACTCACCACAAGAGTGAGATAATCCTTTCACACTGCTACAGAAGAGCTGAACTGGGGCCATTTGGGAAAGCGCATGATAATAATTGTAACACCGACTACCACCCTCAAAGTCACAATGATCACAACCAATTATAGTACAACTTGAACACAGGTTGGAGGCTTTGTTCCATTTTTTAAAAACACCTAAGTATGGTTGGTTTTCTCCTGCAGAAGGGGGAAAAAACAACGAGCAAAGAAGAAAGTTTTTGAGAACACCACACATCCCTAGCTACATAATTCAGTCCATTTCTGAGCCAGGATCCCTTGACCCTGTCAGTCAGGGTCAACTGCGACTACTTCGGTAATACCTTAGAGAAAGATGAAGGTTCTCAGTAAAATATCCTTCCCAAAATGGAACCAAACTAACATCCTGCGTGAGTATGGTGAAGAGCCAAACAATTTCACCATAGATTCTGGTAACAAAAAGAGGTGAACTGTTGGAATCCAACTCCCAGGCTTTCTATACATTCCTATTGGAGAGCCAAAGACTGGCCGGAGCAAGAAAGTGAAAGGGGGGTATTAAAATAAAACATCTTCCCAAAACCAGACACAAAAAAAGCCTGTTTCTTGTTGCATAAATTATAAAAACATCTACATAAACCAAGAAAGAAGTCTTAATATATTTAGCCATAACTACAACTATAGAAGCATAGATTCACTGATTAATTCAAGCACAAAAAAGTTTCCATTCGCCAACCTATTCCACTTAGAATGACCTATGAATACTGACCAGATAATGCAATATAAAATTAAGAAAAACATGAGACATATCAGACAAGGTCTGACAAATTCACATCCTAATATCACACGGTTGCTCCATAACTAGAGCAAAATGTGAAACTTCTCAATATTAAAACATAACATCCGACCAATTATGTAGCCCGTACGCAGTTAAAGAAAAACCGAAATGCCTGTCTCAGATTTATGCACTTTGAAAATGGCTGCACTTTAAAAAATAGTAGAATTGAAGTGTATACATAATGAAAAGCAATGAAAAACAAAGATACAAAGAACTGATATTTAAAGTTAAATTGTATTGAAACCTTTATATAGTCAATAACAAAACATGATTCAGTGAAGTACGACAAGATTTCATTTGTAATTAGAAGAAAATGGGCACTGCCAAGCAACTTAATGAAGAAGAATAATATGGTTCTGACAAGAATTCCACCCAGTCTAAAGGTGTACCTTGTTCTGCTCTTACTTTGATCAACGAGTAGATCTTATGAAGCTAAATGAGCCTACAGCTGAAACAAAAAAGTGAACATAATTGTATAGTGGGACAAAGTGCTTGGGATGGAGCAACGTAGCAACAGCTGCCTTAGCCAGCAGGTCTCACACTGCTGCACAAGCACGACCAGGCTCTGCACACCAGAGTATTGTTGTAATGCCCAAGCATTTGAAACAAAATCATGTCATTATGAAATGCAGAGTGGGAAAGAAACTAAAGCAACTCTCTCATTTTGATATAATACCAGCACACACTTTAGAATCACTTTTCAACACTTACAGATTCGTTGACATTTGCGTTGACTATTTTCAAATATAGTTAAGGGGAATTACTAAATTGAAATCTTTCACTTATTTTTTCATGAAAATATTTATATATACAGACTTTAACATTTTTCTTTCCAATTAAAAGACATACAATACACACTACATACAAGCGCACAGAACACAGCCTAGAAACTAAAGAATCAGATCACGAAGCTAAGAAGACCTAGTCTCTACTGATGACCAATGCATGAAAAGCTTTAATTTCAAAACCTGTTTTGACCTTCCACTTAGCTAAGTCTCCAAACCGTACTATGAATGGTAAGCATAAAAGAGCTGTTATCATTCATACTCAAGTTTTGAATCTAGCATCTGAAAACTGGACAAGATTACAATAGCAGGATGGCATCTCTGCCACCATAAAAATTATGCTTTATAAAACTATCCTACACAAAGTGGAGGAAACAATCCAATCATATGAAGGCCATAGCAAAGCACATTTCAAACTGACAACTATTCAAGGCAGCAGCAATGAAGTGATATGAACAACTTCTCTCAAATAAACTGTTTTGTTCAGTACTGTTCCCAACATTTTTTTTTTATCTGCCTCTCGTTATTGATTTAGCTACTAATTTCAAGAAATATGTATTCCCACCTTTGGAAAGGAGTTTTTGTCAAATTATACCGCTAGATCACAAAGATTCTACCCTAGAGTGCCAAACAACAAAAAATAATCTGGCTGCACAATAACTGTGTACCACCATTGATTCAGAAAGTCCCTGACACGCTGTCTCTGTCTGATGGAAACAGAGTTCACAGGAGGCCTACAACCTACTCCAATAAATCGGAACTTCTAGCCAACAGTAGCTCTCTTACTGACACAACTAACAGTAATATCCCAGTTCTAGATAAAAATATTGTCAGGCTATTAAACAGTGTCATATAATGGTCCTACTCCGGCCGAATAAGAAATGATTCAGTGGTACAGCATTCTAAATAATTGTCGGCTGTTAGAATTACTACACAGGTATCCAATGCTACACTACTGCCCACTCTACAGTGTTCTATACCATCAGATGAAATAATGGAGTTTTTTTCAAAGGAAAAATTCTACTTACATAGTACATTCAACCAACAACACAATAGTACAAGAACGAATGTACTGAAAATGCAATCCTTACAAAAAACCCCCCCCACCTCAAAACAGATAACAGACATAACAACTGATGAAAAAAATAATCATGATTCAGACAAATGTTAAATCAAAAATTGAAAACAGATAAACACTCTCACGCATATCACAACTTTGAGAGGACACTTGATGTTCATTGCACAAAAACAAGAAAAGCCAATACAAGAACAGTTTATGAGAATCAACTCATTAATTAGCTTTACAAAGTGGAATGCACAAGACTGAAGTGACAGCTATCAGACATACCAATAGCAGGGCCTAAAGAGATAGATAGAGAGAGGGGAAGAGGGAGGGGGGGGGGGGGCGAGAGAGAGAGAGAGAGAGAGAGAGAGAGAGAGAGAGAGAGAGAGAGAGAGAGAGAGAGAGAGAGAGATGAACATCTTCATAATACTGCCAGGACACAGCACAAGAAGACTAGGACTGGATGCATGCACCAGAGGTTAACAAAAGAAACTCCGGACCTTTACATTTGATTCTAGACAAGACAGCATACTACAAATTAAACTCAACAACACAGCAAACAGTTTGCATGGATTAATCTAAAGACTAACAACAGTGTTTAGTTCAGTTTTAGTAGAGGTTTTACGGCGCTCGCAACTGCATGAGTAAAAACGGTGTTCACTGAAGTGGTGGTTAACAAAAGTGAATCAGCACGATAACAGCCACAGTTTGCCACGAACAGATTAGGATAACAACACATAAGAAAAGAAGCTCCCGTTACCCGTCCGCGTTGTACATGAGGAAGGATCAAGGAAGTAGAAGGCTATACCCAAAACATGGTCCTGCTGAGGAATTTTACATCTCTTTGAATAACAAATTATTGCAAGTAGTGGCGATTGATTCATGTTTAATATCTACATACAAGAAAATTTCAATAGAGAGGAAGGACTTTGTATCCAAAGGCACACCCGCAGGCCTTGTGAGCATACCCAAAACTATCAAGCCCGTCAATATCTGATCCGTCCATGAGAAGAAAACATCCTCCCTTCCAGTGACAAGCTACTTTTGAGTTTAGACCTGCAAAAGCATTCACTAGTTGAGGGAAGACGGAAAGGCTGTCAAAAACGGTGCTCAAACAGCAGCCTTTAGCGATGTATGGAGTGTTGAGCAAGAATGCGTTTCAGTGCTTGATCAAACATAAAAAGCTGCTCTACAGTCAATGACAACTGTTGTTCTTCTTTGTTCTTTCTACAATTTCCAACTCTTCTGTACTTTGAGGCTTTTCTTGGATGAGAAACAAAATGTACTGTCCCAAGAGTTACAAATGTAATGTAAGAAGGGGCCAGAGGGATAAATAAGCAAGTACAAATAAATTACAGCATTATAACAAAAACATAGCCATAAACTCAATGCGGATGAGGAAATACATGAGAATGGAAAGCCTCAACAGAGCCTGAGACCACAGGCATAGTATAACCTCTCTTTGCATCATCACATAGCAAAAATAAACAACAACCCAACAAATAAGATAAGAACCAAATATCACTCCACACTCATGACCTCATAGCCACAGTCCTCACTCAGGCACGCACACCTTTTTTTTGTCCATACTCGCCGCTAGCACACCAAAGCACAACAACTTCCACTCGCACAGTTCTTCCTCACATTCACTCCAGTCAGTAACCACAACATCATCACTCAGTGTCAGACGTCGAAACCAGTCTCACACAGCCCATAAATCTCATCTCTCTCTCCTACAGCGAACAGGAACCGATCGTTATTGCCACAGCTCTGCTGGGAATGTGTTGACCTCTCCCATCTCGTCCACTGTTGCTCCATTGTGGCTGTAACTGATCTTCAAACGCATGCGAATGGCTTGCTGAAAACACAGAACAAAATTGAGATTAAAATAAAAGCGATTGTGCGTGTTCATCATGGTATACATCATATTACACTATTGATCTACGAGTGCACTGAAGAGTGTGGTACTACCATGAGCTCATTAACAGGAAAATACAGTCAGTGTGGTCGAAGAACAAAAAAGTATCGAATGTTATCAAAGAAATCGGAATCCTAGCCTACAAAGAGCAGCAATCTTATTTTCAATGAAGAAAAAACTTATTCTGTGTTCCTAAAACATTTAAACACAAACTTTTCTTATAGATGTAACTGTCAGTTTGGATGGCTTACTTTTTGCGGGTTGTTGAGCTGTATGACTTGTGTGACACTGCCTGAGTTGATGGGAGCAATGACGTTACCTGAGGGGGACTGGAGGCTCAACTGGAATGACTGCGGGTGGGAAAGGCAGAAAAGTATTAAACACAACATCAAACATTCAACAAAAATAAGAACCAGTTCACAATAATCGACGTTTATCAACCAAGAGCACAGTTGTCATGTACACTGCTCAGTGATGAAAGCAGCAACATTTGCCACGATTTCAAAAAAAGGACAACAGTTGTACTGTAAAGGAGATGAAAGGGAAGATCACACAATAGCACCTACCAACTACCTATTTCACAGAATCAGAAATCAGGAAGACAAGTTTTCAAACAAGTATAAATGCACGCAGAATATGCATTTTTATTTTGCATTGACTAGCTGCCAGCAAATCCAAAAATATTTAAAACCATGAGGTGTGGACAAGAAAGAACAGTATCTTTAACAACTTCTTTACAATAGAATTCACTGACCATTGGCATGGTTTACACAGAGTTGAAGAAATATTACATGAGATTACAATGCCAATGCATGATCAGTGAGGTAAAACACATTCTTAATAAATATGAGAGCACACACATCTTGAAATTGTCAACCAAATCTCAAAGGATTTCCCTTCCCAAACAGAACATTGGAGGCTACAAACAAGAAGTAGCAAACCCCAAGAAGTCAATGCCAGCTGACAGACAGCTACAACATCATAGCCTACCTTGGGCACAGCGGCCTGAAAGACAAAGTCTGTCATTGGGAATGGCGTGGAGTTAGTGGCCTTCATGTTGATCACAGTCTGTACGGCCTCTGAACGTTGGCAGAGGAACTCCACCAGCAGCCCGTTCTTGTTGAAAGCTGTCACCGGTGGCAAAGCTGAAACCACAGCAAAAAATCTCGTTTTTAAAAAAAACTTGTCTCACACAAATAAAAGAGTTTGATTCTTCAACCATTCCGACAAAACTTCCTGCCGTAGTATTGGTTTTCGACCAATCAAAAAATTAATTTGTTAAAAAAGAAATAATGAATAAACAATTTAAGGCAAACAGAAAGGAAAAATAAGGACAACCAGTAAATTATACGGAGTGGATACTCGCCCGATGTCGGGTGACTAGCGCCAGGCTACTCGACCGATCTAGGATTTCTGCGAATGTTCTGGGCGAACGAATTTGGTCGATTAGCCCTGCCTGGCCTGTGGCTTCTGACCCATGGGGATTTCTGCGCATGCTCCTTTAAAATTCGCGTGATCAATTGCGCACGATTCAGTCACTCACTCGGTCACTCCTTGTCCTCAAAGTCAAGAGTCAGATCGGTCAACCTGGCAGCTAAATTATAATATGTGGGAAAGACTTTCCACAAAGTTTTAGAGACCTGAGTGAAACAATTTCAAATTTTGTCACTTTTCACGTGAACCATTTGTAATCGCAGATTGATCTTTGGTGTAGGATTTTTTTTCTTTCAAGTAAAATTGGATCAAGCCCATTGTGTGTGCAACATCAGGGGGGGGGGGGGGGGGGGGCTACTTGAGAAAAGAATGAAAAAATAGTCTGGATACACTTTATATAGAATCAAACCTCGATATAACACCACCCTTGGGACGAACATGAAGTCTGCCATCCTTAAATGTACTATTCAGGTCTCTCTCTCTCTCTTTCACTGTCTCTCTCTCTCTCTTTGTCACTGTCTCTCTTTCTCTCTCTCTGTCACTGTCTCTCTCTCTGTCTGTCTGTCTGTCTATCTCTTTCACTGTCTCTCTCTCTCTCTCTCTCTCTCTTTGTCACTGTCTCTCTCTCTCTCTCTCTCTTTGTCACTGTCTCTCTCTCTCTTTGTGTCACTCTCTCTGTCTGTCTGTCTATCACAGGCAGCACAGGATTTTAACTGCAGATTATGAGATCAATATACAGAAAAGGACCTTACATTATTGATTCTCTTTACACTACACGAGTTTGGTTGTTTTGGCTATTATGTGTGGCCTAAATAAGGTGGGGTGGGGGTTCGCGTTATTCAAGTTATATTACAGGCCATGTCATACATGTGGCCTTTTCTTTATATTATTTTTTTTAAAAGACTTCCCCCATTTAACTTTTCTCCCAGTTAATCAGTGGCATTCACGGGATCTATAGACACCAAATATGACTGGACTTCCATTCTCTTTCGCCCTGAATACATCTATAAAGAGAACAGTACCTCAGAAAGACAAACTTTTAGGAAAGGCTCATAGATTTCTATAGATCTAATGGTCTTGTTAGATTGTTACTGGTTACATTACTAACGGGAAAGTTTGACTCTGACTGCAATTATCTGACCAAATTGACATTATATAATACATGTCATGTATGAGGATGGGACTGGCTATAATGTGTACAACAATGACTGTTTTGTACCGGGTCAGCTTGAGAACAGACGCAGAGAGAAAACGACAGGAAACAATAATTCTAATAACAAACACCCCCCCCCTTCTCTCTCTCTCTCTCTCTCCTGACTTGTTTGTTTTCAGTTTCATGTATCGGCCCAATCCAGCCGTAGTGGGCACCTCATGTCTCTCTCTCTCTCTCTGTCACTGTCTCTCTCTCTGTCTGTCTGTCCATCTGTCTCTCTCTCTCTCTCTCTCTCGTGGGAGAAAGAAGGTCCACTTACTAGACTAGATCTAGGTGACTGGCTCCGGGTGGGCAGAAAATGCCCACCCGATGTCGCAGAAATCCCCTCTGGAATTCGGTCAACTAGCCTGACGCTAGCCACCCTAGATCGCGCGAGCAGCCTGGCGCTAGTCACCCGACATCGGGCGAGTAGCACAGGCTTAAATTATTCAGCAAGAAGGAAGCAGAACCCACAAGCAACCCCCTCCAGCTGAATATAAGTAAAAGAGAAGCACATCAACTACAACAAAAAAAGAGCTAAATTTCAGGATACACTGTTCAAAAGAAAGGACATTTTTAAAAAGATAAATAATGTCGTTAAACCCTCAAAATCATAAACATATTGCTTGAGCACTTCAATCATTTGCTCTCAAAATTCTACTTCAATACACTTGACAATACAAAATATCTCCAAAAACAAAAAGGAAACAAATGTATTACCACAGCAATATTTGATGGGCTATTACAGCATCCATTACACATTTGACTCTTTTTGTTTACCATTACAGTATTAGGTTGGTAAGTTCACCAACACATAAATCCACGATACATTTATAAAATTCAACACTGCATCATTCTGAAGAGACAGAATTTTAGATCAGCTAAAACATGTACATATTTGTATATTGACATGAGGTAAAAGTAAAGTTGGAACCCCCCCTTCAGAACTGACTTGACCAAGTGGAGTTAACAGCAGAGTTGGTATTTATGTCTTACAGGAATAGCAAACAGCTGTGTGTGTGTGGGTGCGCGAGCGTGCACGAACGTGACCATGTGCATGTATGTGCAGCGTTCGTGCGTGCGTGTGAAATGATAGCACAGATTCCAACTTACATGACATTCCATTCATAACATTGTTCGTGGGAGCAGGGGACTGCATGAAACCATCTATCAAATTGTTGTTAGAGGCTGGACTCAGGACTGAAAATATATTTTTTTAGAAGAGGTGAGTTCTCCCTAGAAAAAACATGGCAAGGACATATATAAACTTTTCTCAATGCAAGAATCGTATGCCATCTTTCAAAATGGCATTAGCAGAGTCTTACACTAAGCAGTTGATATTATAGTAAAGGTTGCATTGACCCACAGCTAGGCTAATGCTATAAACAGCTGTCAGAATCAAACTAAGATAAGCAATATTCACTCACACATAATGAAAAAAAAATAATTCAAAGATGATGAAAAAGACCTAAACATTTTTTTCATGAATGGCCTCGACATGTAGAAGTTCAAATAATACTCTTTCACTTCAGTGTTTCCCTTCACCCAGGAAGATAAATAAGCACACTTTTCGAGTAAACACCCTCAAGGAGAACACAGGAGTTTGTTTACTTGCTTTGTTCGTTGCCACTCAGGACATCAGCGTCTTTCCCAACAGCTCAACAGTCACAACACATTTGACAGAATGACCCAATCGAATATATATAAAATCAAATCAGACCACAGGGCTAAAGACTACAAACTGCTTTAGCAGCAGGAAGAGAAAAGAATCAACATAACAAGTCAAGACAATGGACGTCGTTAGCAGCATTGACGCTAGGAATACCTGTGCCAGTCGGGGCTGCTGGCGTGTCCGTGGTGAGATCCCCCAGTAGATCCACCAGGAAGTCCGTGGTTCCACCACCACCACCACTTTTGCTCGTTTCTGCACCAGGTCCGTGAGGCTGTGACACACCGTTGGACAAAATATCCAAGATGTCGCCATTCTGTGGATGTCGTGAAAGGAACTCATGCCAAAGGGTTTGAGAACACATTTTTTTTTGAACGGACGAAATAGCAGAGCTTATCAAAATGTAACTTTCAAGCTCCCCAATTCCAATGGTTTCCCCAAACTTAGTCATATTATATGACAGCTATTTTACATACTTTCATTCCCAGTGTTCCCAAAAGACAAAAGCAGAGTAGTAAGGAAAATTCTATGCCAGGGTCTGGGCAAGGTCCAGAGACAGCCCCCCCCCGGATGATGCAGGGGTAAAAAGTCAGCCTTCCTTGAAGAAATGAAATTGTGTGGTTTCAATTGGCTGAAAATGGCATTTGGGAGCCTGTTTGCAAATTTTTACAGACAAAGTCGGTATGATAAGGAAGCAAGTGCGTAACTTTCACGATGCACATATTTCTCCATTAGTAGCGAAAGACTGGAAGCCTGGATTTCACTAGAAAGATGTTCAAAATTTAACATGGCTGATTTTAGTTTTCAGACCTAGAGGATAGAAATGACAGAACAGATTTACATTATCAAATCATCAAGTTCCAGTATTTTAATTACTTTCCACAAAGCCCTCGAAATATCACTGTCAGTGGTTTCTATAAAACAAACCAAACATCTCCACCACCACTGAATCATGATTACCACTCACCTCTGCAGGCGGCGTGATGGTTGCATTGTTGTGTGCGTTTGCCCTGGACACAGCGTCAGTCAACAAGTTCACCTCATCTTGTCCTTCTGAGAACTGATCCTCCAAGCTGTGGGGGTGAGCCTCAATCAACGGCATGTGCTCCAACAGAGCTGGCCTGAAATGTGACAAATGACTCTTAGCCTCGAGATAAAAACAATTCTGGAACGCTATTTGTTTCCAATAAAAAAAGTTCAGACATTTTAAAAAACTGCACTCATACAACAAAGCACACACTTCTGTATCACGTACACATCTTAAAAACAACTGAGGAAAAAGTCCTTATGAAAAACAGCAATCCATTCTGCTTGCACACTCAAATTACAGCACATTGAAGGTTGCCACTGAGGAAAATATTCACACCCATGTCTATGAGATGCACGGCAAAGAACTCCACTTCAAGTATTTTTAGTTTAATTTTAGTAAGAGTTTTATGGCACTTGCAACACAATAAGGTCATATAAGTGCCAAAGATTAGAAGTTACAAGAGAGTAACAAACACAAAAAAGAAGGAGGGGAGATAAATACGATAGATGTTTGACAGGAAAGAAGGAGCAAACCGCACCAGAGCACCCGCCAACTACCCACAGGTACTTTTAAAATGTTTAGAAAAATTGTTGTCATCAAGGCAATGAACGTAACAAACAGAACAGACAAAAATCAAACAAGCCAAGACTCATAAACACCACAGATTTCCTTATTTCAACACAAAGAAATGGGACAAGGTAAAAGAGCACACATTTATCCTTATTTTTATCAGAAAACAACAGATACTGACCTCATGTGATCATATTTGCCAAACAAGTTGGAGTATTCCACTGATCGCTGCTGTAGTTCCACATTCGTACTGGATCCATATTGGGCCAGTACTTGTTTCAATTTCCTGTAATACAAAACATTGAAAATTTAAAGCTGGCAAGTTGTGTCTCCCAGTGAGTTAGCAAGTCTGAGGTCACATTTTTCCAGAAACTGATTAAAACAATGCAGAAAAGAAATTAGAAGAAGACGACTGTATGTAGTACCCACACAACCATGTTTAACGAAAAAGCAAATAATTCAGAGTATAAAAAAAACAACAATAGAATAACCTTCGCAGATAATCTTTCTGAAAAACAACTAGAGACGACAGGCCATTAAGTAAAAAAAAAAAAAAAAGGGTGTGTAACAGACCAAAGATCACATCATGAGAAATATCTCGCATTATCAATACATTCCATTAAAAAAAATAAAAAAACACACTGAAAATATCCAAAGTTTTAAAGAAAACTAGAAAACTAGAATCCGTCTTCAGATAGAGAAAAAGATGTTATAGCTTGTTCACTTTTGTCTGGCCACGGTTAAAACAAGGTAAAATGAAATCGCTCTGTTTAATCTTCTCAGATCTTTGCATACAGTTGCCATAGCCAATAAAACCAAGGCAGGTAGGATTAGCCACTGAAGTCTTCCAACCACCTGCTAATTGGAGTTTATAATCACGGAAAATTCTCCATGTGATTACAAAAAGAGGCAAGTTGTACAATACTGCTCTTTTGCACATTAACGACCACTTTTCGTCTCCAGCTGATGAGCACAACAGGAACACTAAAATGAAGTAGAAGGAGTCGATCACACCAAGGGTGCTCACCAACCACCTGCATTTCACCAAAAAAATCCAGGTTATGCAAATTACACAACAAACAAGAGTAACAATACTTACTGAGAGGACTTCGTATATCTTGAAGAGAGTTTCATCAAAGCTGTGATCGAATACTCTTTGGTGACAACTGATGAGTTGTTATTTGCCAAGACCTTCTCGAGAAGACTTATTACTTCATCCTCTGACACCTGCAATCATCAAAAAACAAACCCACGTGACCAAAAACAATATTCTTTTGTCTAATAACAAAATATGGAATTTGTATGCTTTGTTCCGTACATGCACAATATGAAGTCTAACATTTCTAGTTAACACCCTCACTGATATTGATTTAAAACATATAAGATGTACATATAAGTAAATTAATACCTTTCAATATTCACTTCACCTTCATTGAAATAACTTTTTAGACAAAAATACATGAAGAGTATTCCAGCTACCTCCAGTGGTTCCTCATCCTCCAAGCAATGTGAGTGGATGAGATCACCATACTCCCCGATGCACCAGGCAGCGACCTGCGCCAGTGGCTGTTCTGTGTAGTGCACGCGCAGGGCCCGGAACAGCTGCTGCACAGAGTATGCGTGCAGGCTCGATGTCTCCGACACCAACTGAATGACAATTGTCACTACGTCGCCTTTGATGTAGTTGCCTGCCTGGATAAACAAGGAAAACAATGAAAGGAAAATCTCAACAAATGAAACACACAAAATCCTGTGTCAAGCTTGTTCTTTTCCTATGTGGTAAACAACTATTACACATTATGTCAAAATTTTTGAATCATTAAAAGAGCCATCTTGCACAGCAGGAGGGGACCATAAAGAAAAAAAAGTATAAAATCAAACCTACTCTAACAACTACCTGTCCAAGACCATCACCTGGTCAAGCAACCACTTCCCCTATTTTTTATATTACAATGACAGCATCCAAGATACGTCTAATATAAACACTTTTTTACTCGACAAGACAACGGGCGGCTGTCTTGGACAATTTCAACTGTAGCCAAGGTGCCTGATAGGATTTGTCTGACTGAGCCCATTTTTCAGCACCACCAACACAATCAAGGCTATGTAACTCATTCACTTAGTATTCAATAAACACATTAGGACAATATTGATTTACTCATATAAATGAATGGAAGCCTTGATCACTCACTGAAAGTAGATGTTTTTACACCCCCCCCCCCCCCCCCCCCCCATAGACACAAATTAGATCATCACTCACTGAACAAGGAAAAACATGAAAACAAGATGGGACTAAACAGTTATACTTACTGTAGTGAGTACTTTGAGCACCGTGTCGATGTGCCATCTCTTATTGGGAGAATATCTAGGAACAGAAAAGAGGGTATGTTTTACGGTCTTGAAAAAAGCACCGGATCAGGGGGAAAGGGTGAGTAGGCGGGAAGGGCGGCATTTGCTGTTCCGAGGGATGTACTGTAAGGACAGGGGAACTGAAGGCACTGTGCTAGCATATTGTAACTGAGTGGGCGAGTGACTGAGGGTCAGATGGTGGGTCTGTCTTTGAGTGAGCAAGCAGTTTAGTTTTAGTTTGAATTTTCCTGCACTTGCAACACAAATGTCATAAAGTGTCGAAGATTAAAGTTGTCACTAAAAAGTAACATACAAGGAACAGATGTAGGAGAGAGAAGGACATCAAATGTCTGATACAAAAGAAGGACTGACCACACCAGAGCACCCACTATGGGAGCAGGTGATCATGCGTCCATGTTTGTGAGAGGGAGGTTGGGAAGGCAAATGACAGATAAGATGTACGCATATGTATTGGGAGGTCAGTGAATGATCATACGTGTGTGAGGAGGAACAAGACAGTATAGTAATTAAGAACATAGAAAAAATAAGATACTGTACAAATCAGGCCATTAAAAAAATCTAGATTAGAGAAAAAAGATAGCATAGTACTGTATTGACATGTCATAGTGTTTAGCAAACATTTGCTGACCTTTTCTTCAATTTATAGGTATAAATTTCATTCATTTGCCTTTCTATATCAGTCATTGAAAGTTACATTTCAGCAGAGGTGGAATTACAGCTTTAAAAAACAACAACATTTTATACAGATCCATCCCTCCCGAGAATGTCTCTTCCACAAGATAAAAGAGAACTTACTTGGATGCTGCAATGACAATGTTGGAACAACAGTCTGACTTGAACTCAGGGTCACAAGTCTCGAGGAAACTCAACAGCTCTTTCATCATGCCCCGCACGTTGTTGTGGTTGATCAGAGCAAAGGAGAGTTCTATGGCACGCCTACAATGCAACAATTAAAAACAAATTACCGAAAGTATCTTTATTCGGGATTATGTTTTCTTATTGCTATAACACTATAGCATGCAGGATCTGCTCCATCATAAACACATTGATATAGACCTGCCACAGTATGAAATCTCAAATTCAGGATCTCAGGTGGAAAAAAATCGGGATTAGGGGAACAAAAATCGGGATCAACAGCAAATCACCACGGTGACTGCCACCCTGATTAAAAAAATTTCCAGGGGTTCCGTGCCCTCTGTGTGTGTGTGTGTGGTTTTAAATTTTTAAAAAAATAATCCTGAAGTATCATGTCAAAAACTCCAAGTCTAAGTGTTAACCTCCCCCAAACCAATAAGCCCCGAAAGACACTTCAACCAGTGTGCATGAACTTTACTTGACCCTGACAACAGACGGTCCCCGACACACGCGGAACTCACACGCCGAAGTCATGTCACGTGATGCGAACGCGCGATTGAAACAGTTTTACTGACAGGCCCGACTAACTGCGTGTTCACACAAAACATTCGGATGAGCGACAGTCGTTTTAGGCTGACGACAACGGCTGAGTGTAGTCAGTCAGCCCAGTTAGTAGTGTAAGGGTTATGCGGTGTTCACACTTACAGGAGTAATGAAGCCAAATAAGACAAAACTCTTGTAAACATCAACGATGGCTTGACAGACTTCGGGGAGGAAATTACAGACAGTGTTGCAGGCCACCCTGAAGCCATACCTATTTCCTGTTGCCAGGTATCGAAGAGTAACAACCAGCTTGATGCCAGGTTCCAGTGCCTCCTTCTTTATATAATATAACATTGCACGTCGACTAACTTGGCGACGGGTCGGCGAGTTTGTCGGTGTGTGAAATTTTACTTGGCCGCTACGTTTCTTGGCTCTGCAAGAGGCCAGGATTCAAACTAATAGCTTGGCAAGATGATCACTGCCCTAAATTATTGCTCGACGAGCGTCTCCCTGAGTGTTCCCCGACACGATGTCAACAATTATGACCAGATGCTCGTCACGATTAAACCCAAATTTGGCATTATCTTATCGGGAAGTGCTCATCAACTCTTCTCCTGTATGTGTAAATACCGTATAAGAACGACTGTCGCTCGTCCGAGTGGTTGATATGAACGTGCGGTTACTTGACAACTGACGAGGCTTGTTTTGCAAGTAACAGCAGAACAACGGATATTGTTGATTATTTGTTTGTCGTAATTTGTAACAGTTATCAGGCTATCATCTGAGAATTCTGAGTGCGGGCAAAGATCCAACACAACTTGGGGCGAGTCAACTACTATATTCAGCATCGAGACTTAGGAAAATAAGGCTCCGAAATCCTACAGACAAAAAGTTCAATGAGTGATTCCCGCGACAGGGAAGAAGGCACAGTAAGTTTTTAGAAAAATCTGGCACAACAGCAGACTGGAACAAAAAATCGGGACATCCCGACTAAATCAGGATGAGCGGCAGGTCTGTTGATATGTTAATTGTTTTTCATACTACATTGTTGTTGTTTTTTGTTTTACCTCACACAGGAGTTATAACCAAGACCATGATTCACACAATACTGAATATACATTGACAACGTTATATAGAAACAGTTATATCTTGCTCAAATAAACTTGATTTCCATTATTTTCATCAAATGGATTTTTTTTTCTTTTTTGAGAAAATCTATGTAGTGAATCTGTTGTCATTGGTTAGCCAAACCCTGCATTTTCAGCACCAAATGATAAATAAAATGTAGAACTGTACAATCAAAGGTTTTATTCAGGGATGAAAAATCGTATGTCCATTTTGATATATAGTTAAATGTATTTTGTTAACACAGATGAGTTGCAGTGTCCTATTAAAAAATTATAACTCAAGATGTAAGGAAAAAACCCCCAAGAACTTTTGTGATCAAATGCATTATCACAGAAAGTTAACCCACTGGCTTCTATAATACCTAATACCGTATCCTGCTCACACTACCTTCGAATAGAAATGTCTGGATCTCTGAGACAATCCACTATGGTTGTCCTATGTCGCTGCACAGCATTGTAGTCAGCATTCACAACACGCAACAAAGTGTTCAAGGCAACATATCTGGGGAGGGATAAAGAGTATCAACTGATCACAAAATGCCAACACACTGTTAAAATTTCAAGGTGCTTCATTAGAAAAAAGAGGTACATCCACACAGTAAGGGTAATTTAGTGAAGGGAAAAAAAGTAAAAACAACAGAGAAAGAGTATGACCGACAAGTAGTGCCCATCAACCACTCACTATTTAATGCTTCTATTACCCAGCTTTATATCAGTTAAAGATAAGCTATTATCCACACAATAACAAGTCATTTAGTTCGCTGGAAAAAGCAGGGACAGTTAGAGGAAGCAGTAGGACAGTACAGAAGATGAGCTACAAGAGGTGCCCTCTAACCTTGCACTATTTTGCTGGGAAGAGTTAGAATAAAATGCTGAAGACAGTATAGCACTCCATGCAAAAAACTCAAAGCATTTTTAGAAAGATATTCTCTCTCAATGAATTCAAAGGGAGCAAAAACTGTTCATCTTTCATCAAAATAAGAAAAGAGAAAACAAGACATAAACCTAATTTTAAAAAAAAATAATGATAGGGAACTATGCATATTCATTGATGGCGAGGGTGATAAATCTTTTTTTTCAGCAGCACAGTCTACCTGTAAACACTATAACAATACGTCTACATATAAATACTCCTACCTCAAAAAAGCATTTCTCAAGAGGCTAAGCAAAGTTTAAAAGTGCTTGTGTGAAACAAAGAAGCATCCTTTATACTGATTTATAACTACCAACCTGATGTTCTTGTCATTGTTCAGAAGAAAGCGACCCAATATATTCACAGCAAGCACCTGCATAAGTGAAAAGAATATGAGTAAGTACAAAGAGACAAATATACCCTACTTAAAGATTAATCACAATCAGACTTGCCTACTTTAAAATTTGAAAATCAGTGACAAATGGTAAAATTATGTAACATAGTCTACCCAACCTAGTACCTAGCACGTATAGAAGCTAAAAAAAATCAGTTTGAAATCACAATTGTCAATAATTACTGGCAACTTGTATTTTCACTTTTGTATTCCAAGATAAAATACCCTGTTTAAATATATCCAGATCTAGATTTCTACGTAAAAACGATTGAATCGCACAATGCTGTTTAACTTTGTTCACTTCATATTACTATCGCCGTTGCCATTGTGACTTGCGAAATCCTAATGCAATAACCTTTTGTTTTGTTTTCATTTTCAACATCACCCTTGACCTCTGGCCTTTGATAAGGGCCTAGTCACATAAAATATTTGACATTGTCATTAACGAAAAACGAACCACAGCCTATTGACCGCCTGACACAATCGCGACCCGCTGAACTCCCCATAAACCCAGCGGCACGGTCGAAGGCAGCATGCGTGATGCTACGCGAGCCTATTAGGCCAGAGCTTTCCTGAAGAGAGCTAAAGTAGGTCATCGTTCGATTGCACTCATTAGCAGCATTTACACAATTAACTGGGTTCGAAGTTGTGCTCCCCAGCTACCCGACGTAAAAAAATGTTTTCGTTTTTTTTTTAAAGGAGGAAGTGTTCCGTAACATATTTCAGCTTTCCGTAACCGACATTATTTTTCCGTAATAGTAACATAACAGTAGGCGAGTCTACACAACTAATTCTACAAAACTACACTTGTAAATAGAAAGGCAATGAACTAATGTGTCCAAATGTAACTTAATTTAAAATACAAGAAACAATATAAAAATTTTGTATTGGATTCACAAACTTCACAGGGGGTACTCCAAGCAAAAGCATCACCTTCATCTCTTACAATTAGAAAATAAAATCAGTTCTTAAAACCAGCAGCTCTACAACATTCGGATGGACTCAGCTATCATACAGAACACAAAAAGACTCACAAAAGGATATCCATCATCACGGTGTTGTTTTTCTTATAATTTTTCAAATCATGATTCAAATACAAACATAAGGCACTAAGCGGGCAACAGTCTTCATCTCTCACCCGCAATCCTGCCTCTGACTGGATACCCATGATTGTGAGCACAATTTCATACAAAATAGCATGGCCGACATTCTTGCTGGTGTCTGTGTTGGTGGCCACCTGTTGAGAGAGATGTGTATGTTCATACATGTATAAGGCACTTAACACCCAAGAGGTTTGTCTATAACAAGATTAGTCCTTGAACAAATGAGACCCACAGCCTTGACTCCTTGGTTTAGCCTTTCTTGTGTCAATGGCTGATTCAATCAGATGAAATTTTTGTTCTGTGTCACGGCTGATTTAATCAGCTGTAATTTGAGTCGCTATTTGGGTTAGTTTATCCAGTCTTTTATATTCCTAAGCACTTCAACTCCTTCACAAATGAACTCTACTTCCTATTTACATTGTACGATCTGAAAAGGTAAAGATTACAGCCTTTACTTGCTTGGTTTCCCCATCTCAAGGATTTTCCAAAAGAATATGTTGAAATCATTTCATCGCATAATTTCTCCTGAAACAACAGTTTATTTGTTAGCAACACTTGGAAGGCATGGCTGAAAGGCTAAGAGCTGGATTGACAAAGAAACAAATACATAACATTTTATCTTGTCTGCAGTGAGCAACAGGATGACCAAATAGAAATACAAAGCAACTAGAAAATCTATACCCAGCAGCACAAAAATTCCTTTTTACTCTTAAAAAACACTAAAGATTGTAAATTCTTTTTTTGCTATAATATGTATTTAGAAATAAATGGGACTGCTAATGCCCAGCATAAAGTTGTTTCTGAATTTCCTTATATAATCTAGGCAATATTCTCACACGTTAGTTACACAGAAAGCATAAATTAAGATTACTCGTAAGCCGAATGAACATGAGGACAGACTGTGTGATACCTATATAACAGTACACTGTCCAGCACCATTTGGTTACTTATACTTATACATCTGGACAAGGAGGAAAGCAGACTGGAGTCTGTTATGTGTAGGATTCAGTTCCATAATTTCTTCAAAGAGCAATTAAAAAACACAGTTTTAGTTAGTTTTAGTAGAGGTTTTACGGCGCTGGCCACTGCATAAGGTCATATGAGCGCCAAGGGGTGGATGTCAACAGAGAAGTCCTTACAGGGAATCAGACTTACTCTACTCACCTCTCTAGCTTCAAGAGCACAAAGTCTGCTTTGACTATCAAGGCACCCCGGAAATAGTGGGTCACAAGAGTGTGACAAACATACAAAAGAAGTAGAAGAAAAATGACAATAGTGAGGACTAGGAAAGAAAAAGCAGGAATTCCCTGTTGTAGATCAGGCATAGTTATGAGCGTGACATTGATGAATCAGCCTATTTACAATTCTACTGTGCATGAACAAAAAATGTCCCCCCTTTGGGAATGGCCTAAAGACACTTCAGTCAGTTGCACCGCCCCAGGGGATAAAAACACAGAGACATCAGCTTACTAAATATTTCTAATAATTGCACTAAGGAAAAAGTCTAGCATGCTCATCTGCGTTGTGAAAAAGTCACATACCTGGGCCAGGATATCGTTCATAGTTTCACTTGCTTCAGCATCATTTCTACCCAAAATTCTCAACAGTCTGAGAATTTTCACCTGAAGCAAAAAGCAATGTAGAAAGCATTAAAATTCATCTTAGAGTCATTGAAATTTAGGTAAGAAAAGTCACAACCGACCTCAGTCAAAAGACAACCCAAGTGTCTGGTCTTATTACAATTAAAAAACAAACCCAGGGACATAAATACAGTACAAGAGTACTGTACCATACATATCATGGGTCATATTTCGCATGTGCTTATTCAAGCTGAAAATGGGAAACCCGAGGAAGCTCTACAGACACATTATTTCCCAAATCAAATTCTAACTTGGCTAAAACTAAGCACAAATATGTACAACTGTTTAAATTTTCAAAATAGCATTGCGCTCTCGTGCTCCAAGTGTACAGTGTCTATGAGCGCATGGAAGAGGTTCCTAATTATTAGAATGCATGGACATATTATAAGGGGGAAAATATGTAATACAGTTAAAATTGCCCAAGAGTTGCAAAATGTCAAGGAGTAAAATGGTTGTCTTAGGCAGGTGGACATTTTTTACAGTGTCATTTGCAATGTGGAAAGAAAAAAACACAAAACACAAAACACAAGAAGGAAGAGAGATGTGGTAATAGGTTAATTGTCCCTTAGAGCAGGTTCCATTGTATAGCATTCCTGCTTTGCAGACTTTCTGGAGGTTCTGGACTATAAGCCCCCCTCCTTCTTTACTCCAAGCACTTATCCAAATGCTCTTCCTTCAATATTGACCAGTTTGTATTTAAAGAAGAATTTAGCAACTCATCTCTTCCATCTTCGAGTTTAAAAATTGCTCTTTTGTCAGTCATCTGCAAAATGGGGTCATTGAAATATTAACTTGCTGTATAAATTTTAAACCAAAACAAAACTGTAAAGATCTATGCAATCACGCCCTTCCACATGTTGGGTGTACCTGAAGGAAAGGGTCGCTGACACCAGACACATCATGCTCCGGGGAATAGCCAGCCATGATCAGATGCTTCAGGATCCTCACCAGCTGCGGTACCAACTGGAAAGCAACAAGAGACCAGGGCAAACTTTCAGATTACATTGCTGGCAGAAACTTGTGGCGGCAGGACAATGACAGGGAATGGACATCTGCTTTATGACCCTCAAAAGTCACAAGAGTCATTTCCTACAATTATTGACGCCTACCTATATTAGTTTTGTAAAGAATCTATTATCAATAAAGAGCAGCTTCCCATAGCAAAGTTTTAACTCTTTTAAACAACAAGAATTTTAAAAAATGATTACAAATAGCCTCAAAGGAATCTCTAAAAGTTACACTTACTAATTCTATAACAAATTTCTTGAATTTTCAAACAATAGATCATTTGAAGTAATTATTGTACACTCTAATTTTCTATTTTTTCTTGTTAAAGATGCAGTGGGCATAAGAAATAATTGAAAGTAAAATGTCTATCTATTAGTGCTTATGAAATGATATTTTAATCTAAAGAGCTCTTGAAGCTTTAAAAACAAATTCTCTGTAGCTGTTTCACTGAATCAAAAGAAAAAGAAAAATTATAAGTAGATCGAAAAAAGCACACAAAATTATCACTCCCAACAGGTGCATTAGTAAACAAAATAATCAAATTCAATTTTACGTAAGGTGCAAATACAATCCTTGATACCAAACCGTTATAATAAAAGGAAAATGGTTAGGTGAGAAATATTTTCTTAAAATAAATTCAGCGGCAAATAAGGCAGTATAGATGTGGACATGTCACTATTTTTAAAAAACTCACCGTGTTCATGCATTTCATCAAAAACAGATTAATAGTATTCAGCATCTAACAGTCTTCTACCTACATCTTCCTTCTACTTTACACTTTCCATGTACAAATTTTACTCTAAGCATTATCCCCCCCCAAAAAAGAAAGAAAGAAAGAAAAGGAAAAATTTGGCCACAACATCATATGGCAGAGAAAAAAATTAAAAAACAAAACCAGAAAAAAAAAAAAAGCATTTGTAAGCACATCAGGATCCTTACATTCTCTACTTGCAGTCAGACCAGACTTTAAAGCGCATGCAACCACAATATTAGGTAACTCCATTAGGAGACTTCATGTTATTCAGTTTAGTGCCTAAACCCACAACAAATTTGTGATCTTCTGGCTGATAAAGTCAGGCTTTATTTAACACACAAAAAAGCTGCACACATCCTGTGATACAAGATAAAAAGACTACTCACTCAAACTATTTCCGACTTCAATGAAACTGAATTTCAATTTTACTACATCTAATAGATAATAATTTTGTGTCTCTCAATTCATCTAGGAATGAAGTTATAGGTATTCCACTAGCTAATTCAAGAAAAATTCATTTTTTTAAAAAGAAAGAAATAAAAGGAGAAAAGTCACTGTGTCCGAAGACAAAATAATGAGAAAAAAGAGAATGAAGTTGCACCTCTGAACCTCTTAGAATATGCTCAGTAATGTTTTAAAAAACGATGGGGAAAATTTTGACCAAATAAAAACACCAAAAAAAGTGTGGAAATCCAATGTATAAATTCCCTATAAATACACAGAACACTTGTAAAAGCACTTCTACATGATTAAAAAATAATTGGTAAAACTTACTTGTAAGCAGAATTTTATGGGGCAAAGCTAGCATCATTTCACACACATTTTTGATCAGAATGAGACAGTACTTTGGGTAGTATCCAATCAATTGCACAGAATACCGAATTCCACAAAAGTGGTGAACTGGCTGGAAAAATGGCTTACACTACAGGAACCACGGGAGATAACTAAAATCTTTTAAAAGATTGTCACAGCACTTTGCTAGATAAGCAGGCACAGGTGAGGCAGGTTGCCTAACGGAAGCAAAGGGTCAGGACACAACTGGCCTTGTAAACACAATTTTTTTAAAGGTATGTACAGCTATGGATTTCACAGAAATACTATGAAAACAAGAAAGTGTACAGTGAAGTTGTCAGAAGAAACAATTTTGGGATTTAAAAAAAGAAGCACAAAGCTGACTACAAAATCAAAATTGAAAACAGGAGTTGTCAGATTTCTTTACGTTTGCCGTCTGTGCGCTGACCTTTCTGAAGTGATGCAATGTATCAGGGCTCTTCTCACTCATCTCTGTGATAAGGCACACAGCCGTCAGCAACACGCCTATATAGGGGAACAAAATATAGCAGGGCGCAGTGAATATCAAACAGCTGTTGTAAAATCGACAGTTGAAAACGGTTCCCTCACAGAAAGAATAATAGTAGTCTATGATGAATTTGCTAGGCACTTTGTCTTCAAAGCAAAGGATGCGGGCAAAATAAAATATATAGATATTTTATCGAACATAACTGTCTTTCTGATGGGATGTACCCAACACAGCCAAGTTGAATCTAACAGGCAGAGTTAACCCAGTCCCCCTCTTAAATGAGCTAAATTGTATCACTTTTTAAAAAAGGGAGTATTAGTGCAATATTTATTTCTTTTCAGTCATAATTTTGTTACTTTCTCTTAACCTTTCCACTTGTATTCTTATACTGAAATGTAATTAAAAACATTAAAAAAAAAAAAAATGAACCAACCAGGCCAGAACTTTATCCAAGACGGAATCTCCCTGCTCCACCCTTGATAAATCCCTCAATAATACATTTGTATTAAACCTTCACAACCTGTAAATGGACAAAGAAATTCTTCCCATCCGGAGGGTCTTAACCTGTCGTAAACGGAAAATCCCCTTATTTGAAACAAAACTCCAAACTAAGTTTAGTTTCATCATGTCCAACTTTTAAGCCACACCAATAGGCAAGGAAGGGAACCTTGAGCAGTGCAGATAGTCGGGGCGGTGTGAGTGCGAAATCTGAGGAGTGAAATTTCACCACTGCCTGTCACTCTGCTCATACCACCGTCCGGAGAAGAAAAGTTCCTCGAATCATTACATGCTCATTTAGTCATGGTTTTCTTCCTTATAACAGCATGTTACAAATGATTAAAAGACTTGTGACTTACTTTATTTGGAACTGATTTCATGGGCTACAATTAGCAAGGCAAACAGCGAAGGTGTGGAATGGGTTGAATGTGCTTATCACATCGATGCGTCGGGGAAAGGACAGAAGCAATGAAGATGTTCAACCGTTTTGTTTTTAACAATTAGCATGGCAAACAGTGAAAGTGTGGAATGGGTTGATTGTGCCTATCACATCGATGGGCCGGGAAAAGGGCAGAAACAATGAAGATGTTCAACCATTTCTGTTTTTAACTGACCAAACATTATTCTTAATACAGCGCAAGCACTGTTTGGAATAGATTAGAGTACAACTGACTCATATGGAGGGCCCTCTCCTGCCTCTACACCCCCTCAAGATGGTAAATATCTAAGACAGAATCCTTTTCTGGCTCCATTGCGATTCCGTCTTCGACCGGTTCGACTGCACATAATTGTAAACCACTTTTCAAAAGTATTCCAATACATGCAAAGCAAAAATACTATTTTTGAGGAAGTAATGTCTTCATTTTTCATCACAACAAAGTGAAACATTCCAGCAGTTACAACAGTGAAAATCTTACCATGGTTTTTCTCATTGAGAAGAGATCTGGTTGCTGGTATGTACATCTCCATCAAGTCTGGGACTTTGCGAATGATGCCAAATGCACACAAGATGGCCTGGAAAACAACAAAGGATTAAAAGTGTTTTATCTTCTGATATGAATAAAATTATGGAGTTACTGAGAATCTGTCGATCTATCCACCCTCCTAAAGTGACAAATCTAGTTGAGATTTAAAAATATGTAATACAAAATAAAAGTGTGACCACAACAGTCAATTACATTGCTCACAAGATTGTATCCATCCCTTTGTTCCTGAACCCCCCAACCCATAAAAAATCTTAGAAAAGCAATGCTACTCGTCAGATTATAACACAGAAATGGAGTGCAAAAACAAGCTGGATGACGTCTAAATAACCCCCCCCAAAAAAAAAAACCCATTTAAAAAGCAAAAGAGCAGAGACTTCAAATCAACACCAAGAAAAACACACAAAAATATGAGTAAAAGATTTTCCTTGAGATACCCGAGCACTAGAAGGAGTTGGGCAGTGAGTCAGAATCATACCTTAGTGCAAGGAATATATTCAAGAAATAGAAACAGCAGACAACAACAACCTCCCCCCCCCCTCCAACATTAGGAACACAAGTACTTCAGTCAAAATCAAGTGTGAACCTTCTCACCTTCTTCTTGATGTAAGCGTTGGAGGACTTGATCATTTTCTCCACCTCACCCGCAAGATCACGGCTCATCTCAGTGGAGCAGATGGCACCCAGGGTGCACAGGGCCAGACTCTGAATGTATTGCGTCGTATGACCAAGGTCACTGTAAACAACATAGACAGGTAGGTCAGCATGCAGGACTGAGAAATTACAACCTGAATAATCAAAGCCAACGACCAGCAGGATCGCCAATTGCAACAATCTGATCATAGCTTTGACTGAATGTGAATAAAACCCTACATTATTTACAATTGCAACATAGAAAGCAAGTGGATGACACTTATTGGAGTAAATTAGCATATGACTTTAAGGAAATGAGCAAAAAGATTATGACGATAGAAACAAAGAACAAAAATAAGCAGTTCCTTTACAGAATGATGCAATGCATTTATTTAAGATCTTTAAACAAACTACTTGCTAGACATTAACAGAAAAACATACTGACCAGTCAAAATGTGGCAAATGATTTCTAACTATGACAACTGTGCTGTCCATTTCATCATAATAATTTCCATGAACAGAATAATATATGGTTAACTTTCTATACATGACAAAATTATATCAACTTCAGACAATAGAATAATCTGAAGGCACTGTTTTAAAGTGAAATGCAATGCCTCAATGTTTATCTCCAACATAGTTTTAGTAAGAGTTTTACGGCACTTGCAACACAATAAGGTCATATAAGCGCTGAAGATTAGAGGTGTTACAAGAGAGTAACAAACACAAAAAAGAAGGAGGGGAGATAAAGACAATAGATGTTTGATGTGAAAGAAGAAGCAAACCACACCAGAGCACCCGCCAACCACCCAATATCTCCGACATAGCATGTAAAAAAAACCTTCAAAAGTTTCATATGTAAAAACCAAAAACTAACATACTTTTTCAGAGAGTTTGTGATGAGGAGATGAACGTCTTGTCTTTCATCCAGAAGAAGCATAGCTCCCAAGTAACCAATTCTCTTGTCTGTGAACCTCGGTGAAGCAATCAACTTCATACACTCAAGCTGCGGACAAAAGATTACACAAATTATATTAATGAGCGTCTGTAAAAAAAAAGTAACAAATCCACGGATATTTATAACATAAAAAGGAAACAGTCAACAAAAATGCAATCTGAAATGTTCACTGAAAATAGTCACAAAAGAATCGCATTGTGGTAAAATCCCTTTTACATTCTTCAACACTAACAAACAAAAATAGGTGCATAGTAGGTCATCGGATGGCATTCTCTCAGCAAGTCTGTGTCCAGAGTAGAAGCCAAAGTTAGAATAAAGCTGGTTCTTGATTTCAGATGAGCACAGATATCTTGTATATGCCGTGGATTGACAAATGAGCTCGACCAATTCATAATTCAAGTAAACCAAGATAATGAAAAATAAGACAGATATCAAGTAACATCAAGGGAAGTAACTGTGACTGTATGAAGGCTGGTTTCTATTGTCAAACAAGTCAATTCTTTCCTCTCTGCCATTATGAAAAGTACCACATATCGATCTAAGGATAGAAGGATGGATACTATGGGTGCTTTGTTCAGTGTCAAAGTACAAGGCAGGAAAACAGTGATACTGAGCGTTTCGACTGCAGTAACATTGTACTTAATTCAGATCACAAACATGGCAATAAACTTCCAACACTGGCCACAGCCAGAACATGCCATCTCCCCCTCTGTGTAATCCCTTCCAAATCCATTCCTTCGCTTTCAAACAACCATGCTCATACATGCACACAAACATAATTGTGCTGTATGGGGTATGAATATTGTTTGTCTGTATGTGTTTTTGTTTGTTTTTGTAAAGTGTTTTACGGCGCTCGCAACTGCATAAGGTCATATGAGCGCGCGGGATACACGTAATATTTTCAGTTGGTAGGAAATTTGGAATTTTGCGCGGGTGACGGCCGAAGCCTACTCTTATCAATTTTAGACCACCAAGGGATCTTTAACGTGCGCAACTTGCATACGGGCCCTCCGAGATTTTTCGCCCTTGTCCGAGAAGGCTAGGTGTAGATCTTTCCTACCAGAAGATCAGAGATGTGGCAGAAAGACAGCAGTAAGTAGGAGCCATTGAGTAGCAGTAGAAAGGCTGCAGAAAGAGTCAGGAGCCCAGAGGAGGGGGCAAAGGAGGTGAGGGGGTGGGGGCAGAAAGTGGAAATGAAAGCAGACAACAGGACATTGCTAGAGAGCAGGAAAGAAGGTGAAAGGAGGCAATTTTAGAGAAGAAAATTTTTCGGTCGCTACCCGGATTCGAACCCGGGACCTTTGAATGAGAGGCCAACACCTTAACCTCTAGGCCACGAGAGCCCCCTCTGTATGTATGTGTGTGTGATTGTTAAATTTTACTGTAAATGTAGAGCTTTTAACCCATTCACAACACACTAGAAAATGTTTCTCACCTGGCCAAAATGAGCTGGATAGCCTAACATATGAATGTAAAGCAGCTTGGCAACATTTCGACATCTGTATGTGTTGTCTTGGTCTCGAAAAGAGTCCCTGATTGTGGCACACTCACGGTTCACCACAGCTCTTTCGTCAGCTGCTGTACGAGAGGAGCGGATCTCTCGTATTAAATCTCGAAGCCGCTTTGGAGCCGGCATACTCACCGCCTGAAACAGAAAAATTAATTACAAAATGAGCAATCTTTCCTGTATTCATTAACCATTTTAGTATCGATTCATCCTTCAGCTAGCCAGGGGCTGTATTATCTTACCCCTTTCATTAGCACTGCACAGAGGGCAGCAAGTTGATTAACAAACAACATTGTACTTATGGAGCAATTTATTGGCAATGGGTATATACAGTGTGAACAACTTCGTACAACACAGTAATATAACTTTTGTCTTAGAAAATGTTCCATTGAATTGGAATTGCATTTTTGGGTGGCTCAAGCAAAATGATATAATGGTAAAGCTGAAAACAAAAGCATGACAGACGTTTCCAAAATAAAGTCAGGCATAGCAATAATCAATGTGAATATCATGTTTTGATGATAAGTAATAACTAAATAAATGGATTGCAAAAGAAATTTCAAAGTAGCAGATGATATTTAAAATGCACGGCAGGAAAAGTCGCGTTTCTCTACATTACTTCAGACTTCAGAATCCCAAATTCCTTGTCAAACAAAATCAAACTTACCTTTAAAACATTCATGATGTGGCAGGGGTGCGTTGCATTAAATCAACAGATAGTATGTGTGTACGTCAAATCCTGTTTTCCAGTGAGAGAAATAACAACAACAAATATATTGCACCAAAAAAAATTTTAAAAATTGTAATAAGCTGAACTATCAATGACAATTTTTTTAAAACAATTGTTACTTTTCCCTAGTTCAGAACATTTTTTCAGGACAGAGTTAGGTTACATCTCAATCAGGGCAGGCCAATAGATATATAGAAGAGAAGAAAAGGACACTTTGGACATAAGGAAAGACCAAGGAGAGCAAACACTTCTACGTCTACAATTGCTTCCAAAGATTCAAATCAATAAGAGTACATGCATGTATACACATACGACTGCTGACAATTATAATCGTCTCCTGGTAGTGCTCACTTCATAGAAAGAGCTTTAAAACAAACATGTGTCAGACTTTCTATGTATCTAATCTAGTCTTCAAACTTAAGTCTTGCTAAAAAGAAGTTAATTATTTGTTTGTTTGTTTGGGGGTATGCATGTCAGAAGCAAAATCATCCAAGTTTTAGGAGGATAGATTTTTTCCCTGAAAGTATAGAGCTGGCTATGAAAGGAGGGCAACCAGGAGAAGATTATAATCGTCAGCAGTTTATGTAGGTTATTTTCGGGCACCCAATCACATGCAACCTGGCAATCACGATGAATCTTTCACACACCAGCAAGTTGTTTCTGACCCAGCTTCCAGCTCTAGTATTTTATCGCTAGACAGGAGGTAATTTTTAAGTCCATTCATAAAATGTACTACATGTAAGAATTTGAAATTTTACAGCAATAAAGAAGACGTGGGAAAAAAAGGTACTACACACAAAAATTTGAAATTTTACAGTATTAAAGAAGACATGTGAGCACCTGCCCAGTCGAAACAGCATCTCCTCTTAGTTTTTGAAAAACAGAAGAAAATTGCGCAACACAACAATCTCTCTGGATCTGGAAATCTGTCGATATTGTATGCATATATGTGGTTATTTCTGTCTTTTTTTCTGATTGCTTGCCAAGTTTCATTCATTTTTATCAACGGGTATTCCAATAACTATACAGAGAAAAGAACTACTTCTGATCCCAAACTGCCCAAAAATTACTCCCAGGGCCAACGCACAGTGAGCTATTGGAATTGCTACAAAGTACAAATCGTACCAAGAAATGTTAAAAACTTTTGAAATCACCACTGACTGATGAAGAACCACACTGTGACTGTTACCTTTTCAGCAACAATTCAATATTTCATAGTGTTCTTACATAATCAGGTCCAGGTTGATAAACTTGTAGAATGGCATCCAACCCACTTCCCCTTGACTTGGATCAACTTATACCAGAAAACTCTGCCACTGGAACGATCAGGGTTCTCACTCAGCAAGAGGGAACCTTGAACATATATTGACAATGTACTTCTTAATTTAGACACTTTTATTCATTTAATTATTTTATGAATAATATAAGATGGCGTATCCCCTTCCTTGTCACATATTTCCAAAGTCTGTGGTATAAACACCAGTCTGAGAGCAGCATTACAGACAGGGTACTACTAATACTATAATACAATAGTAATGGCCATTACAATGACCCATTGAAAAAAGGGGTGTATACAAAAAAAACCCTTTGGCTTATAACGTACTCTCAACAGCAATGTTCACTTTCAGAAGTCATGGGGTCCCATTAAGCATTTTTACGCTTTACAAGCTATGTCTAGAATGTACTTGAGTAAAACGTATTTGCACTACACTATTCACTTTTCAAAGGATTTAGAGTGACCAAAAGTCTATATAATTTATGATAAGGTCTAAGTTTGTACTTCGTAAGAAAAAAGAAAGATGACAAAAAGTGATGGTTTTACTGTTCTCTGGAATACGACATAATCAGCTGCAGTGTAGAGAGGGCAAGTTTTTTCTAGAGTAGTTTTGCTGTCAAGGTGAACCCTTGCATCCCCCCCCCCCCCCAATCAAACAAACATATGTGCACACCCATGCCATAATCCTTTGCTTTCCTACCCACAAGTCTGTTTGGCAAAAATAGAAACCCATTAATGCAAGAAGGTCATCATTCCAATAATTATAATTGATCAGCATCATAAACACCATTAAATGATCTCCATCCCCATCACATTTATAAATTCCTCTGTCATGGATTAACTCACTTGATCCTGAGCTATTTTTCACCCAAGAACCATTGCAGCCTGACATTTTTGGGGTATAGAGAAACGTTTAAAACAACAAAAAGACGGTGGTCAAAGCTATCAACAATTTTTTTTTTTAATGCAACAAGAGAAAGAAAGAAATGCTCTCAAAGAAAAGAAAACTGCACTTAATTTGTCCAAATAGTTGTTATTTTATAATCAATATTTTGAAATGGCAATTTCAGAGGGTTACGCAATTTTTTTAACGCTCAACTATTGCAATGCAGGGGTGACTGACTTGGTCCGTTACAGCTCAAAAAGTACCGAACATAACTTCACCAAATTTTTAATGAAACAAAACAAGTCGGTTAACTATTGGCGTGACACTTCTCGTAGCTGGTAACCGAAAAACACAGGAGATATCGAAAATTTGCGGGTGAATTATTGGACCGGGTCCTAGCGTAGGTGACCTAACTTTCTCAACCTCGGTCTGCTCTATTTCCGGACCAATCTGAATGAAACTCGGCAACCAATCAGAAAATAGGGCAAACTAATGAATATGTGGACGTTGAAGTTCGTACACATAAATTAACGTATACTTTTGGTGTCAGGAACACTTTCGTATCGGGTGTACCGAAAACTATAAGGGGTAACAATATAGTGTAAAGCGCATAGAGCCTGCTGCTGAGCGGGGATATGCGCTATACAAATGCTATCTATTATTATTATTATTATTAGTGTGCTCAAATTTGAACGTTCTGTGTCCAGTAGTTGTTTAGACCCGATCATAAATGCACGACTATCCCCCTATCTAAAGCGGCTTCGCGCGGAGAACGGACATTTTCCCCATCACTCTCACGGCAAATCTATGTGACCTACAAATCCCCGCATGACTATTCCGAGCCCGTTCATTGGTCACTTGAAATAGGGCAATGGCGGGCGCGCGCATCCAGTTGTTTTTCTCTCTGTTCCCCTGAAACATCGAAATGGGGGCATTCTCCCCTCGGGGTGTTCGCGTCTCAACAGGGAAAAATAATTATTAATTGTACTGCATGCTACATTGAATTAACTTATCTTTTAAGGTTGGCATGGTCTAAAGTCATCAAAGAAAGCTTTGCCATTATTTAGTCACGCTGCCAACATATTATTCTTAAAAAGATCCCATGTTGTGATACAATGCTATAAAAAAATAAGGACTCATCCCGACACCCCTTTTTCGCAAAATCGTAATACTCACAAAAAATTAAGCACTTAATTGTAATTACAACAAAATAACTACGAAATGGTTAGTAAATCTGACAGCAGAAATGATTTCTCCCCTCCAAAACACATCGGGTAGCCCTGTTTCTACCTGACACTCCAATTAATTACTGAGAGGTCGATTATCTTACAGAATCTGCTACAGCATGGTCCACTGTTTAGGAGTATTTTCCTATGGCCACCTCGATTCTCACCCCGGGTGAGAATAGCGCAGGCGAGTCTTTTCGCTATTCTCACCCGGTGTGCGTTCACCGTTATAGCCTAGATCTAGGCAAACCAATTTAACGTTCACCCTGAACCACAGAATTCTACACTGTGATAACAGAAAAATTGTTGGCTAGAATTCTGTGCCGTGAGCTTGTACGTTCCATCACTACTGTTAGCCTTAAAGCGTACAATTTTGTCAGTGGGCAGTGGAAAGAGAGACAGAGAAAGAGAGAGAGAATAGGAGTAGTGGGAGAACTTCCGGGCAACTTTAATTGTGTTTTAACATCATTTTTTAACTTTGTTTTGGTCAATTTGATCGTCCACACCGATAGACAGTATTCAGAAAGAGACAGAGAGAGAGAGAGAGGGGAGGAGTAGATCTTGCGAGAACTTCTGGGCAAAACAAAATGGCGACCCGCGTAGTTTGGCTCGATTCGAACAGTAAAATAGCCATCTACATCTTTGAAGACGATCAAATTAGCTTACTTTTGTGCTATAACGTAATTTTTTCTTGGCTTTTATCAATTTGATCATCCACACCGATAGACACAGTATTCCAAAATGAGGAAAAGCAGGTCTTGTTTCGCACCAGGTGAGAATAGCCTACGCTGGCAAGTCTCACCCGGCGGGGTGAGAGGTAGATCGTTTTTCTATTCTCACCCCGGATGAGAATAGCCACTTCCATAAAAAAGGGCCAAAAACAAGAAATTAAATTTTCATTGGCATTGCTATAGATCTAGATCTAGAGTAGGCCCGCATCACCGCGCTACTGTTTTGGTGCGCAACCCCCGGTCTCCTGCTTTGTTTTGGATAAGAACAGCGAAAACGAGGTCATTTTCTGTGAGCATGCGCAGAATGCAGCTTATTTCACTTTCGTTTTGGAGGTTCCTGTCAACACACGTGATTCTACGGTGTCGGAAAGTTTTGCCCCTTCATATTAATGGTTTTCGTAACCGGTATCGATCAATTTACTAAGCGCTTGAGTAGTCGATTATTTAGCACATCTAGCTAATCTAGCTCTAATGTATCGTAGAATGTATACTAGAATCGATAAATACTATCGCAGGCTGCTTCTTAATGCCCAGGAACGTGTTAGATAGGGTTGCGCACTGAAGCGGACCAAATTTGGGCAGTCCGTTTCGTGCGCAATATCGGCTTTTTTGCTATTTGGCATTGATAGTGTGGCTTCTAGGCCCTTTGTTTGTTTTACTTATTAAGTAAATTTCTCTATGACCAGCATTGTGCACTGAAACAGACTGTTTTCCTTCCATTTGGATGCATTATATTGCCATTGGAAGATGATAAGTTAATGTATTCATGTCAAAATTAATTAATATGGAAATATAATCTCCAAAATGTTCAATCCTTCTTTTCATGTCTTTTTCTTCTTCTTTTTTGCCCTTTTCCTTAAAGAATACTAGTCTAGGTATAGTCTAATTCTTGTTTTCTTCTTTCACTTCCTTGTGTCCACAGCACCTTTCTTTTTCAATTTCTTCTTTTCACGTCTTTTTCTTCTTCTTTTTTGTCCTTTTCCTTCTAAAATACTAGTCTAGGTATAGTCTTATTCTTGTTTTCTTCTTTCCCCTTCTTGTGTCCACAGCACCTTTCTTTTTATCCATTGTCAAAACACATACACAAGGTGTAAGGAAATCTCCTGTCAGGGGGCGCACAGCTCCCAAAAAGAACACGCCTAATTGACCTTGGCCTTCCATTATGGTCAGTACAGGAACTTCTTGCAAGGAAAAGAAGACAAAGCAAGGATAGAGAAAGATGAAAAGTGTCAGAAAAGAGCTAGATCTAGATCTAGAGCTGTAAACATGGCACTATTGCGCACCAAACAAGACGATATGTTGCACCAAACCAGAAACCTTGCGCACCAAACCAGACACACGTTACCAAACAAACACCACCACAACATATAGAAATTTTAAACTGCTGTTACAGTAATGCGCTACACCGTATAGAGAGGAAGTTTTTCTAACTTCTGGTGAAAAAATCATGAAGATCGACCTGTAACTTCCAGAGATATCCACAAAAGATCGCTTACTGTATATCGCACCACAGGATGTACTCTATATATTGTATGCCTATAGGGCCAAAAGCTGTTCCACACTCCAAGGTCTCAGCTAACCAGACTAACCACACTGTCATTGACTGACTAATGGTATTGTCAGTATTGAGGCCACTGGGTTGTAGGCCTAGTTCCAATGCATTTTCCAACCCAAATTCCTCTGCAGGGAGGGTAACGTATTGAATCAAAATATGTCAATCTATAAAAGAATTATCAAAAGTGGCTATCACTACAGTCTACAGTAATTTCAGTAACACCACTTCTGATCAGGTCACTCATTTTCCTCTAAAACTTGCTCAACTTTCAGTGTGAGTAACACTGTGGATGAGTAACTACAAGAAACATGATATGTTTGGTGAATGAACTAAAACCTTGTCACTCAGGTTTATAAAGAGACAGGAAGTGTCTCAATCACGCCTGCAATTCAGCAATGCAAATACACCTGAGCTGTAGTGTTGACTGTACCATGCCCAATTACTATTATTCAGAAGGCTGATGATGCTGGGAGACTGGTGTATTATTGTCAACGACCACTGACACTGTCTGCTGAGTCTGAAGGGGGTTGTGTACCGCTTGCTAGTATTTTTGTTTTCCTCCAAGCCTTCACTTTCAAACAGAGATAAAAGATAAAGTATGTGAGGGACAGTCAGTTTGGTACGCTGAAAATTTGCTTTTATAGGCATAACGTATCTAAATACCTTATACGATATGGTTTCTCAAAGAACGAACAGATTCCAGGTGACAGTACTCGGTTGCCCGGTTCCGTATCGGCCCTGCCTACAGGTCCTAAAAATGGCGTCTAACTCGTAAATACACTAATCATCCGCGACAATTATATAGTTCAATATACAACAGAGAGTAGCATATAGAATCAGTATAGATTTCGGCACCTCAAAAGAAATGTAGCCTTGGAATCATAAACTACTGTTTTATTCTATTTCCAATGGAAGTAACGTCTTTCTTTGAAAGATACGTGTCTGAGTCTGAGAAGAAAAATAGTCCGATGACAAGTTGGACGTGATGTCATTTCCTTCCATCATATGAAGGGAGGAGAACTCTCGGCTTCCACATATTCGGACCGGTTTTCAACTATTCAGACCAAAATTATATGATCCATTCAAGGGGAGTTTCCCAAAATTATCCCATTCCAAGATTATGAATGCGTCAGTTACTAGTACTAGATCTAGGCTTAGCCTCGTAATGACAACTCGTACTGACAACAGTTTATTTAAGTTTTCTTTAAGCCTGAAAACGGTATATAACTATCGATTTGAGAGTAGTTTAATTTAATAAAAGAAGTGACACACTTGCAATTGCAGCGAGGCCCCCTGAAGAGTGGAGATCGATGACATTCGAAACAATATCTTGTGCTTCTTTCGATTGGCCCGTAGGCCCTACATGAATTTAAAACGTTTACGCAAAAGTACTGCAAAGTATTTTGATAACCTTAGAATTGAATCTTTAATGTTGTCCTTTGTGTGACAGCCCTTTAAAACTTTTTATTGAAAGGGGGAGGAGGTGATTTTTCCATAGGCTTTGATTCCCGGACTCCCAATCACAAGGTCATGGGTTCGAATCTCGTCAGGGTAACGTCAGGGTCCCAACGTTGTATCTGCAGGGAAAGACACTTAAATTTATACGAATTTTCCTCACTTCACCCAGGTAGCCTACCGTGGCCGGAATGGAGAGATCTACCCACCCAATCAAGCCAAAGCCAAAGATCTTATTAGTGTTTTAGCGCGTGTAATCTGAATTTATTAATCTGCTGCTTGCACTGCATCTTTCCAAGGCAGAAGGGCTAGATAGAATCTAGACTGTTTCCGAGTGTTCTGTACACATGCAGTGTGTACACGAGGGAAATATAATTTTATCATATAAATATAACCCTTTGTAGCACTGTAGGCTGAGAGCGTGGATATAATAGGCTAATAGCTTTCTTGCTTAAAGCCGACAACTCCGATCCGAGTTTAAAGCCGCCTGCAGTCGGCCAGCTCTATGTGGGGCAAGTTGGAAATCATAAGAGAATTTTTATACCTATCGGCGCTTACTGAGTCAGTCTCCGAAATCGGCGTTCTCTATGTTTTCGCCCTTAGGCTCTACCCCCAAAATCTTATTCATTTCTTCTTTTTTTTAACTCCTTCAAATTATATGAGGTCAATAACAGATTGCATGCAAGTCATTGCCTGGGCCACTCTTCCCTCTAAAACAAAATTTACTATGATTGTGTGGACAGTTTGCTTCGAATCTCAAAGAGTTTATCTTTAGATCTAGAATCTAGAGGTCAGCCTGGCCCGCCTACCTTTTCCAAACGGCGTTCGGCTGTTTACAATTTTTGTACCTGGTAGATCTACACGCATTATGATGGTGTTGCCTGAATGGCACTGCCTTGACTGACAAACAAAACAACACTGGATCCGTCCTGTAGGATAGGCACAGGCTTGGCAGGCCTAGAATCTATTTAATTGTTTTGATTAGGCTATAGATTTTCTATTAAACAACAATTGCACCGCACTGATCAAGACACCGTCGAAACAAACAGTTCATAAAATCTGTATACAGTGTGGACTGCGGAAAGAGGTCTGTGTTCTATACTGCTGCTGTCAGTGTCGACTGAACTTCTGACTGACTGAACTGAAGTTGAAGGTGTGTGCGGATAACAAAAACTAATAAAATTAGTTTGTAATCTAGGCACTGTAGGCTGTAGGCTAGGCTCCTAGATTCTAGATCTAGAATCTAGATCTATTGTCATTTTTACTAGATTTTTTTCTAGATCTAAATCTAGATTCTAGATCTAGAAATCTATATCTAGATCTAAATCTATGTATATCTAGTATATATGAAAGTGGCTATTCTCACCCGCCCGGAAGTTCTCGCAAGATCAACTCCTCCCCTCTTCTCTCTCTCTCTGTCTCTTTCTGAATACTGTCTATCGGTGTGGACGATCAAATTGACCAAAACAAAGTTAAAAAATGATGTTAAAACACAAAAGTAAATAAATTTGGTTGTCTACAAAGATGCTACGGCTATTTAACTTTTCGAATCGAGCCGAACTACGCGGGTCGCCATTTTGTTTTGCCCGGAAATTCTCGCGCTACTCCTCTCTCTCTTTCTCTCTCTCTCTCCCTCCACTGCCCACAGACAAAATTGTACGCTTTTTGTAGGCTACAGTTGTAATGGAACGTTTGTTCACGGCACAGAATTCTACAATTTTTCTGTTATCACAGTGTAGAATTCTGTGGTTTAGGGTGAACGCAAAATTTGGTGAACGCGCACCGGGTGAGAATAGCCACAAGACTCGCCTGCACTATTCTCACTGCGGGTGAGAATAGAGGTGGCCGTAATATATATATATACAGCATCATAAAGCTTTGCCTTTACAGTACTTTACGGAATAATAAATTTTCAAACAACAGGCCTTCGAAGTTGGCCATTTGTGGTGTAGCAAGCAAAAATACCTCACTGAAAAGCCATTTACATACAGAATCATATTATAAGTCTGGGGATTTCTTTACGTTAAAATGCCATATTTGTTCTTGACTTGAAGATGATTTAATAAAGGAAGAGGCTAGCCGTACTTAAGTACGGCTAGACTGGCAGTCTAGCCGTACTTATTCGTAATACGATGGCTAGACTGACCATTAAAAAAAAAAATAAGCCTACTGAATTGTAAATATAAATTTTTAGTGTGCAGTACCTAAAGTATTGTATTTGAGACGAAACCAAGTGCCTTAATCACCCCTATTTTTAGTACTATTATCTTTCTATGTAGAGATATAAGATGCACACATCAAACTACTTGCTCATGCAGCTTGACCAACTTATTTCCTTGCCATATGCATAAAGTTTTCAGAAGAAAACATATTTTACCATGAGTAGTGGTTGATTTAAAAAGTCCTTAAGCAAACACCCCCACCTTTTGGCAAAAGCTCAGATGTATTTTAAACCTCCTGTTTTCTATGTTAATAGGGCCTAAGATAAGTACAGCTAGACTTCTTGGCTAGCCGTACTTAACTCACTTGCGACTGGGCCCTTTCACCAGTCACAAGCGTTGAAGACTGGCGTTTTTGGGGGTATTTCAATAAATCACCACAACTCTCAGAATTACCCTATTGTAATTATTTTTTTACACAGTAAAGTAACATGCAAGCTTAATCTAATACAAAAAACTAAAGTTGTGTAAGTCTAATCTTTAATTTGTATGATTTTTAAAAAATTGGCATGAATTTGATTTTCCGAAAAATTTCCAGAGACGTGACAAGTAGAATGAAATTCACTACAACAACAAAAGTTCAAAGTGTTCTGGTTTGAATTGTGTACATGTGCGAGTGTTTGGTGAAAATGTAAAAGCTGGTCTGTGCATTGATTCACTGAATTACATGAGACAGATGTACGGCACGACGTTGTGATTTCGTTGCGCGAAAAACAACACCGGTACTAGATCTAGTGCTAGATCTAGCCCTAGAACTACGACTCGGGCCGTGTTCGGGTACATGATATCCAGGATCCTAACTATTATTAGACACATCATATTCTGAGACACTAGAACTAGTAAAACGTACAGAAGTATAGAAAACGGCGAAATTATGTGATTCATGTTCATGTGACTTCTTCGACCGTTACTACGACGCGACTGTCGGATTACTATCAGCTGTATAGAAAAAAACAAAGAACCAGTTCCGGTCTGTTCAACCCCAGTTGGGGTTACTGTCCTTTACCTTCAATAACTTAAAAACTACCGGCCCCAGAGATACGAAACGAAGTCTAAGTAGCTCAGGCTTGGCCAAACAAGGGTACGAGGCGGGTCTCGCGATCGGTGTGTGATTTGTAGAGCGAAAAAAAAATTCCAAAGTTGGTCACGCAGGGCTTGTGAGACCCGTCGAGAGCGTCGCGGCGGGGGTCACGCAACTGTTGTGTGAGCCGTCTGAAGTGAGTTAAGTACGGCTAGACAGCCAGGCTAGCCGTACTTAAGGACGGCTAGACTGTCAGTCTAGCTGTACTTAATATTGATGGCTGAATTGTAAATGAAATTTTTAGTTTGCAATGCCTAAAGTATTTGTATTTCAGACAAAACCAAAAGGTGCCTTACTGACTTGCATGTATTTGAACCTGAATAATTACTAGATCTAGATCTAATGAGACCTGTGTACTTAACAGGCTTGAGTCGATAGGGTCAAACCTAGATCTAAGTACGGCTAGACTGGCAGTCTAGCCGTAGTACGGCTAGCCACTTCGGATATAAATGAGTATGGGTATTGTCTTTACTTGATTGTGTGACTGTTCAAAGCCCTGCTTTTCCTTGTTTTGCATGATGCATGAAATTTTCTATGTTTTGACTTTAGACTTTAAGTAAGTGAAATTTTTAAATCACAATTGTCCGATTTTGATAGTTTCGACAACTCCCTCTGATCCAATAAAGATCTACTTTCACACAAATTGACATTTTCTTTGGGGTACCTTCTCATCGGCATCGGTTTCTTGAAAGTTTTTCAGAATGTAAAAAAGCCTTTTCTGATTTGAGGGAAGATAAAAGACAAAGAAGTCAGCCTACAGAAACTATAAACTATTTCGCTATTTACTTTATAGTTAATTATAGTGCACTTTATACCCCTGACTGATGGTTTTTGAGAGTCCTCAGATTGACCCCACCCGTGGTTTTTTAACAAAAAATGAGTTGACCTATTAGGTTTTTTTTCCAGCTACTTGGTTAGAGAATACATCCATGGATATAATGCATGCTTTTATAAGTCCTGGTAACTAAGACACACTAGATCTTTTCTTGGCCGTTTGCTCATATATTGGGGAATTTCGAGGAAACTCCCTTCTCTAGCGGATCGAATAATTTTGGTGAACTGTTAAAACCTGTCAGTAATGATAATCTCAATGGGACCTGACTGATAGTTCTCCTCCCATTTTATATAATGGAAGGAAATGACATCCCATACAACTTGTCATCAGTTTTTTTTCTCCAGATTTAGACACCTGAAGATGTTTCCTTTTAAAATTAAAAATGGGGGAAAAAAACAACTTTTGCTTATGATTTCAGTCAGATCTGTAAGAATTCATTAGATTTTCAGTGTGTTATTTCTTGGGCGTTTCAGGTTTGTGATACCACACACCCCTCCCCCCAACAGTTTGTTTTTAACGTTGTTTTGCTTGTTAATTATTTTCTTTTGCTCTTCCGCCTACTTCATGTTGTCCATAGCGAAGTGTGGTTTGTTCATTGTAGGCAAAGGCCCTTTCTTTGAGTTTGAGTCTAGAAGAGCTCATTAGTATCCAGTGTAGGAGGGGGCACACTCTTTACCTAGTGTCTTGTCTTGTGTGTAGTTGTCGACTTGAATGGCCGACGAGTTGGGCGGCTGGTTAGCTCCCTGTGAGTCCCGCTCAGCTCCCCGGTCAGTCATGAGTTGTCTTGTCGGTGCAAGGTCATTGTTTACATGTTGGCCAGTGGCCGCTACATCAGTTCCTTTTTGATGATTTTTACCATTGTCAGGGTACGGTAAACCTGCAAATTTGCCGGGTCTGACATTCAATTTTGTTGTGTCCTTGTCTTTAATTCAGGCAAGGTCTGATGAACATAGCATAAAATTGATTAGATTAGGTCATCAGTCTTAAGTTAAAGGCGCCATGTTGTATGCAGTGCCGTGTATGTGGAAAATAGTGGCTTTATTTTGAGCCCCTTTTCAACCTCCCGCAATTCACTGTTTCTTTTAAAAGAGAGATGTTTTCTTTTTCTCAGTGCAATTGTGAACCTGAAGTCTTCGCCCGAGACAAAAGCTTTGGGCTTTGCCAGACTACAGCTAATGCTGTGACCACTACCAACAGGTACATATTAATTAGACACTTTTTTAGTTAATTCTCTCTGAATGTTTAGTTACCAACCATGATTTGTCAGTAGTACTAGTAGTAGTAAGTCAATACAACCTTTGGGCGACGTATATGGAGACAACAGAGAAGATGACAGAGAAAAGGGAGACTGGTGTCCCTTTTTTTCCCCTCACCTTCACCAAAGTGCTCCTTATTTTCACATCTGTGACCAGGTCTAGCTTACCTGACCTGTACTATGAATATTATATCGGTACACTGTAGTCTATGGGTGACATCAGTAGTTGTTTTTTTTAAATAGAAAAATGCTCCAAGGTGCATCCTCAGGACTGCTTTTACGACGAACTATTGGGTGGGCATATAAAGGTGTGTGTGTCTAGTGGCATCAGCGGCCTAGTGGTTAGGCTCTCAGACTCGCAACTAACTACTTTTGAAACCATATATAACAGGCCCGGTAATAACAGGGATCCGGAAATAACTGGGATTTGTTAAATCCCACAATTCCCCCTTTTTTCCCCCTATCCTTTGTCTCTATTAAAAGTTATCGGCAAAAACAGGGCCTCATCGGAGCCCAATCGGTTATAGTATAGCAGGGACAAAGGCTCTTTAACAATGTGTAACAAAATAAAAGAGTAGAGTAAGAGAGAGAGAGAGTAACGCAGTGATGGAGCAAGCCCACGCAAGCCATGCCACTGCAAGCACACGCAGTGGGTGAAGAGAGAGAGAGAGCTGCGGTGTGCTACAGACTTCGATCTAGCCCTAAGCCAAGCTATGTGCATGCGTAATGTGTCGTGCGCAGGCCTGCCACATGGCCACGAGAGAGGGCTGCGGTGTGCTGTTCGTGGGTACTTGTAGCAAGGCATACTACCCATGAATAAATACAGCTAGATTAGTGCACAAATGCTTACTTCCCTTGCATTTCTGATTTAACAGGGATCGGATATAAGTATAACAGGACGTTTTCTCTGTTCCCACCATCCCTGTTTTCATCAGGTTTCAACTGTATAAGGTCGTGGGTTTGAATTCCATGAGGGGCCAAATATTGTGTCTTTGGGAAAGGCCAGGCACTTTACACAAATTTTTCTCACTTCGACCAGGTGGGAATGACCGTGAAAGGTAGGCCTACTGTTAGTGTTAGTTTGTTAGTGCTTGAGCGTGTGCAATCTGCAGCTTGCACTGTATGCTTCCCAGGAAGCCGAGAATATTTCTGAGTAGTGTTCTCAGGTCTGCTGGGGTAATAATAGTTGAAAAGCTCATAAAGCATGATGTAGAGAGCGTAATGTACTACAGTGAAATCCTGTTTTAATGAGAGAGAGGGGACTGGTGTGAAATATCGTTTATAGCAGGATTCACGTTATAAGTATAAGTATAAAGGATCCAGTAATAAATTCAAGGGAAAAAATAAAGTAGGTCTAATCTATGAGTTTGGTGTTCTGTTCGTTTCTTTTTGTTATCTCCCCTGATGGTGATTTTATTCAACGTGACCTCTTGGTCTTACTTGATCAAAAATCGGATCCGGTTTCTTTCTCTAGCACTAGCGATGTTGACAGCTCGGCGTTGGTGATCAGAAAGAAAGGGCTCTAGGCTAACTCAGTAACTGGCCCGCTGTGTTGACCCCCACTCCACGACACCATATGGTGTTTTCCTGCTGCTTGCGCACATTAGGTACACACCTCACCCTGCCCATGTCACACATTCGCTCCATTCATTACAGCACTGTGTCCTCTCCATCCCTGCATTGGGGAGGCAGGGTAGGCCTAGACAATCCAGACTTGGCTGGCCTATCACACGATGGGCTCTGCTTGTCTTCGCATGCCACACCCTCCCCACTCATTCGCTCCGGCCTTCATTGTTGGCACAAGTGGGCTCTTCCATTCTTTGTTTCACTAGATCACCAAGTTTCTCAACTGGCGAGGGTTTACATATTCATATGTATAATTGGCCTATGCGCTGTGCACAGCAGCAGCAATATTCCGCTATAACTTTTTAACCGACTCGCATGTTTGTTTGATTGCGCTATAGCAGTATTTTATTTACAAAGATAAAGAAGAAAAATAAACGGGGGTTTAGATTAGTCTAGTGTCTTTTTAACAGATGTCTCGTTATTTCAGGACTCGTTAAAATTGAACTTCGCTGAAGTAATAAATGCAATATTAATAAATTAATAACTATTATTTTTATTCCTATTACTTTTTCAGCTCCCCCCCCCCCCCCCCCAAAAAAAATGAAAGTGACAAAGGTAGTGTTTTGTACTTGCCCAATCTGAGCCTATGTCGGAATGTGCCCCTTTGTTACTTGCGTCTTGATAATACTTTACTCATGCATGCGTTAATATCTTTGAACGAAGGCCACTGATTAATTTGACTGGTGGTACAAAAGTACACTGGAAACCTGATATAACAGGGATGGTGGGACCAGAGAAAAAGTCCTGTTATATCAGATCCCTGTTAAATCAGAAATGCAAAGAAAGTAAGCTTTTATGGACTAATCCAGCTCTATTTATTCATGAGTAGTTTTCCATTCCCTTGCTACAAGTACAGGATTCCACTGTAATAGTATAGTAATAAGTCCACTTGCCAAAAAATTGACGGGCGCCCGATTCCATTACTTCGTGACACCTGTTTTTATAATGATATCCACTGCATGGGCATTGGGCAAAACTGGAAGAGCTATATTTTGCACACATGACTGCTCCCAACTTAAAAGATGCAGTAAATTCCCTGAGTAGAAGAGAACAAATCGCTATCTTTCGCCTGCGAGCACAACACATCCCAGTGAATTCCTACTTAAATAGGATCCACAAGGATACCCCACCTGTCTGCCGTTGTATGAATACCAGGATGAAACAGTATCCAACCACCTCTTTGCTTACCCTGGGCTTAGCAACCTGCGTAGAACCAACCTGCTTGCCTCCCCAGATATCAGAAATACTTTTCATACAGCAACAAAACACACAGCTGATAAATTAAAAACCTGCAAATTCTTTGCCATATCGACAGGCGGAAGGGCTAGAACTCAAAAAAGGCAGCTGGATCAGAAAAGAAAAATAATGATATCCACGCCAGCTCTCGTCATTACTACCACTACTGAGTTTTCCAAATGATAAAAATCTTCAGTGGAGGGGGGGGGGGGGGTGGCTTCTTTGAGTACCAAAATTGTACAGCATGTCTTGTGGTTGTCCTGCTATTCGTTTACAGTCCAGCAGGCACATAGCAAAATCAGTGGGATGTGGAAATGTCTTCGTATGTATACAAATTTCACCCTGGTACAGATGTCTTTTAAATACATATATACAAAGAATATATAATATGTATTAGACGAAAATTTGGACTTTATACAGTGGAATCCTGTTATAACGAGAGGGAGGGGACCGGTGCAAAATGTCCTGTTATAGCAGGATTCTCGTTATAAGGGATCCAGTAATAAATTCAAGGGAAATAGTGAAGTAGGCCTAACCTAAGAGTTGGGTGTTCTGTTTGTTCTTTTTTGAATTTCCGCTGACGATGATTTTGTTCAACATGATCTCTAGGTCTCACTTGATCAAAAATCGAATCAGGTTTCTTTCTCTAGCACTAACAATGTTGACAGCTCAGCGTTGGCGATCAGAAAGAAGGGGCTCTAGGCTAACTCGCACGCAGTGTTGTTCCCCACCCCGCCACACCTTGTGGTGCATTGCGTCTGCTTGCACACGTCACACATTCACTCCATCTATCACAGCATTGTGACCTCTCCATCCCGCACCAGAGAAGTGAGAGGCATGGTGGTAGGCCTAGATAATCTAGACTGGGCTGGCCTATCACACGATGCATTTTGCCTGTCTGGGCATGCCACACACTTCCTACTCATTCGCTCCTGCCTTCATTGTTGGTTCGTGTGGGCTCTCCTATTCTTTGTTCCGCTGGATCACCAACTTTCTCAACTGACGAGGTTTATATGTTTAATTGGTCTGTGCGCTGTGTACAGCAGCAGCGATATTCCGATATAACCGACTTGCGTGACTGTCTGATTCAATGATTGCGCAATAGCAGTATTTTATTTTAACAAAGATAAAGAATGGAAAAAATGGGGTTTTAGAATAGTGTCTTTTAACGGACTTCTCGTTACTTCAGGACTCGTTATAAGTGGACTCCACTGTAATTTGTTTACAATGTGCCTGGCTATACTGTATGTAATAGATAGATAATACATGTTTTTTCACTCACCAAATTTCACTTTAGAATCCACAAATTAAAATGAATTTACTTTGTTTATTTTGCAGGTCCAACAGCTATTTTATAACTGGCCACCATGAGTACTGTTGAGAGTGTTGACGCCATCATTGTTGTGGGCCCTGTCTTGTGGAAATGTGTCAACTGTGACCTGTTAGCATCTCGACACCACAGTGTTGATGATCATTTGAGAACTGTGCATGCTTCCACTGCCACTTCCAGATTAAAACACTCTCTTAAACATGACAGCTCTTTATTGAATAAATGTGACATCCATGGGTGCTCTTGTCGTTTGATTAAGTCAAGAAGTAGCATCGCGAAAGTTAAGAAACGAAGAAGTTCTAGTGGATCCAGGACTCCACAATTTCTCCATAAAACGAACGGTGTTTTAGCAGTTGAGAGCGATGAAAATGATGATTCTGTTTGCAATGACGATCGTCTTCAAGATGATGGTGACGATGATGACGAAATTCCACAAGCATTAAGAGATATTGTGGAAAAAGCCATCACTACAAAAGAGAATGATTTGGAGTGTTGCAATGTTGAGAACAGAACTGCTTGTGATCTGGGTGATCAAGCACAAAGTGAAGTTGAAAAGACCAATGAACTCAAAGATAGCACAAATGAGAAAGTTGAAAGTTCCAGAGAATTCCAAGTTGATTCATCAGCTGACTGTGAAGAACCTAAACGTGGATTAAAACGTACTTTTTCTTCCGCCTCGGATAAAATGACCGATGAAGTGTCAGAAAAGGCGTTATCTGAACTGACAGATGGCATAGTGGATGGTTCTGATCTTCAAGATAACTCAGTGGCCAAAGTTTCTTCTTCTAGAGGTAGCATTGATGAGACTCGTGTTCAGGGAAAAGAGCAAGGGAGGCGAACAAGTAGCAGGGCAAACAAAGGGAAAAACACTCAGTACAGTGAATATAGAGTGGAATTTGTGTAGAATGATTTGTTATGTAACGTAGTTTGTTTGGGGTGTTTAGTTTATATTTTTGTAACACACTTTAAAGAATAATGTGATAAAAACCATGAATGTAGGCCCTATGTTGTCTTTATGACCAGCTTACCTGGATATTGTTATGCTATGTTTGCACACATGCGTACAGTTTAGCGCACACATAGCGAACATGCACAATAAATTATAAGGCAAAGAGATTTTTAGGTCCCAATTTAAAAAAACAAAAAAATCTGCGCACAGTACTTTCAAAACACACATATTCGCAGGCTCATATGACCTAATGCAGTTGCAAGTGCCGTAAACTAAAACTCTTTCTAAACCAATGCACACACATGGCATAAACAATGTGTAAAAGTGAAAAAACATTGGGATCAGCGAGGATAGATTAAAATATTACTGCAAATTTCATTTACCAAAGTAGTCGTGAGGGGGAGAGATTATTATTATTATAGTAGAGGGTTTTACAGCGCTTGCAACTGCATAAAGTCATATGAGCGCCAAGGGGTGGGTGTCAACATAGAATTCTTTACAGGGAATCAGACTTACTCTGCTCACCTCTCTAACTTCAACAGCACAAGGTCTGCTTCGACTATCAAGGCACCCCGGAAATATCAGGTCACAAGAGTGTGACACATACAAAAGAAGTAGAGGAAAATGACAATAGTAAGGATTAGGAAAGAAAAAGCAGCAGTTCCCTGTTGTAGATCAGGCACAGTAACATAGCTGCCCACTGTCCTGGGTCATCCGTATTTTGTACAGATTTTCTTGAAAAATCGCTGTTGTCCCGGAAATACGGATGTTGACCGACGGTCCCGGAAAATAAAAACTTGGCAAGCATACTTTTAAAACAGAAAAATTAGCCTTCTGTTGCTCGGGGAAATGACGAAAATTCGGGAGAGTTGGCAGGTGTGCAGTTTCGATAAAGTCAGCTGACACGCATGCGCGGCGCTCAGCTTCTTCATTTGTTTGAAAAGATGGCGTCAAAACGTTCGACGATGAGTTCTAAGTCCGGCTCTGGACCAAGTGAAGCAAAGAAACCGAAAAGGCAGCAAGTTTTTCTTGACAAATATAAGGTGTCCCTGATAATAAGTCGATGTCCCTGATTTTGAGCTAGGCTGTCCCTGATAGCCAGAGGAGAGGGGTTGGCAGCTGTGCAATAATGAGCGTGACACGAATCATCCCATTTACAATTCTACTGTGCTTGAACGAGAGATGTCACCCCCTTTGAGAATGAGGGGGAGAGAGCAGATAGAGAGGAAGGGAGAGAGGGACACATGGCACAGTATGACCACGAGTGTATGCCAACTACCTTTTTAGGCCGAGGACAAATGTGTAGGCTAAGGACGTGTTTATTGGATAGGTCACAGCCGTGTTCAGCGATAGATCAAGCCTACACACTTCAGCTGGGTGAAGGCCTATACTAGGGAATGTGCTGTTGTGTGAGAAGACACGTCTCTGTATTTTTGCCATGGGTGTCAGAATACTTCTTCTTTAGCTATACTATGTTAATGTAGTATGGCTGCACACTATGCCATTATTTGCTGGTGCTTTGCAAAGTTAGGTCTAGATGACGTTGTAGTAGCAGAGAGAGTGGATCATGACTTAGAAAAAGAAGCGGAGAGGTTTTTAGGTCAAGGAAGAAAAGACTGATCCTTGCAGAGGTAGAGTAAAAATCAGTGTCACAAACCGAAGTCTGCAAAACGTTTAGGCAGCCATGAATCAATCCAACACACATGTAAGTGTGACATAAGGAACAAAGTAGATGTAAAAATCTGACCCAATAATTGTCTGCGTGTTTCCCTTGATGATGACATGGCTTGAAATTCTTACATAAAAAGATTTCCGCATTCTGACGGTTAAATAAAAAACAAATTGTAAAAAATATGTGTGTGCTAGACTGTTGCAATTTGTATTTTTAGAAGGCATAGATTGTGGATTTTAAAGTATAGAAAGTGAAAGGTCCGTGTTATTGCACATCTTGAAATCCCTGAGAGAATTTTCTTTTGTGCTGGGGGAACACATTAATTTGAGAATGGAAGTTTGAGTGAATAAAACACTACCTGTAGTTTAATATGGAAGCTATTTTATATATTTTTTAAAGGGTCTTTGTACTCTTCTTTCTTGTCACTGCTGGCAGCTACAAAGAACATTTCTTCCTGGGGACACTATTGAATATATCTGAAATTGTAAATCTCCATTTACACTCCTGCCTGAATTTATCTGTAATTTTTCTATCTTTTCTTGCAACTGTTGTCGTGTGCGTTGTTATTTTATCTTTTTAAAACACTTTTCAGCCTCTGATTTCAAGGTGTGAAGTGATGAAAGCTATTACTGCTGTTAGCAGTACTGTATAACGTATTTAGTAAAATGTCTGCTTTTGTCATTTGATCAGACCCCAGAATTTAAGGAATAGAGCAGAAGGATGAGCCCTTCGATTAAAATGTTGTAGTTGTTAGCAACTTTGGCTTTTATCGATGCTGTCTTTGCTGTGTTGTTGTTTTTGGGTTTTTAAAAATAATGCTCAAGGTGAAAAGATACACAACTGTACTGTAATAAGTTGCAAAACAAACAGCACAAGAAAGATTTGTATTTTTAAACATTGCTACTGGGCATGACTTGCTCATCACTCTACTCTATGCTGACATAATGCAGCTAACATTGTTGCATTTTTCTGATCCCCCAGTCTCGTATGATTCTTTCTCCTTCCCATCAGCGCGGCCCGCTCAGCCAAGAAGCTGGTGGTCGTGAGAGATGATTTTCAACCTCCCCTTGTATTTCTTGTCATTTTGGTCAAAAAGCCATGTTTACGTCAATAAATTTGCATCTTCTGGTTATATGATACCCCTGAAAAAACTTGGGTTTGTTCTCTATTTGCATGGGTGTGTGTTTACAAGTTTTTGTGAATGTCCATTCAAATTTAAGAATGTTATGACATCTCAAAGTGCAGACATTTCACAATTTTAAAAATAAAGCGTTTTTCTGACACTTCAGATGTTCATAACTTTGTTAAAAATGAAGCTATATATATATATATATATATATGGTATTAAAATGTTCAGAATAATAAATTCTATAAGGTGGTGCAGTTAACTATGAAATCAGAGGGCTTTGAAATTTCAGTCTGTGGTACCTACATTAAGACAATTACAATACAAAAAAAATAAATTATTATTAATACATATTATGAACACAGTGCATTCTTAAAAATTCATTGACATTTATTCCGTAAAACTGTGGACATTTCACAATTTCTTATTAAATAGTATGTTGGTCATTTCTCTAATGTAAAAAGCCCGATTTGATTCATCAAAATGTTCTGTTTAGGTTGTTTGTTACAGGAGGAGGAAAAGAGTGTCTCCGGCAGTGCTGAACTTTGGAGAATAGCAAAAAATAGCTCATATTGCTTGTACTTGAATGTGGCAAAATCCAGTTTTTCTTTAATATAAATACTTTTCCACTGTGTAATATCGTAGCACAAATGCTCTAAAAAAAAAAAAAAGTAAAGGAATGCACTAACAAAGTTCCCAAATTACATTGTCTCCAACTCCGAAGATAGTAACAATGAAATCTATTCTTCCTGTAGCTGACTGTTTGCAATAGAAAACACTAAATGGTGAGGACATTCATTAATCACAGGACACACTGAGCCATCATGTCTCAGACTGTCTCAAGTTCACATTTCAGAACAGATAATTACCCAGGACCTCCGTACTCTGATAGTGATAAGGCCCAAATGCATAAACCATTCCTGTCCCTGAAACTGATCACAATCTTTGATAGAAAAGGTCAGACCCAGTCAATACGATATTTCAAAATTAGAAATAAGGCACTGCCAAGCCCAGCATTCAGCATGTCAACGCTACTTTTATTTATCGGTAATATTATTTACATAAACTATTTACAACGGTATTTGACAACATCAATTTTTTTCGAGAGATGCAGAAAACAACTGGAAAATCCGTTCCATTTTGGTGGGTGTGAGTTCCATCTCAGAGAGCTCATCCTTGATCTTGTCCTTCTTGGCTCCAACAACTCCGATAGCTCGCCGCTGAAAGTAGATGATGTTAACAATAACTGGCTTCATGTAAGACAAGATATCAGCTCTGTATGTCCTAACTCGATTAAGAAATGAAAATACAAATACAATGCTATACAATGTATAGGGCTTGGACACACTTCTGCAACATAAGAAAAATATGAAAAGCATCCTTCAAATTCAAATTAAATGTAGAAACTCTGTTATGGTGTTTTTAGCTCACTTCATAGTAAAAGTACAACTTGTTTGTCTCTCATTCAATAGGTCCCGGTGGCACGTGGCAAATTAAAAGAGCAAAATTTTTGTTGCACCTTCTCCTAATTCGAAATCTGTAGGACCAACAGATTTTCTTCAGTTCAACCAGGTTTTTGGTTTCCAAAAGTGAAATTTGATGCGCAAGTATGGCACCTCTCTGGCCCACAATCGACACACACATGTATTTTCATTTGTTTCTTCTGTTTTGCACTACTTTGGGGTTGATAGTGAAGATTTAGATGACATAACCCTCAAAATTCATTTTGATTTAGATAGGAGCCTTTCAGCGAATTGATAGGTTTTTTCCGAGACAAAGAAAAAAACCCAGGGGATTCTGATTTCTTTTGGTTTACTGCTGTTTTCGGACTGACCGTGTACACTTTAAACGGATTCCACTGTATATTGATAAATTTGCTTTCTCACCCTGTTGTCCACTTGAACAGGACTTCCGGCAATGGACATGAGCCTTTCACCAGGTTTCATCTCACGAATGTTGTCAGGTGTTGAAGGCAAACTGAGAGGGGAGGAACATAGAAAAAGCATTGGTTAAACCTGCTGAAAGTTATATATTTTAGGGGTTGGTACAAAAAATAGTTCAACGTATTTTAAAAAAACAAAAAAACCCAGCTTGATAGCTCATTACCTTCAAAGAGGTGAAGAAGTTGAAATAGTTAATTCTTTGATTTTGGTAATTAAGACTAGTGCCCCCCCCCCCCCCATGGACAGTGCCACTGACTGAAGTGTCTTTACGCCATTCCCAAAGGGGGGACATTTTTTGTTCTTATGCACAGTAGAATTGTAAATGGGCTGATTCAACAATGTCATGCTCATAACTGTGCCTGAACGACAACAGGGAACTGCTGCTTTTTCTGTCCTAATCCTTACTATTGTCATTTTCCTCTACTTTTGTGTGTTTGTCACACTCTTGTGACCCACTATTTCCGGGGTGCCTTGAAAGTCAAAACAGACTTTGTGCTGTTAAAGTAAGCTAGAAATTCTTAGAAAGGTGAGCGGAGTAAGCCCGATTCCCAGTAAAGACTTCTCTGTTGAGATCCACCCCTTGGCGGTCATATGACATTATCATTTATGCTGTTGCGAGCGTCGTAAAACCTCTACTAAATAAAATAAGATTAGTCATGAAACACAAATGTAATATAACAAAAAGATTTTAATCTGCAGCTAAGAATGTAGCCCAGATCATTGTAAAAAATCGGACAAGAACTTTTCACTGTACTCGATAATGACACAAAAATGGTGTGATGACAGGCTACAGCCCTCTTTAACTTTAAGCGTCCAAAAATGTTCTACATGTTAAAACTTAATGTTTGCTTTTTATTTGATTTGAAGTCATTGTCTAACAAAATTAGACAAGAGTACAGGCCAGATATTATACTTGGCTTTTGAAGAAGGGTGACATATAATAAAAGCTACATGTAGCCCCAATCAGCACTTCCACTAGGCGAGATACAGCCTCAACTCAATAAGCCAATCTCACATCTAAGCTAATTGGGTTACAAAACCTTATTAACCATTTAAGACATGGATCAATATTGCGCGGGAGCTGCGTTTTAATCGCCGAACGCGTGACACTGCTGTGGTATGCAATTCTGAGGTCTATGAGAGTCCAACTAATTCTACTGAAAATGAGGCTATAGCGAAAGTAGAAATTATCTTTCTTTGAATTTTTGAATGGTCAACATTGACCAAGAAATTGCGCGCGAGTGAATTTTTAAAGTAGCCTATATGATGAAATAGAGGGTGCAATGGAGTTGAAACTTGGGTCTGTCCAAGGAAACTTTGAATATATATATATATATATATATATATATATATATATATATACACATAAAAATTCAGTCCGTGAATCACCGAACAATGACACGTTGAAGGCTCATTTCTTGGTTCAGGCCTAGCCTGCCGTAATATCATATTTTTAAGTCACTAGAGTTGTTTATTTTTTTAATTTGACGAAATAGATGGGTAATGCATAAAAACTTGATAGACACAACCATAATGGGAGAAATAAATTAAAATAACTTGCCCAGTGTACCGCAATGGGAACTGGCTCATTGGAAGCAGTATTTTAAAAAGAAAATTTCTTTTAAATAAATTTTTTTAAAAGCATACAATATTTTTCAGACTATCTCCCTTTTCCAGGATTTCGGGACATGCATTTGGACAAATCTCCAGGAGCTAAATAGTTCATGAACAACCCCCCCCCCCCCATGCTTATTCGGGATACCTTAGCCCACATAACCAAACACTCCTCTGCTCAGAACCTGATAAGCTTATTAAAGGTTACAACGCTACCAGTAATCTTGATCTAGTCTGCTTTGTCTTAGCCTCTTAGTAGCTTTATTATCACTGAGTAGAATCTAGTAGACCTGCATGTGAGCCTCAACCAGATTGTCTGAAAATTTTGTGCATCCCCCCCCCCGAAAGAGCTTTTGTAGGTGTCATAAAAGGAAGGACTTCCGAGTAACGAGCGACCACCCCAACAAACACAATATAAAGAAGAGACCTAACCCTAACCCAAACCCTAGCCCCAAAAAAGAACCTGCAACGGCACTCATGTAAAAAGGCCAGCACAAGTCCAAAATGAAAATAAATTTTAAAAACCCTCAAAAACAAAAAGGAGCAAAATATGGCCTATACTACTTAGCAGCTATAATAGGGTTTGATAAAGTAACACAATAAAATCGGAATATGAATCCTCCATATAGATCTAGTAATCTAAATATAAATCTAGAATCTAGACCTAGAAGAACAAGTGAATAGGAATAGGAGGCCTTGAACGAGAAATCCGATTCCGATTCCGAACACTCGAACAGAGAGAGGGACTCAGCTGAGTCTAAGATTCTGAATAAATAGTTCACACACCTGATGAAATGCTTTTTACCAGCATTAATATTACAGCACAACCTATAATAGGGTTTGACACAATAGAATTGGAATATGAATCCTCCACTGGAGTCTATTATGATCTATAAATCTAGATCTAGATCTAGAACAAGTAAAACGGACTCAATCTAAGAATGAATCCACATGAACAGTCAACAAACGATCAAAATGGCCGCTCTAACACGAAACTGAAAGTAGATGATTTTTTTCATCGTCCTTTTTCGTGTTCATATTTCTACTCAGGTTCTGACAATTATGTCGGAAACGCCGACGTCGGCACGAAAACGAAAGTGCCGACAAAGCCAACGGGAGAAAAAGGGGGCACTGGCAGTCGGCCTGGCCTCGCACTTCAAACATTGACTCATACTCATACAGGTAGGCCTAGCGATAGCATTGGCCGGCTCGCGGGTCGGGTCGCCATTGTCGGATTTCAGACGATTGTCGGCAAACATGCAGGTCTAATCTAGGCCTACTAAACTGAATGCAGAATGTGTTGACGTGAGTTGAAAAAAGTCTCAATACAACACATAGATCAAATGAATCACATACTGGTACATGTAGCTCTAGAATAATGTGCATGTATCCATTTGACATAAATTCGTAACGTTTCTTTATGACACAATTTAGCTCCTGAGGATTTGTCTTGATGTGTACCTCAAAATCCTGGAGGGAGAGATGATCCTCTTAAAATATCATACTTGTTTTTTTAAAAATTCATTTTGTTAAAAAATTCTTTATAAAATGGTCGTAAAAAAAAATTGCAACTTTATCAGGAAAAGAACACTGCTCCCAACGTGCCAGGGCCAGTTTCCGCTGCCGTTTAGCATCGGCAAGTTATATATTTCTCCCATTATACTTGTGACTGTTGGGCTTACCTGTTTGTTTAATTTATTTAATTAAATTTTAAAAATAACCAACTCCTCTAGTGACTTTAAAAATAAATGATATTATGGTAGACTGAGAAATGGACTTTCATCGTGTCTTTGCTAGGTCAAGATTGCTTAAGGGCTGAATTTTGAGGTGCTTTCAAAGTCTCCTTGGATTTTTCTTAAGTTTTAACTCCAAGGCACCCTCCATTTTGTCACATTTTCTTTTTAAAATTCACAAAGCACTATTTCTGGGTCAATTTTGTCCATTCTAAAACTCAAAGACAGAAGAACAACTCTACTTTCGCCTCGTTTTCAGTCAAGTCTAATCGGACATTCTCCGCAAACCTCGTATAAATGCATACCACGGTTGTGTTGCGGGTTTGGCGATTGAAACACAGCGCAACTCTGCTCTAGGTGCGAATCGAGAGACTCCTCTCAACGCAGCTCTTTGTATTAAATGGTTTCTTAAATTTTCAAAATATCTAGTCTAGTATAGATTTCTACATGATCATATCAGTTGTACACTGGTACAGCTGCTGAGCACAGACAGACAAAATTGAACTGAATGAGATGGGGGCAGTTATATGCCTCTCTCTCTATATATAATCAAAATCAGAAGAAGTACTTACTTTGGATCAAACTTTGGTGTAATGAGAGGTGTTTGTCCCCAATGATTCCGATTGATTGTGTTGAGTGGGGTGGCATTTCTGAAAGCACAAAATGAAAAACATCAATTATGCATCATGCATTCCTATTAAAAGATCATGCACAGGAGTTCGCACGGCATAACTGGCAGGTAGCTGAGCATCGACCATAAAAACCAAAGGATAGTAGAGGAATAACACAGCAATGATATAACAACTACAGAGTAGCAGAAAATAAACAATTTCTGTAGAATGAGTAAGTAGAAGCATCTAAATACAGCATGCTGCAATCCTCTGTTCATTGACCATATCTTTGGCATCATGGTGAAATCAGGCGCTTCTCACAATAATGAAATTGAAGAAACCGCCATTTTCCCATCCGTTATAAAATTTTTAGCTCTATCCTTTTTTTTTTCAGTAGAGGGTTTTACGGCGCTCGCAACTGCAAAAGGTCATATGAGCGCCAAGGGGTGGGTGTCAACTGAGAAGTCTTTACAGGGAATCGGCCAATTTTTTTGTTTTTGTTGGTGGCATAACACATTCTATTTCCATTTAAAAACAAATTTCTGTGTGGATTTTATTGAAAACCGGTGACCAAAAAAAAATATTTTGAACTTGCAGTTTCTAGGGACACTAAGATTTAAGATATGGAAGTCACCAAAAACTTTGGTGGCCCCTTTCCTCGCTAATTTTACCACCTGGGGTCAGGCGACACCCACCTGATATCTTGATAGATAGGTATTCTTTTTTTCATAATAATTAAGTAAAACTAACAATTTTAAGATCATGACATGAACAGACTAGCTCTTTTCAACACACAGTTCAGAGAGTCTAAGGTCACAGAGAGCTTTAAAAAAGGCACTATCAAAAGTTTAATGATACTTTTTTCCTATTAAAAATAAAACAAACTTTTTCCAGCAATAAGTTCCCCATTTATAGCCATGGCAGAACAGACGCTTTTGTCACCATAAGCCACATAATTGATTCCCTACCATTCAGTTGTATTTTCTTTACTGAGATACTAAAGGAACTTTTTACTCGGTAGACATGTCCCTACCCCCACATGACTTTTAACAACAACTAGTAAAGTTCTGTCCCTAATGCTTATACTGAGATGCTCTGAACATGGGTATACTTATTTTCACATTTGACAGTTTAGTTGCAAACAAGGAACCTCACGTACACAGATCTCTTTGATCGCCTTGTTGATGGGGGTGGCATTGCAGATTTCACCCGTTTTGTTCCCTGAAAAACATTTGACAGTAGACCTTTTAAGTAATGGCATGACATTTATTGACAAAAATTTACCAAGATAAAGCATACAAATTTTACTTTCCATAAAACTGAAATGCAAGGAAGGCTATCAGAATAACAAAATAAATCTGCTATGATGTTATGCAACTTATGATAAAGTCTGCGTAGCTGTCATATTTCCAGGCGGCAATCAGAGCTTTTTTAATTCCAACCTCCCCCCTCCCTTTAAAAAAAAACCCCAGCACATAAGTGAAAATACACAAAATGAAAGGCCACAATCTGCTAAAGTTACCTTGCTTTGAGAACAAGAAGAAAAAACAAGAATAAAATTATATATGGAGCTGAAATCAGTCAATTATCCCCAATGGAAATAATGTGACTGGAGTGGGGAAAAATACACAATGACAGGATTTGATTTTCACACTGCATGCGCAAACTGTGCATGTTAATTCAGAACTGGATGTACTCAGGACAAACCTCTATGAAAAATATTTAAAACATGAGTAGATTCATGTGATATGGGGGGAAAAAAAGAGATTAGGCTACCCTCCAGAGATCTAAAAATTCAATATCATAAAATTCCAAGCCATACCCTTTGCTTTGTTCCTGGTGTTTTTGACGGCATCTTCACCTCTGCCTCTTTCTGGTCGACAAAATCCTCACTGTCTTCCTCTGCTACCAGTTCTAAACCTCCACTTGGTGCAGTGCTGAGAATGAAACGATCAAAATGAAAGTACAATTTTTATCCCACAATAACTTCTCACATACAAATTAGTAGTCTTTCCCTATGTAGTCGCCTCCCACAGTAACACATTTTTGCCATCGGTGTAAGACCTTGAAAAGACCCTGAGAATAGAAAACCCTCTTCATGTCAGGAAACCAGCTCTCTACCGCTTCTTTGATCTCATTATCACGTTCAAAATGCCTTCCTTTTAAATCCTTTTTCAGTTTGGGGAATATTAAAAAGTCAGAAAGGACTAAATCTGGAGAATAGGATGGATGTGGCAAAATTTCAAGGCCACTTTCTCGCGCAATTTCTACAGCTTTTCTTGAAGTGTGTGCTGGCGCGTTGTCGTGAAGCAGCAAAAGCCTTTTCCGATCTTTCCCCTGCGTTTTTCTTTCATAGCCTCTCGTAATTTCTTTAGTTTAGCTAGTTAGAATAATGGTCTTTGGTGACCGTTTATCCATTTTCAAAATAGTTTGTGATAATCACTCCTTCTTGGTCCCCAAAAAACCCTGATAGCATCACTTTTCCTCAGTCTTGATGGCTGCACCGTTGCCTTCATTGGTGTTGGGGACAAGGGCGATTTCCACTATGTCGATGTAGATTTTGACTCAAGATCGTAGAGGTGGACTAATGTCTTATCCATGGTTACAAGTCGTCAAAAAATTTAGTTTTATCCTTTTCCCGTGGACCAAGCAATTCTTGATAACAATCCACATGTTGCACATTTTGAGGAGGAGTCAACAAACGTGGGATCCATCTTGCAGAAACCTTGATCATATTCAAATGTTCATTTAAGATTCATTCAAGTGATCAAAAGTTAAGCCGTGTTTCTTTGCTCAGACGTTCGACTGTCACCCGCCTATCAGGCAATACAAGTTTCTTGATTTTCAACCCATTCTCTTCTGTTGTTGCTGTCACTGGGCAACCATCACTGTGGTCATCTTCTCAATGTCCATGAATCCGCATTGGAATTTTTTACAACAAAATTTTACAACAGCATAGGATTGGCAATCAGTTCCATACGGCATGCATCTCCGTAAAAAATATCCCGTAGTTGCTTGCCTTGCAAGAACAAAAACTTCATTACTGCCCTGTGCTTAATTTTCTTCACCATTACTTTGAAACTGGAGGACAACATATTCCTATTCAATTACAGTGCGCTGGTGTTAAAACCACCTGTAATCAGAAATTCCCCAAAATTTACATGCATTCTAGGAAGATGATAGTTGGCTTTCACCCCAAATTTCAGCTTTCTACCTTTATTCCTTCATGGCCAGGTAAAAAACTTTTGGTATGCCCCTCATATATAACATAGAACAAAATTCCGTAAGTTTTAGGATCACATTAGCTACAAAAATTATATGTGGGTCAGATAATCAAGGAAATCCATAGTTTCAAGCACCAAATTTTCAATCAACCAATATGATGCCATTATTCAACGCTTTCAAATGACTGTTTTTATGCTGTTCTTCATTCACCATCATCCATGCTCCATAAGATCAAACTGATAATAAAAATATGCAAAACATTTACTTCAGGAGCACCTTGAATTTGGGCATGTGACAAGTCAAGACCCATTTGTCAAAACAAGGCAATATGACACACAAGTCTCACCTTTTTTACGTGGGAGTGTGTTGCAACACGATAGAATCAGGCACACCACTCAACAATTTTAAGGCATATATATATATATATATATATTATGGAGTTATTGGTATGATCTTAAAGCCTGCCCATTTGTACTGCTTTTGATTAATAAATACCCATTTATCTTGAATAGAAGTCAAGATACTAGTACGTGAAGGAAGTAAAGTCACCTAGTGTTAAGATAAAATTAGCGAGAAAACGGTAGTGAAAAATCTGGAGACTTTCAAAGCTTGAGAGTCCTTTGAAAAAAACAACTACAAAGTTGCTTTTTTAGGGGCCCTCTGATCGTTTTTCAGTAAAATCCACACACAAACTTTTTTGAGTGGACCTAAATGGTGTTGAGCCAGGGTATAAAACTAAATAAGAACAGGAATAATTATAACGACTGAAAGCCATTATCATAAAGTGTCATAAGACAAAAAAGAGTGCGCAGGGTAACTGAGGAATGCCAGGCTTTCGGGACCATTTTCAAAACCTCACTGTGAACTTATTATCATGTGTACAGCATTGAACTTTTCCACAAACAATGACATTGAAACAGTCAACAAATCCATATAGATTTTTGTGATACTTTTACGGTGTGAAATTTTATGAGTTTGTGAATATGTGGCAAAATCGAGAAAAAAACCTTTTACATAACATTTAGGTGCTTGGTACATTCAGTCGATATGCATGCCTTTATAAATTACATCTTTGTCTCTGCAAGAAATAGATGTTGTATCAACTGACAAATGTTGAAGAGTCACTTTGAAAAAATATCTGACAAATTTTATATATATATAATATGAGTCTACCCATCCTGAGCATCAACATCAGGGTGTGTGGTTGCAGGACAGGGCATGGCCATGGGGGGAGGGGTGCCACTATTTGAAGTTTGTTGTGTAGACCTAGGAGGGTCTAAGTCAGCTGTAATCCTATTATTTGGGGTCTAAATCTACGTTGTGTGATCTTTGAAGTTTGCGTAACGGGCCTGAACTGGGACAGGGAAGCGCCGGATCATAGGTCAGAGCATGGGGAACACCTGATTCTAGATCTAGGCCTAGATTTAGCACAATGTTCATCTTCACTTGTGTCCGCACCTCTCCTATTTCCTTCCCTATACTCATTATCAACTCTGTATGATGGTTCATCATCACTATCATCTGCAAAAAGATCTAAATCTGACCCTTTATTGACGAATGGGTCCTTCAATTCAAATGTTCCGACCTCGTTGAGACGCCGTCGCCATCGTAATTGAGCGTTAGTAGTTTTTAATTCGTTTCGGGTGAGTTCGAAAAAGTCTGATTTTTAAGTGACTTATTCAAGGGAAGTTACTGCAACAATGGGGAATCGAAACTAAACTGGCTTATGTCGCCTACTTCCGACTGCCAAGCCCGAAACACGTCGGGGAATGTTTGAAAAATAGTAGTAAAAACGCACCCGACGGGTTTCGGGTTTGGCACGTAGCGGTCTACGCGGATCACCCGACAAGGGTTCGGGCATGGCAGTGAGTGAGTTAATTAATACCATAGAAGGTGCTGGACTTCAGCAAGACGGCTGTTGGTTGGTTTCAGAGCAGTCTTCTGTTTGACAAAAGACGTTGCAGATGCCAGGGTACCTCCAGCCACTGCAAACAGAAAAAGAAGAGAAATAGTGAGAAAAAAACAGTAACCCAACTTTGAATCACCTTGAATCAGACATATTGTATAATCGCATAAAAAATCTTATACAGTTGACTCCATATGATTTTGATTTCCTTTCAAGTTGATTCACGGATGACTGTAGAGCACACCTTTCAAGAGACCCTGCATAGATGTCTCGTCCGCTCACTTCATCTACTGGGAAATTCAGCATTTTATCTTCTACCAGCAGTTAAAAATATGTGCAGATAGGTCTTGTCCACAAGATGATGAACAAGTCTATACATCCAATATTTTTTCTCCACTCCTCCTATTGACATTGACCTAAGCACAGATGGCAATACATTGTGGAGTACAACCCTTTGAACGAACAAACGTCTCAGTAATTTGAGGCCACTAGATTGGCAATACAACACTTCTGCATCTGTGCAATGAACACTTTGTCTGACTCGCTTTATTCATTGAGTTATTGTGCTTAATCTATGATAAACTTGAGCCCTGTTCCGGGGATGATGATCATGAACTGTGCTGCGTTCTGCAACAGGACGAAAATAAACCTGACCTCTAAAAGCTTTGAGAATAGAATAACAGACAATAAAAACATGGAGCATTCTACAGATCACATGTCACATGTTTTTGCACCAGGTACCATAGTATACACAGTTCAAACAATAAGACACACAAATCTTTTTCATGGATACATTTCTTTCCATTTTGTGTTTGAGTGTTTCTATTTTGAAAAAAAATTACTTTAGGGGGACTGTTACACTGACTTTTGCAAGTCCTGTGAGTAATAATAAACATTATTTAAAACATTTTTAGGAAACAGTTAAAGAGTTACAAGACTAAAGGCAAAGACATTATTAGGCCCCCGAACACTTTTACCACCCCATCCCCCCACTCCACAAACTTTAGAAAACAGCATAAATTGTATTTTAACAATAATTGAAAACTTACGTGTAAATTCTTTCATTGTCATGTTTCGTACCTCCTGAAACAAAATGAAAATGCATTTTATCACAATAATCAACTTCACCAGCTTACACACCCTCCACAAAAGTAGTTCATGAAAAAAACAAGTAGTAATAAAGCAGACAAGCCTGAACTACCACCACTCTTTCTTTCTTAAACCTATTCAAGTACCGAAAATACATAAGTTCCCAATTTTCTAATAAAAATTACAAGTGCACATTTCAAAACAAACATAAATTATACGTAAAATATAAAGCTTCTTTGATTAAAAAATGGCTGAACAGAGGACCTTGAGACTTTTGTGTACCGGCCCCAACAGTAAAGCTGCAGGAATTTTGTTTTTCTGCAGGACCGGGCAAACAACAAAGCAAAGCTTTTTCAGGACCCCAGGCTTTAGGAACATTATAGGCCTATTCACAACTTAACACACAATTCCCTACTGGCTTTATAGTATACGTACTTCTGTTGCAATACTTTTACTTTTTTCCTTCCTCTGGTATCTTTAGGGGAGGTGCAAGTTTTGGTCCTGTGCTAGGTGTGTAGCTTCTGTGATAGATATGTTATATTGTTCCAGGACCTTTTATACCCCGTCCAGCCAAGTCTTTCTTCGTCTCCCACTTGATTTGAAGTCAGATTCTCAGGTGTTGTAAGCTCTAGCCGCTAGTAGTTGATTCTGGGGCATTCTGATTAGATGCCCAAACCACTTGACTCTTTGACGCTCTATGAATTTTATTACTGGTGGCATTCCGGTTTGTAGACGCATGGTTTTGTTTCTTATGCGGTCTCTTCTTTTGCGGAGACACCTCATTTCGCATGCATTGATTTTTGTGCCTTGCTTAGAGACCATGTTTGGCACTGATATGACAATGTTGGTACGAAGATGCTATTGATTAACTGGGATTTCAATTCGGTTGGGATGTTCTTGAGACTGAACAGGGGTGCTAGCTGGTAGGTCACTGCATTTGCCCTCATAGTTTTTGTTTCTATTTCTTTGTCCACACGCCCATCTTGTGTGAAGATTCTTCCCAGATATTCGAATTCCTCTACTTGTTGGGGTTGTGTTCTGTCAATAAGGACGTTGAGTTATATCCTGAATTTCTACTGACCTTCATAACTTCAGTTTTTGAGATGGAGATTTTCATGTTTATGGGTTTACATTCCTCATTTAGTTTAGTGGTGTGTTTTTATAATTCCTCTTCATCTTTTTAATATACTCTGGTCATCAGAAAATAGAAGCTCGTTCAGTTCAGTGCTGTTGTCATTTGTTGCTTTCGTGATCTTATCCATGTAAGTGATGAAGAGAAGCAGAGAGAGAACACACCCTTGTCTCACCCCAGACTTGATGGGGAATCAGTCCGATAGTCCTGTTAAACTTATGGTACACAGGCTGTTTTTATAAAGTTCCATGATGTTCTCCAGTAATTGTCCTGTTACACCATAGTCCTCTAAGATTTTTCAAAGTTGACATCTATTTACCTGGTCGAACGCCTTTTCCTGATCCACGAAGACAAAATTGAGGTCTTTTTCATGTGCAATGGTAGTCTCACACAACTGTCTTATAATGCAAAATAGCGTCAGTACAGCCCCTGCCTTTTCTGAAGCCAAACTGGGATTCACTGAGTCGAGTCTCTATAATTGGTCTCATTCTCATTTTCAGTATCTTGGCAAACATTTTACCCATATGGCTGAGAAGGGATATTCCTCAGTTGCAATTTCAGATAAATTTATATCTTCTTGAATTAATTTATGATAGTGTAAGTTGCACTTACTATGTAGTAACTCAAGTTGTAATGTAATACACAATATTTACTAAAAAGCAAGCAACTACTTATAGGACTCACAGGCCCATAACTTGCGATGAGATCTTGATAACGACCTCTGAGAAACAGAATTGTTGTTCGCTTCGTCTTCTCAATTCCTTTCAAGTAGGTTTTCACTGGAAAAACAAAGGTCAAATATAATCCATAAGCCTTTCTGGATTTAAAAAAAAGGCGAATAAAGTTCAAACAGGCTCATCAAAAACCATCCACATCATGCAGATTGTCTAGATTGTATTGAACTGCAAGCAATAAAGTGGTATAATTTTAAAAAAGTAGGTCCTGCATCAATTGTTCCGAACAGCAACCAGCAAAAATATCTCTCATTGACAACAATTGCTGGATGCTGCAATCTGAATTTGCCGGATAATTAGAATCATCACTGAATCCACAATACAAAATAGTTTCCAAGAAGAAATTGAAAATAAGGTCACCTGAAATTATAAAGAGATCATTATAAAGCCCGCAGTAAATAATTTAACCCAAATCTTGGTGAAACGCAATTTACAGCAAAAGGCATCATTACAATAAAAACAGTAGGCCTATAGGTTTTGAAAATTATACAACAGTAACATCTCAGTAGAACAGTGGGAGTATGCTATATATTATATGCCAATCAACAAAGGAGAAACAGAAACAAAACAAAAAACAACCCGAAAAAAGGGCTAGGGGCAAGAGTAAACAAATTTTTTAACTGGACATAATGTGAAGGCATAAAATTACGGTAAGTAACAGACCTTTGACATCAATTTCTTTGAGGTGCAGCTCCAGTTGCTCTTTTTTTTCTCTTAATTCTTTCTCTGTCAAACTCTTTGAAATTCCAGTCGAAGGCTTAGGTATATTTGCCGTTTTGACACGAGTAGCCCTTTTTCGCGGCATGATTGGGAAAGAGAAGTCTTCACAAGTACCTGCCAAGAGAAAGTTAACGATATTTAGTATCTGAATTTAAACTGAGCAAATCTGTCTCAGCAGAGGTTCAAATAAATATCTAGGCCAGAGAATGATTGACTATACCGCATGCATACTCTAAATCACATAATGCAGACAAACCTACTACATAATGGCCACCTGATATATATATATATATATATATATGACAGACAAGGAATAATAATAAAATAGCATTGTATCGCACATATCCCAGTTCAAAAGCAAGGCTCTCTCTATGTGCTCTAAAATCTAATATATAAAATATAAACTCTCCCGGCAAACCCCAGAACACTTTGAATTAATGAAAGTATACAGTGCGGGCAGCTAATTTAAGATCTCTCTCAAATACTGACAAACTGACAAGATCTTTTGCTGTTTATTATAGCTGGATACCCATTTCCACTTGGGTGAAGTGAGGAAAATTTGTGTTGTAAAGTGACTTTCCCAAGGACACAAAGACAACATCGGGCTCCTGATGGATGGAATTTGAACCCACAACCTTATGATGGTGATGTGAGTCTGCAAATCCACAAAAGTTTAATAACTGATAGGCCCCCTCCTATACAAACGGCTGCCCACCCATCAGCAACTAAAAAATTAGTAATCTGGCTTTAAAATTTGTAATACGGAGCGGCTATGATTGTCTTCTTCCCTTGGGTGTCAAGGACAGGGGTTGTAGTCAAGCCAATATAAAAGTAACACAAACAGAGATTTTAAAAAGCGGTCTTGACGGGCTCATCAGTGATTGAGGTTTTTTTAAGGGCAGAAAAGGGGGCTATTGCATTAGTATCAAACAAATTTTATGTCCAATTTTTTTTTTTTTAATCTCTCACTGGCCTTGGCTGTCGCACACAGCAAAAATAGAAAGGATTGCTAGCACTTTGTACCTAAGGTTTACATTACTCCTGGATTCGGCAAGTATGCTTTTCTATTAATTCTAAGGGCAAAGTGGCACTGAGCGATTACAATTAAGGGCTCACAGTGCCAAGTTTAGTTTTAGTAGAGGTTTTACGGCACTCACAACTGCATATGTCATATGAGCGCCAGAAGATTAGAGGTGTTACAAGAGAGTAACAAACATAAAAAAGAAGACGGGAAGATAAGGACGATAGATGTTTGATAGGAAAGAAGGAGCAAACCACACCAGAACACCCGCCAACCACCCACAGGCTCAAAGCAAAGAGGATGATGCAGTTGGATATCAGCACATGACATGATAAACACACCAGGAAGGTTGGCATTGAGTTGGGATAGTCGATAACAATTATATTTTCGTAAAACTGAATAAAAATTGCGACGATTCCATCAAATTCGAAATGATCTATACTCTTTAAAAAAAGAAACGCGTAACCAAGTGCATGTCTTTTCGTGATAATAAAATACCTAATAAAATATGTAAAGATGAGGTTTTGTACATGCTAGGTTTTTTTTCCACATATATATGTGTGAGTTGTTGTTTTGAACTTTTCACAACAAATTTCATTGTTTACTCACAGGAAGGTGCTGCCTGAGCTGTTGAATTGTGCAATGGTTGAGTGTTAAAAAGCTCACAACTCATCTAATTTTGTGAGTAGTCTCACGAAATTTGGCATATATGTGAGTTCATTCAATGGGAGGCTATATATAATGGGTGAAAAATATTGGTTTTAGAGGAATATCATTCAGTAGCTACAAGACCACATGTATGTGCCATCATTCATATCTGTTCCTTGTGTCCATTATTATTATTTCCCTTATTTATCAATCATATTCATCTGCTTTATTTCTGTTCCGTTTCTGTCCCAGTCATGCATCGTCTGACATATGTCTTCATTGTGCTTGATTATTAAAGTCCTCGTCAAGTCACAATCACAAAGAGTGTTGACATTTATTTAGGTTTCATCACTTGTCAGTTCAGCGATACAACAGGCCATGACTAAATATAGAAGAGCGAAACCAGGCTATTGGATGTTTGCAAGCCCGAGAAAGCCAAACTGATGTTGCTACATATTTCAACGTGTCACAGTCTACCTTCAGCCGACTTTTTGCAAGGTTTCAACAGTCCAACGCCACTGCCGATCAACTGATAAGTGGACGGCCATGGGCAACAACTCGAGCCCAAGATCGCTTTATTCAGTTTCGTCTCTATCCAGCCTGAGGCGAGTCACGAGTGAGGCAGGACAGGAAGCCGGAGTCACGAGTCACAGGAAGTCGGAAGTGATGTCATGCTGGACAAGAATCAGAGTCCGAATAACATTTTTTCGAGTCTGAATATGAAAAAATGTTATTCGGACTCTGATTCTTGTCCAGCATGACATCACTTCCGTCTTCCAACTTCCTGTGACTCGTGACTCCGGCTTCCTGTCCTGTCTCACTCGTGACTCGCCTCAGGCTGGGTAGAGACCGGGATCACTTCGGGCAAAAAGGCGTAATTTGTGCAGGAGCCGAGTTTTAATCTTATGATGAATTTGAGGCTGGCCTGAAAAGTTATAGCGCTTCTAATAAATGTTTATTTATCAAGAGGTCATCAGAAGAAATTAAAGATGGCTCGTTAGCGTGTGTCGGGGTCGGATGGGCGGCCTGCACACGTGTGGCTGTGTGCGTGTCGGGGAGGGGGGTGGGGGCACTATCGGTCCAGGCGTTGAACGTCGCATACGCGTCAGTCTTTTTCCACCCGGCAACTGGTCATTTATTACAATAATAAGCTAGTCTTGACGTAGATCTACGCAATGAATTGTGCGCTGGTCTATGGAATCAAAAGTTGCCGTATGCTCAGCTCTACACAGCAACACAACCTTTTCTGGATAAACAGCTCATAACATGCAGGTGCCAGGTGGTCTGCTAATCTTCAATTTCACCTTTTTCTACAACAAAGAAAGTGGGAAACATGGGGGGCGGGCGTATCGTATCAATGAGGCGGCGGGCATCGGATCGGCAGAAAAGGTGTGGGGGGGTGGGGGGGGCTAAAAAATGGCGGAGAATTGGAAGCACTGAACGTTAGAACTATAGAACGAAGACACTTCCTTTTTTCCTGACCCGAGTCCGAATAACATTTTTTCGAGTCCGAATAAGTGCCTATTCTCACCCGCCCGGAAGTTCTCGCAAGATCAACTCCTCCCCTCTTCTCTCTCTCTCTGTCTCTTTCTGAATACTGTCTATCGGTGTGGACGATCAAATTGACCAAAACAAAGTTAAAAAATTATGTTAAAACACAAAAGTAAATTAATTTGGTTGTCTACAAAGATGCTACGGCTATTTAACTTTTTGAATCTAGCCGAACTACGCGGGTCGCCATTTTGTTTTGCCCGGAAATTCTCGCGATACTCCTCTCTCTCTCCACTGCCCAGACAAAATTGTATGCTTTTAGTAGGCTACAGTTGTAATGGAACGTTTGTTCACGGCACAGAATTCTACAATTTTTCTGTTATCACAGTGTAGAATTCTGTGGTTTAGGTGAACGCGCACCGGGTGAGAATACCCACGGGTGAGAATACCCACAAGACTCGCCTGCACTATTCTCACTCCGGGTGAGAATAGAGGTGGCCATTTTTTTTATTCCGACTCGAGTCCGAATATGAAAAAATGTTATTCGGACTCGAGTCCGAATAACGACGGCCAAATCAATAACAGCAATGAATAAAATTTCAAAATATATTTTCGGAAGGACTTCCGTAACGAGCGACCACCCCATCAAACAATAAAGAAGAGGCCTAACCCTAACCCAAACCCTAGTTAACCCTAACCCTACCCCTACCCCTGCCCTAGCCCTCGATTCTGCTCTGTCTTATAGATCTAAATCTAGAGATTTAGTATAATAAATTATAGAGTCTAGTAGCGGTCGCTCGTTACGGAAGTCCTCCCGTATTTTCTTGGTCTTTGGCCTTCCATTTTCTTTCCTTCATTTAGTCAAATATAGATATATCTAGATCTAGATCTAGATTTTAGATCTTGATCTAGAATCTAGATGTTAGATCTAATCTATTTAGGCTAGATCTAGATATCAATCAGTGCTAGACTGAGATTCTACCACGAAAAACTCTAAAAACTCTAAGTCAGAAAAACAAGTCAGTGACAGTGTGAAGTGTGAAGTGTGAAATATAGAATGTAGATCTAGAGCAAAGGCTTGGAAGCTAATTCTCACTCCAATACAGCAAGGTTTCAACTTGGCAAGGAGATATCTCGGGGAGGGAGTAGAAACCTTCTTGATCTGCACATTCAGTCCCTCCTACAACGACACAGATGAGAATGAGGGTTCAATGCGTTGTTGTTGTCGCCATTCAAGCCAAGCCTCAAGCCAAGATTGGAGTGGATCGTTGAAATTTCCGCTGCCTGAAATGTGACCAATCAGAGAGTTGGATTTGACAAGATCAATAGAGCAAACACCCTCAATCGGCTAGATACTGTCTGCCAGTAATAGTGCCAGGTAGGCCTAGGCCTATGGCAGGGCCTGAGGGCAGGCCTGAGTCCAGTAGAATTCTGTGGGGCAGGCAGGGCCATTGCATATTTTTCAAACAAGAGACCACCCAAGATGGAAGAGAAGGGAATTGCTATAGGCCTAGGTCTAATTTGAGACAGCAACTTTTACGGATGAAAGAAAAGAGAGAAATTGGGAAATAAATCAATACACCAGACTTCTTATTGCTATACAAAGACAAGAGGCATAAAAGAGAGCAGAGAGAGAGAAGAGAGAGAGAGACAGACAGACAGACAGAGAGAAAGAGAGAGAGAGTTTTAGTTTTAGTAGAGGTTTTACGGCGCTCGCAAAAGCATAAGGTCATAATAGTATGAGCGCCAAGGGGTGGATGTCAACAGAGAAGTCCTTACATGGAATCAGACTTACTCTGCTCACTTCTCTCGCTTCAACAGCACAAAGTCTGCTTGGACTATCAAGGCACCCCGGAGTCACAGCTAGTAGTGGGTCACAAGAGGGTGACAAACATACAAAATTAGAAGTAGAGGAATTACGACAATAGTAAGAATTAGGAAAGAAAAGGCTGCAGTTCCCTGTTGTAGATCAGGCACAGTTATGAGCTTGGGTGTGACATTGATGAATCAGCCCATTTACAATTCTACTGTGCATGAACGAAAAATGCCCCCCATTTTGGGAATGGCCTAAGATACTTCAGTCTGTGGCACCGCCCAGGGAGGGGAGAGAGAGAGAGAGAGAGAGAGAGAGAGAGAGAGAGAGAGAGAGAGAGAGAGAGAGAGAGAGAGAGAGAGGGGACAAAAACATAAGAGAGAGGTACACACACACACACACACACACACTCACAGATGCACACAGACACACACGCACATGTACACACACGCACACACATACATACATATAATAATTACAATGTATAGGCCTACATATTATATATATATATATATATATATATATATATATATATATATATATATATATATATATATATATATATATATATATATATATATATATATACAGAGAGAGAGAGAGAGAGAGAGAGAGAGAGAGAGAGAGAGAGGGGGGGGGGGTCATTGTGTCATTGACACATTACTCAAGATCATGGTGTTTGACTGAAAAGGTGGTGTGGGCTTACAAAATTACAACTATTTCTTAAAACAATGGGGGAGGTTGTAAGCTATCATTAAATTAAACTAAAACGGTAGTTGTTGCAAGGGTTGATTTTTTTAAATTATTATTATTTTCAGGATGCAAGCACCACAAACTGACTGATTTGGGGAATCAGAGATAGGCCTCCGTTGATATACATGTAACGTGTTTTAGACGGTCACTTATACAAACAATTAGGAAGAAACAAATCAATTTAATACAGTTCCCGGGACATTTTTAAAATTTATATTGACATAAAAATAGAAGCCGAAATTAAAAAGAAGAAAAAGATAGATAAAGAATATAAACTGCTTGAACAGATAATAAACCGCAAGAAAAGAGCAGCTATAGGGCAGTACGTATACAATCGATCCTCGTTATACCACCATCCTTGAGATGAGCAAGTCGGCGAAATGGCAGGATTGTCGGTTTAACGGAGTCTGTGTTAAATACAGTGGAAACCTGATATAACAGGGATGGTGGGAGTAGAGAAAATGTCCTGTTATATCCGATCCCTGTTAAATCAGAAATGCAAGGAAAGTAAGCATTTGTGGACTAATCTAGCTGTACTTTTTCATGGGTAGTTGCCCTTGCCACAAGTACCCACGAACAGGGGTTTTGGCACCAACTTTCTCCTTGCCTCATTAAACCACACCAGAAGAGCTTGGTCCACAGCATCTGCATCGGGCAGTCTCATTTTCTTTCGATCCAGAGCAAACTTTCCATTGGAGTGTACTGCCACTATCTTCTCTCTATCCTTGATAATGGTGTGAATCGATTCTTGTGGAATGTCGAACTGACGACAAATCTCTGCCAGTGGAGTTTGCTTTTTGTCAACAGCCTGGATTATTTCGGGGGGTTTTTTTTGTCAATTGAAAGTGCGTTTGACATCGTTGGTGACACATTACGCGTGCGTGTTGCTAGGTTTCAAGCTAGATAACGGTCTGCAGCACACGGCAGCCCTCTCTCGCTTCACCCGCTGCGTGCGCTTGCAATGGCGTGGCTTGCATGGTCTTGCTCCATCACTGCGTTACTCTCTCTCTCTCTCTCTCTCTCTCTCTCTCTCTCTCTCTCTCTCTCTCTTACTTTTTACACATTGTTAACCAGCCTCTGTCCCTGCTATAACCGGTTGGGCTCCGATGAGCCCCTGTTATTGCCGATAACTTTTAATAGAGACAAAGAGTAGGAAAAAACGGGGATTTTAAAAATCCGTTATTACCGGATCCCTATTATTACCGGGCCTGTTATATATGGTTTCCACTGTAACCAGATAGTTTTACAGTAATACAGCAAGGGAGCTGTCACTTCGTCCAGTGTAGTAAGACGGAATCGCAACTGAGCCAGAAAAAATTCCGTCTTAGTCTTAGACATTTTCCGTCTTAGACAGAAAGGGAATTTAGGGGAGGGGAGGGGGGGGGGGGGTTCGGAGGCCCAGCCGGTGGGATCAAGGGTCGCTTGAACAGTCGGCCAGCAGTCACGAGTGGTCAAAACTTTACACCTCTCATTTGCTATCCTCTCTGGTAATGACATGCGTCAGTCTTACTTATTCAATTACCACCAGTGCTTGCATTTCACAGGACCACCGTTCGACATATTATATAAATAGAAACGTTTGAACGTCTCCTTTACTTCCCCCCTTAGTCCCACCCATTGGTGCAATAAGCACAGCCAACCAATGCCACCCCTCACTGCCATGTAACAACGATTCGAGGAACCATTTTCTCGGCTGGCTGTACGATCAGGGCGACAGACATTGGTCAAACTAATTTCACACTTCTGACCTCTACAACCAATGAAAGTTTCCATGCTGGAGCGCTACTCGAACAATTTCACCGACACTTATGAGATTTCACACCCACACGACCATCCTGACCTTTTTCATCGCCCAAGGCTCACATGGATGGGGTAACATCAAGGAGCTTACGGGTAACATCTACCCCCAAAATAGCACCCATACTATGTTTCTCCCAAGGAGATTAAAACTCCTTGGTTACTCCTCTTCCTCGCCCGGCAGCATGGTGTTAAGTGGAGAAATGAATGTCTCCGACGTCGGTTTCAGAACTGGTACTTGAAAGGAAAGGGGTGAGTGGGTGGGGTGGGGGGTTTTAAGTTATTAAACTCGCACAAAAAAGTCAAGGAACACAAATTTAAAGAAAGATAACTGAAAAACGTTTCAACCAAATTTATTCATTTTGTCCAAAAAGATGCTTTCGTTTCTCTAGATTATGTATGTATAATTTCAGATTTCAGCAACAACGACAAGTTCATGAAAAATGAGCTTAAATCACACTGATCGGATTTCAAAAGTCTGAACAGCCACGGTTCTTCATGAACATTGTCAATAGTGGGTGTAGCCACCCTGGTTGATCGAGCACTTGGTACAGCGTCGACGCATGGGCAGGGCATGCCTTCGGAGAACTTGTTGCGGCAGGTTCTGCACTCCTGGAGGAGGTAGCCCAAAAGTTGTTAAAGGTTTTGTGCAGGAGGGTGGTTGTCCCTTATATGCCGGTCAATGTGATCCCAAACGGTCCCATCTGCTGCAGGAGAGGAACAGCAAGATTTCGTCCCTGTGCCTTGCCGCAGTCAAATTGCCCTGCTACTGGGGGGTCCGGTGGTGATCTGAGAAGCCTCCTCACACCAGAACGGACCCTCCACCGTAGGGTGCCACCTGCTGGATGCAGTCAAGGTGGAACCGGTCTTCTCGGCGCTTCCACTTCCAGACTTCGGCTCGCTCGTCTGGGTGTAGCAGGATGAATCTGGATTCGTCCGAGAAGACTGCCTGGTCCCACTGACGTCATGTCCACTGTGAAAGACGAGCGGACAACGCCTGGCCAGCTGCTTTATGGGGCGGCGTGTGCCTTGGGCGCCTGGCAGGGACACGAGAAGCGAACCTGGCTCTACGAAGGCGGTTCCTCACCGTCTCCTCGCGCTCGTGGAGATGGGCTGTCGTCATCTATAGTTGGCCCCTGATGCGGTTTGCAGTGGTGGTTCGTGACGTCACGGCCTGTCTGACGATAAACCGGTCGATCCTGTCGTTGGTCAAACGCGGCTATCCTGGACCTTCTGGTCGCTCGACATCGTTCTTGCAGCCTCCATATATGACTAATAGGGACACCCCAAGTCGACATGCAACGACTCGGAACGTGGAGCCATCTTGGAGCCAGGCAATAGGGCTCGTCTTCTGTTGACACCAGGCAGCGAGCGTCTTTTTACCATCGTGTTGTAATGAAACATGGTTGAAAAACGCCGAGGGTTGCAAGAGAGCAATATTCACAGCCAAGACATCTGTTTAGCACGTGAGCTCAGTTTTAGCCACCAGCCCCTATGCCAATGTTGGTGAGGCACAGAAATTTAGCCCATTTTTCATGCTTTTTGGCTGTGTTTTGGCATGCTCCGCGTCGTCACTGTCCTGTGAAGCTCGTGTAGGTAAATTTGCTGTACATGCAAACTGTGTCTAGTTGTCAGTGCGTGTGCCACGTTGGGTAGACTGAACTTAACTGGTTTGCCAGATATTGAAGTTTAGATTTGACAGGTGAAAACACAAGTTGTTCCTTGACTTTTTTAATGTGAGTTTAGTAACTTAGTAGTAGCTTTGTGTTTAAAGAACTCAGTAAAGTTAAGGACAACATCAACAAGAAAAGCTGGGCAGGGACGACTGAGTTGTATCAGCCCAGGAGAGAGCAATAACAATTAATTCCACACAAAGAATGCTTTCCTACAACTTGTATTCTCCGCAAGTGATGCAATTGATCTTTGCAACTTTTTTTTGTTTTGTTTAAGTGAAATGAAGAGATGCACATTGACACGATAATGGTCATTGAGTACAGGGAAAAAGTAATACAGACAGACAGAAACAACAGAGGGATAGTAAAGAAGTAGAACCTACCAGTGGCGGTCTTCAACTCCAACCACTCACTTGTTTGTTTTAGTAGTTTCAGAAAGAGTTTTACGGCACTCACAACTTCATTCGGTCATATATGTGCGCCTGAAACACAAGTTGGTTGCATTCACAACAGTTCACAGCAACGCTTGTTTTTGGACAATGTTTCGATTAAAATGTTAAAAATTCCCTGTAAAAATGTCATAGTAAATAACAGTAATTTACATTTAAAATTTAATCTAAAATAACAGTAGATCTATATAACATTCTTTTTTGTAAAGGCCAATGCCTCACTTGTGACTTTTTTAACTACATATGGTAGTGAGTGCAATACTGGGAAACTTAAAAAAACACTTCCGGCAGAGGAATTGAACCTCAGTCTCCTGCATGCAACAGCATTTCTGATGAAATTCCCAATCCTACAAATTTACAAAGATGTGCACCTAGGGGACCAAAAAGCAGAGTCATATGATCACATGAAGATAGTTTAATAATAATAATATTGATTCAATGCAACTTTCACAAAATGCAAAGACATTGACAAACTCAAGGACTTACCCATGGGGGGGAGGTGTGTGAGCATGGACTCATGGAAAGTGAGTTAACCCGTGTGGTGGTGTGCAACCTACCATGAAATCGAAGTGCAAGGAACAGCACTTTTTATTCCACACAAGTTATTTTTTCTTTGCATAGCTCAATACCGTTGAGCATGAAAAAAATTGTGGGGGAGAGCAGCACCAAACCAACAGGTGGTAGTAGTAGATGAGCTGAAGGTTTTGAAGCCAAGTGAGTCACTGTTACAAGCACACTGGGATAAAAGAAAAAGTATACAAACTTCAAACTGGCACATCAAGAGCACTAATAGTAATATAGTTCATTCAGAGCCTGGTCCACAAACAATACCTTCAGTCCTCATTGACATCAACATCTCTGAGTGAAAGGATTGAGTGAGTTACCTGTGTTTGTGATACAGTGGCTGGGTGCTCCACCATCCAAATGATCAAATGCAGGAAATGCGAGTTCCTTTCCTTGTGAGTACAATTTTTATCAAGTATTTCCCATCTTTCTGCTGGGACATTTTTATCCCTCTCATTTGGGGTTGGCCCTGACAGACAGGGTCAAAACAGCCCGCCTCCTGAATGATATTTTATACTGTCAATGGGGGCGTAAAATTTCTACGACAGTTACATATTTATGCGGATCGAGTTAAATGGATTTAGCTGCTGAGCTTCTACAACTCATGGTAAAAAGAGAACACAAGTAACCAGGCATTCTGATCTGTTCAAGAGGGAACAAACATTACTCAATTAATTAATGACAACGAAACAGAAAATACTTTGACAGTTCGAATTTCCATACACCCTAGCAGTACTTGCACCATTTCGACTAGAAAAAAGTAGTGCCTTGAAAAGAATGGAATTTCATTTCTTGAACTAATTTAGTAACACTAACACAGTTCCCAAAAAAATCAATTGAAAAAAATTCCTAAGTCTGAGGTTCACAAATGTGATCTAGATTATAATTTTTCCCTCGTGTGTAGTCGTCAGAGACCGTCGTGACATTATACAAGGCGGCTATTTCCTGATCCCTGCCAGGCTGCTTGTGAACTTCGCATTTACCAGTCAATCTTAGCCCAGCAAAAAATCAAGGCTCATGCCTATATGTGAAAGGGAAGTACTAATATTCTTCAGCTGCTGGACAACGTCAAGCCAAAATGTCACGGCATCACTGCATAAAAATACAGCATACACAGACGGGTTCAATCACTAATTTTGCTGTTTGATTTAGCTCAAGTCTTCTAAATCTATCAGAGCTGCACTGTAAAAGAATGCTGATACTGATACATTGTGACCCTACAAATTTCGTAGCTGACGAAAACAGTGAGTGACTCGTGTTGATGTGAGATGTCATGGCGATAGAGAGCCCTCTCCAGCCTTAGGAAGATCTCATCATCCCATTGCCTTATTAACAAAATGACTACATTGTATCAAAACTTATAGAGAATTGTCTAGTTCCACGTGTATGGATCTCAACAAGTCAAAGATCAGATAGACATCACTTTAGAGCCCAGAAGGACAAAGTGTCAACCAAATGACGGCACTCCTGTCAACTTTCAACCAATTCTCTTTATTTGATACGTTAAACCTGCAGACTGCCTTTTAAACAACCAACTTTCTCAACTGATCTCAACTGACGCTGATCGTAACCAGCTCTGTCTGAGTCTGATACTTGTCATCGTCACAAGTGGCCTCATTGTTGTAGCCCATCTATTTATTTCAGAATCTCACACAAAAGACAATAGCACATCTATCTATTTAAAAAAATTATTTCTGAACAAGAATAGAAAGTTAGTTCTTACTAATCTTACAACAGAATTTTTATTAATCATACAAACAAATAGGCCTCCCCTAGCTCTCTCAGTCCAAAGCATCTTCAGGAGCAATAAACTGTTACGGTATTCAAGAACAAAGCACAGACATTCAATTGTAAACATAGGCTATACATTCATACCAAAAAAAAATCATTCACATTCAACATGTTAGCTTATAATGAGCAGCAAATTACATCAAAAACATTACAAGCCCAAATCTCACTTTCACACTAGCCATTTATCAGACTTTCAACACTCTACTTAAAATAACAGTCACAGCTTCTAAAGATGATTTGTCACACAGTTGTAATCAAACATCCTGATATAGGGTTGAGGAATGGATTCATTCACACAAACAGACCTCAAGACTTTTTCGAATAAATAGAACTCAGAACTTCTGTTAACAAGTTCTATGAACTCTCAATGGAATCCAATGAAATACAAAGCAAAATCTTACAGTCAGTTTATGTCGGAAAATCAAAGGAACACTGTAAAGACAGGAATGCATTCTTCTAAATCAATCCCTTTCAGGTTAAAAAAAAACAACAAAAAAAAACCTCTCACACCATCTTAACACAAGCACATCTATTCTTAATTATGCAAACGTTTTCTGGGACCACATCTTTACAATAAGTACACTGCCTCATATATAAATATGTTAGCATCATCCTGTCAGTGCATGAGAGCCCAGAGCACACATTCACCAAAAGGAGCTCACACACAAACTCTACTTCAAAGTCATCCACTTTCCTAACCTTCTCAAATATAAATGACACACACAGGAAAATTACTGACAGCCTTATATTCCAATGTTTCCAAAGAATCTACAATGGGAATTAGGAACACCATGGCCCCTTGAAATACAGCAACAGACATGAGGCATGTACTGTAATGTACAAGTTTATCCAGTGCTTTACTCAGGGAAGGGGTTCAATTAGAGAGTAAAAATAAGTTTCAAGAACAGCACCAGAAGTATCACATGATCAGTCACTCCACATTTCCCTGACAATGATGACAAACCCTTCTCTTGTGTCTCAGGGTAAGATGAATAGTTCATTCAAACAACCATTCATAACAGCTTGCATTTATCACTTTAAAAAAATCCAAGCAGCCAAATAAATTATCAGAAAAACATCACTTTTCTCAGTCTATGGAAATGACAGATTTATGTGCCAAACTTTACTCTAATAGACTCTTACACTCCTTTTGTAAGAAACAAGACTAAGGGTGAGTGAACTGACATGAGGGCCAGACGGTGGCAGCTATAACTAAACACATGAATCGAGTTCCTGCCTCGATACTCTGGGCTGTCTGAAACAAAATAACACAGGACCACTGGGAAAGGTCACAGTCTCACAGCAACATTTAAATTCTAATAAAACTTGTTAGTTCAATTACCCAATGGGGAAATCTATTTCATTGAGCATTTCCGTCTTCCTGGTAGGAAGCTGTATCCCACTCACCTTGGGTGTCCCTGAGAGGCGGGATTGAAGCAGCCCACCTCCTAAAGGTCTAAATTGTGTTGATGGGGGCATTTGCACACATGTTCCAGACAGTATCATAAACATTTTGAAAAATTAAAAAAAAACACACAAAAATGCACAACAACAATAAAACATTAGAATCAATCAGAAAAAAAAGCAAGGCTGAACACATTATTAACCCTCCCTCTCCCCTTCCCTAAAGAAAAGGTGAAACATACATCATGTAATAATATGGTACCTAGCCATGGAGATCTTTATGAATCAACATGACTGGACCAGTGGAATTCAAAACAAAAGTTACTCGTACTATATATGTCAAATAACAAGCAGTCCTAGAAACTATTCAGGTCCCTCAATAAACAGTTCAAAAGCCTAATTCAAATTGCAAAAAGAAAACAGTTCAGAGCATGACTTTGCACTACTTTTTTTTCTTCTGGCGTCAACATTTTTTAACCACAAGCCATCAAAATTTTGAAATCTTTCGATCAATGAAATCATAAAAGAAGGAAAACAGTTTTGCACATAATCCATCTAGCACCAACCTAACATGGCAGAAACACACGTCTATGTGAACACTTCGGCCATATGAGGACTTTCCCAAATATCACTCTTCTGTTCACCACATAGATCAACATATTTACGCACTGAAAGTGAACAGTAGCAGAACAGTGGGGACGTCATATAACCATGACAATTAGCTATAATCAATTTTTGGTCACACAAGAAGATTCATCCAAAGAAAAGTGAGTTGGAAACTTTTGGATCAATAATCATAGAAAAAACAGACAGTTTCCCTTATGGATAAGAGAGATCTTTGAATAAAACAGACACCACAGGAAAAACACCATATTATATTCTGTCACATCATATTGTTGACAAAGCTACACTTGATTTAAAAAATAAACCATAAAATAGCCTCCATTCTCTATAGTTTATAGTATTAAATCCAGCAGTGATGAGATAAATGCTCTTTGTAACTAAAATAACAGAATGATATGAAAATCGTAAATAAGGGCACTGAAGTAGAACAGGAAACTGAAGGATTGACGATCAGAACAAAATAAAGCTAACATAGAAGTAATAGAAGTGTTCTCTTCCTGTCATCTATTCAAGTCTTGGATATGAGACAGGCTCAGGTGTGATTTGATGATTTATGATATATTGATTAGATCATTCCAGAATTATCTGTGCCTTTGAGCCATCCTTATTTTGATGTTCTGTTCCATTGTAAAGGTCATATTCCCTTCGAAGGTATGCAAAAAGCAAGTCTGTGACAAGGAAAATCTGAAAGAAGAAACAAATCAAAATATCAAAACAAAGTATCACACCAGCTAAATGAGAACCAATCAACTCTAGCGATTATATTTTTTTCGATATCCCTCTTTTCATTTTCATAGCATTCATCGTACGGATAGCAAGAAGCAAACTCTTTTTTCAATAAATTGTGCTACAAAGTTGGATTTTTTTTTTTTAAGAGAGTGAGTTTCTTTCTGAGTCAGACAAGTTTCAAAACCATTTAACACATTACCACAACCTAAGGGTCTGGACGGGAAGTCCATTGTTAGATCCTAAGCAAGGGGAAGGAACCCACCTCCTGTGAATACAAGCCTTTAAAAAACACATTTTAAAAATACTAAACAAATTCCAAAAATCCTGAAAAAATAAAAGTTAAAACAAGCGATGAAAGTAGTTTCAAAAAAATATAATTTTATGTATGCGCAAACTGTTGGAAATGTTTTAACTTTAGTTCAATCGGGGTATCCGACCCGTCACTCTCACTCTCGCGGTCGGGCCCTAGATCTAAATTCTAGATTTTCTACGTCTGATCAATCTGAATCGCCCCAAACTCTTGCTGCAACGTTTTCATCAAAATCTGAGTCATCTGATTTGTCATATGCTTGTTTTTGCTCAAATCCATCGTTATTTCCTTTTGCAAGTGTTGCTTTTCAACAAGTCGAGACACCTACGAAGTGTCGGTAACCTGGTCGCACTTCTATCGGCTCTAATAATACTTAAACTACTGGCCCGAAAAATTCCGTTTCAGTATGAAACGAAAGAAGAAACTTTTTTCAATAACTATGCAAATCAAAATCTTGGCCTCAGAGTCTCGTCAAGGCGAGTCAGGGAGGAGCCAGGCGAGTTAGGGTGTAATGTGTTAAACAATTCGTATTGAGAAAAATCAGTAAATATCTTAACTCACTTGCGACTGGGCCCTTTCACCAGTCACAAGCGTTGAAGACTGGCGTTTTTGGGGGTATTTCAATAAATCACCACAACTCTCAGAATTACCCTATTGTAATGATTTTTTGACACAGTAAAGTAACATTCAAGCCTAATCTAATACAAAAAACCAAAGTTGTCTAAGTTTAATACTTTAATTTGTACGATTTTTTAAAAATTGGCATGAATTTGATTTTCCAAAAAATTTCCAGAGACGTGACAAGTGGAATGAAATTCACTACAACAAAAATAAAAGTTCAAAGTGTTCTGGTTTGATTTGTATACATGTGCGAGTGTTTGGTGAAAATATAAAAGCTGGTCTGTGCATTGATTCAGACCCATACACTGAAAATACATAGACAGATGTACGGCACGGCGTTGTGATTTCGTTGCGCGAAAAACAACACCGGTACTAGATCTAGATTTTCTAGATCTAGTGCTAGATCTAGCCCTAAAACTACGACTCGGGCCGTGTTCAGGTACATATCCAGGATCCTAACTATTAGACACATCATATACTGAGACACTAAAACTAGTAAAACGTACAGAAATATAGAAAACGGCGAAATTATGTGATTCTGGTTCATGCGACTTCTTCGACCGTTACTACGACGCGACTGTCGGATTACTATCAGCTGTATAGAAAAAAACAAAGCGCGAGTTCCGGTCTGTTCAACCCCAGTTGGGGTCACTGTCCTTCACCTTCAATAACTTAAAAACTACCGGCCCCAGAGATACGAAACGAAGTCTAAGTAGCTCAGGCTTGGCCAAACAAGGGTACGAGGCGGGTCTCGCGATCCGTGCGTGATTTGTAGAGCGAAAAAAAATTCCAAAGTTGGTCACGCAGGGCTCGTGTGACCCGTCGCGAGCGTCGCGGCGGGGGTCACGCAACTGTTGTGTGACCCGTCTGAAGTGAGTTAAATCAAATTCTCATTTTCTTTTTTTAAAGCACTTCTCTCTTCTATTCCTGAAGGGTAAAAAAAAGGAGAGGTAATGATCAATTTACCTGTGCTGCAGAGTATGTGAGGGTTATTGCAAAATAGAAATTTGCATTGGCACTTCCAGCAAAAATCCAGAGATGGTAGAGAATTGGAGCTAGAACACCACAACACACGTACATGCCTCCAACAACCAGAGTGTTACGCATGTCTGAAACATTGCCAAAAAAAAAAAAAGAAGAAAGTTATGTCATCAAAATACAATTTAAATACGTGCAACAGAGCAAGATGAAATATACAAGCGCAGTTGAACCTTTGTAAGACGGAATCGCAAGGGAGGCAGGAAAAAATTCTGTCTTAGAGGAATTTATGGGGAGATGGAGGAGGGTTTCAGAGGCCCAGCCCGTGGGATCAAGGGTTGCTTGTCCTGTCGGCAAGCAGTGGTCAAAATTTCACACCTCTCAAGCCCTATCCTCTCTGATAATGGCATGCGTCAGTCTTACTTATATCCATTGTCACCAGTGCTTGCATTTCATAGGACCACTGTTTGAACTATCAAAAACAGAAATGTTTGAACTTTTTTGCTTCCACCCTTAGCCCCACCCATTGGTGTGCACAGTCAACCAATCGTATCCCTCCTATGCATGTAACAGCAATTCGAGGAACCCTTTTCTCAGCTGGCCGTACGATCAGGGCGGCAGACATTGGTCAAACTAATTTCACACCTCTGGCTACCAATGAAAGTTTTCACACAGGAGCTCCACACAAGCACTTTCACAGACACTGGAGAGATTTCATACCCACACCACACCGACTATTAGCACCACTAAGGGCTTACATGGATGGGGTAAAATCTACCTCTAAATTACACCCCTACTCCCGTTTCTTGCCTGGAGGCATGGTTAGAGCCCATAGAACCAACCAAACTTAATAGTTTGAAACAAGGCTGAGTCGACAGAGCAGACACCCTTGCCAAGAAGGGAGCATCACAAACACAACCTCACAACCCAGTATCACAACAGACAGCCAAGAACATCATCAAATGCAACACCAGGGAACAGTGGCTGAATGGATGGGCAATGGGCAAAACTGGAAGAACTGTATTTGCACACATGACAGCCCCCAACTCTAAAGATGCAATAAATTCCTTGAGTAGAAGAGAACAAGTCACAATATTTCGTCTGCGAACACAATACATACCACTAAATTCCTACCTTAATAGGAAGCGCAAGGATACCCCACCCGACTGCCCGTTGTGCGACTGCCAGGATGAAATAGTACCACACCACCTCTTTAACTGCCCAGCACTTTGTGACCTACGTAGCACCTACCTACCTGCCTCCCCAGACATCGGAAACACTCTATACAGCGACAAAGCACAGCTGATTAAAACCTGTCAATTCTTTGCCATATCGACAGACCGAAGGGCTAGAACCCAAATGGCCGCTGGATCGGAAAAGTAAAAGTAAAGTAAAGTAAACAAGGCTGAGTAGGTAAAGCCTTTTCCAACTTAGATAAGACCCTCTGAAGGGAAAGATTTTCTCTTTCCGTTTCCACGTTTGGACAAGTTCCATTTCATAGAGGTAATTATAGAGGAATTTATCAACATATGCTTAAAATGGACACTTTTCTTCTCTCCCTCTTTCTCCCTTATAACAAGCTATTCCTTTTTCATTGAAACTCCTTTGAAAAAAACACAAAAAACATGGATAATAGCCATATTTTACACTACTGTTCAGAAACAATTTGTTAGCAATGAATAAATGTAAAGTCAGATCTCAAAATGGTTCTAAGAAATCCCTTAGTTAATTTTTAGTAAGGCACAAACTATGTGACAAAATGAATATCTTGACCAAATGCCTGAAAAAAACAACCCCAAACAAGAATGGAAATATAATTCAAAATTTTGAAAATCAATATCCTTGTAATCACTATTCTACATCCTCCGCTAAAATAAATCAACAGAAATTATTTATTGGCTGTGCTTTAAGGTGTTAGCACTAAGTTAACTTCCTTGATAAGTCTTTCCCCACTGCCAAGTTATAATAGAATGGACTGAGATTGTTCTCAGGGTGGCATTGTCTCAAAAGACCAAAATCTCAAGTACTTCAAATTAAGTTCACCAAAGTACATTACATGAATCTTGGGATCAATACCTAAAAAGAAGGCATTATGTTGAAACAAATCTGTTAAGACTACAGTCGAACCTGTGTAAGACGGCTACCCATTCTCAAGGAGAAAAGTGGCTGTATAAGACAGGTGGCCGTCTTACGCAGGACTGATCAAGATGAAGAAAACAAACCCTCCCTTTCTGAGGTCACCCCATTGTTGTTGTTGTTGCTGCTTTCACTGTTTCTTTCATTTCTTCTTTAAAAAATTTTGTTGCTGCTTTTGTGCAAGGGTGACAATAAAACGAAATATATCAGACAAGGTGGACCGAGTGCTATGGCAAAACAAACAAATGGGTCGCCACCACTCGGAGAATGAGCGACGCTTCTGTCACAAATTCATGTTGACGTCCATTGTTACTTTGTTACAGACTGGGTAAAGAGTGACCATTCATCTCACTTACGATTTGTGTATGAGTTCTGGGCGGGGCTTATAGGTTATGAGGGATCACACGCTTACCTCACCAGCAGCTGAAAATTTGTTACCTATTGGTTAACAGTGGGAGGGGCCTATGCAACATGATCGGTTGGAGGGACTACCTAACAACAACGACAGGTGATTGGATTATGGCGGCTCGCCCACAATGCCAGGGGCCAATGCATGATTTATGACAAAACATAATGGAGTCAGTAAGGTGGCTGTCTAAGACAGGGGTTATTGCTTAGTGTGATAGGGGTTGTGTATTAAAAAATGGTGGCCGCAGTCGCGTTGGACAGGTGCCCGTTTTACACAGTTAAATTATATAGAAAAAACCGCAAGGGGGGAAATGGAAAGTGGCCGTTTGTACAGGGGGCCGTCTTATAGAGGTGGCCGTCAGGACAGGTTCGACTGTATTTGTTTGTGGAAGGCCCACAAACAATTCATGCGGCTTTTTCATAAAAAGGAGTATTTTTACAATCGTTCATCATCAAGCTATTAGAGAATGTATTAATCCATTTACAGCCATTCATCATTCACCAACATTTGAGAATGTTTCCACAAACCATCTATCCTTCACTTACATGAAAATGTATGTTTCCACAGCGGCAGTAGGCTGAAGTAGAGGGATGCATCAGCATAGCTTGGGTATGACTTGAAGATGGATGTCACAAAGATGAGCAGAAACATCAAGAAAAAAGGTTTTTCTCTGAAAAACAAGAACAAATAAAACAAAAAAACAATTCTTCTGTCAAAAGAAAATTATTATACGGTGGTATCAACCACACATCAACCCCCTTGGGAAGTAAACTTTGGTTGCTCATAGGCAAGGTTTGCTCCAAACTAAATTTTCCAAAGGGGGTAATCTGCACCCCTCCCCCCCCCCCCCGCCCCCCTCCCCCAAATCACAATATTCTGATGAAAACATTAATCTGACATAAAGTTAAACATTTTGACATGAAGCAAAAAAATTAATTCTGTTCAGTTCACTTTAGACGCTAAATGTTTCAATATTTAAAATCTAAAATACTCTCTGGTATCACTGATAGAGATATTGTTAAATCATTCATAACACAACACAGGTTGCTTTCTGGATAGGGCATTTATGAAGGACAGGTACTTGTTATTTTAAACGGTTCAATTAAAAAAAATTTAATTAAGTAAAATAAAAATTGAAACAAAACTTATATAACATTCCTGAGATTGCAAAATGAAAGTGGAAACTTAGCTGTTTCTGTCCACTTCTCTATATACATTAAGACCCCGGTGCTCGAGAGCAAGGAAAATGAGGGATCTTAGCCGACAAACCCAGGGAATAATCTATGGAGACCCATGTAAAGGGTCACAATCTATAAAATGGTCTCCCTCCACTCTAAAATAAACCGACTTGACCCCTGGGTGGGTTTATGACATATAGCGAGTAAAAACTGATTAACCTTGATGACCTATCACAGTTCATAGGGTCATGAGGTGTGCCATTTTCACTTATTATCCAATCGTAAGCCTCAAGACCAATGTTTATCCAGTTGCCCCTCCCTTTTACATCACAAATAAAATAAGAGCATCTATCAGACAATGTAAAATTTATTATAAAAATCAGTACATAGATTTACACAAAGTGGATGAACTTTAAAAGATCTTACGAAAACTTCACAGCCAATGGTACTGCATAGACCACTGCGTTCAGTTGAAAAACACAAACAAAAAAGGTGCGGAAATGGTCAAACATCTCTGTGAAGAAGTACCAAAACACGCCACAATTTGGGGTCAAGTCTGGAACTGTGAGTCTGCAAAACAAAGGAAAAATTTGCATTGGAATTCTGTAAAGCCATAACAAAGACTTGAGTTTCAGCTTTATAACCCTGTAAACACATTACTACCATTTTGATTAGTAGACCCTTCATGTAAACCTTAAATAAAAACTGTCCAAACATTCTGAAACAAAAAATCAGACATGGAGTGATATCATTTTAACAGCTGTGGTAAGTTTAGTAATCCCCAAGAACAGAAAAGATAAAAACATCTAAAAATAAAGGCAACATTCAGGAATCTGTCATATTTTACTTTAGTTTGAATCAAACATTCTATGCATGCACTGCTGATACATTACAAAACATTTTTTTCTTATATGTTTTCATTGTATCCTTTCATAACATGATGTGGGTATGTCCAGAGAACCTTAAAACTGCTTTGGTAATGAAGCAAAATAGCCATTTAAGCAGCAACTGCAAAAAGGTCAATTTAATTGGAATTCAGTAGAAATTCAGAAAAAATCTAATTGAAATGAGAGGCACTGACATTTTTCATTTGGTTTCTACCCCTCAATTACAGTCAAAACAAAATATACCCACCTTGCATAATTCGAAACAAATAAGGGTCATAGGCTCTTTTTAATCTCCTATGAAAGGAGAGAATTGGAGAGCACTATTTCTCCAAAAGAACTTACATGAAACCATATGTGGAGTACAAAAACTCCCAGGATCCCTCAGAGACAAAAGAAAGTCCAATCAACAGAGCGCTGAACAAGAAGAATAACGCACACGTCTGAACATAACTGGAGACAGCCTGCACACTGACTAGGGATGGCATTGACGGTCTTGATAGCTGGAAACAAATTACGAGTAAGAAAAAGAAATGAAATGCTTCTCAAATGTAATGATGAAAAATAGATGTCAAATATTTGGAAAGGCACAAACCCTTCATGACGTGCTGTTCAATGCAATATCATCTTACTACCTCGAGTGAAATACCTGTTTGCACAAAGAGTTCAAAGTACTACAATAACACATAGTATTTTACTGGACTTCTTTTGTGCTTTTAATCTATTAAGTTTTACAAGGACGCTTTCTCATTAAAAGAATCGGACTGCATTAACTTATTGCAGTCCTCCAATCCGTCTGCTAATGAAAAGAAAATGGCAATAAGTACGAGGGTTTTATTGATCAAAATGTTATGAAGACTCCTGATCAAGCAAACCTGGTATAGCATTTCAAAAATGTTCCAGACACAACTGTTAAGAAAAAACAATAACAAAAATAAGAAAATAAAGTAAACAACATTTTTTCCTATCGCTACCATCTTCATTCTCATGTTTTGACTCACTCGCACTTCTCTCACCAACACAAGAAAACGCACACAAATAATTATCAATAAGACTTATCAACTCTTAGCATCTCTCTCTCCTATGTGGTGACAACTAATCCATTCAAGAATACTAATGTACCCAAAATGTATGTTTTTCAATACACATGCCTTGCAAAAAAACCAACCTTCAAGAAATACAACGCCACTGGCACAATGAAGATAAGAGGGTACAGCGACTGATACGCTGACACGGAAAGGAAAAATGTGCAGAGTAATCTGTTTCCTGGGGGGGAAAAAGTATTTAAAGCACTTAATGAGAGATTAACAAATAATTTAAATGAATGTTGTCATCAAAATGTAAATCAGTTTTTCTTCATAATACTTCATCTTCTACGTATTCTACAAAAATCTCAGTTCTCTTGCTGAGCACTTTTTCCCGGCAGTCGAATAAACCACTGTTTTTAGAAGTCACGGGTAAAAAAAACTATTTTCATTGGTGTATGAAAATTAAACTTTCATGCTCAAAAGGACAGTAAATCTTCACATGGTTCACGACACTCAAAAATAAAATACCTGGAATACCTAGAGGTCTCATCTCTGACTCAGAGGTTGATGTGTAATGACCTTCCAACCTTTCCAGTCGTGAGCTACCGTTGCATATTTTGCTATACCCAGGCCAGTCCATGTCTTTATGTTCTCCATCCACGCTACTCTTTGTCTACCCCTGGCTCTCCTGCCTCACATCCTCCCTTCAAGAATATCTTTCACAATGGTCTGGTGTCATTTTAAGTGACCAAAGTATTGTATTTTTCTTCATTTTATTTTGTTAAGCAGGGTTTGTCTTGCTTGGAGAATCAAAATAAAATATTATCTGTAAAAGAATATCATTTTTTAAAACTAATTCATGCCTTACCCTGTATCTCAATAAAATATAAACTTTGTTGTCCAAAGGCAAAGCAATATAAGTGCACATTACATGATTTTGAGAAAAATGAAAAAAAAATTTAAAAAATTGAGGCGTAGCCTGTCTATAGTTATGAAAGCTTCCGAACATGGTAGAAACCTTTTATTTAAGATGTAGATATGTCATTCTACCATAGGCACAAGAAGGATATGGTTGAGACTAATGTAACACACCAAAGGAATTTTTTTAAAACAAACATTTGGTCAGATATGTTGCTCTGCCTAAAGATGACAAAGCTGTAGGATGGAAAATAACTCCAACTGTCTATAAAACAACACTTTGCTTCTGGAGCAACTTACCTTGAAGAAGATAATAGAATGTGAGAATTATTGTCAAGTTGCTGATAGCTCCAGTTGACATGGCAAGAGTTGTCATGATGCTCATAGGGTTCAAAGAATAACTGTAGAAAAAAATGAATACAGACAATCAAAACTTTCAAAGTATTCCTTTTACCCTCTTTCTAAATTCTATCTAACCCTGACGACTGAGTTTATCTGAGAGGTTTAACAATGAGATACTGCAAACTTTGAGAACTGCTCATTTGGATGAAGACTATTATGTTGTACTTCTATTCTAATTATCGTAAGTTCTTTTGAAATGACTACCAAAAACTGAAAAGGGCACAGCCGATAAATACAACTATTGACCCATCAACAAGCCGACCCAAATACCCGCCCCTCCACCAAGCAAATTAACTTACAGTCACATATATGCATGTGTGCTTGGTGAAAGGTACCTGATGACGCATTTTGATGAATTGCGTTTTGTTGCACTTTCTGATACAAAAATAATTTCTGAACAACTTGCTTTTAAAATTTTCAAGATAGCTTCAGTACTTTGTTTTGCGAGATCTGGATGATATTGTTGGGCAGGGTGGGGAAAAGAAGTTTTGACAAAAATGGCTTTCAAGTTTCCCTTAGATCTTGATCAAACTCTTCACCAAATGAATATAGATCAATACGCCAGTCCTGGGGTATGTCTCCGAAACCCTTGACAACACAGCTACTTTTCAAAGTGCAACTTTTTAAAAAAACGTTCAATACAATTGAACAATTTCAATGTGTCATTAGAATGTTTTTAAAGCAAATTCACTGTCAAATAGAACTAGAACTTTTCAAAACAACTTTGCTCCGCTAACAATCAAAGTGTCAAAGGGTAAGTATGCACAGAGCCTCCCTTCCTTTACAATGTCAATGTATTCATCTACACTCAACGCCACAAGAAAGGAGCACAAGCTGACCTAAATTCTGATACGAGCTTTGAAGAGGTTGATTTTTATGAATGAGTCATAGAAATCGTAGTCAAAGACAAAGCTAGAAATATCAAAGAGTGGCTTTGAGGCTTTTCATTGCTTATGAAGTGTAATAGGGTATGAATGCGCAAAACTACCGTCTTTAACAGTTCTGATTCATTCATCTGCTTTTCACAGCTCAAGAAAGGTCACAAGCTGACCTAAATTTGGGTATGCAGTGTGATGGAGTTTGCTTAGGCTACCAGACTCGTAATCGTGAGGACACTCATAATCGTGAGGTTGCAGGTTCGGGGGTATGAGCCTCATGCTCATTGTGTCTTTACGAAAGACACAATGAGCCTCATGCTCATTGTGTCTTTACGAAAGACACTTTCATGTGAATGGTACCCAACCAGAGACAGCAAAAGATCTTGTCAGTATATTAGTGTTTTGGAGCTTATAAAATGGCAGCTTGAACTGTATGCTTCTCAGGAAGTTGGGATTGCTTCAAAAGGCTATCAGGTCTGCTGAAATAATCATAAAGATTGTGTAACACACAGAGCTTGCTGTTGAGCAGGAATGTGCGCTATTAAAATGCTTTCTATCATTACTATTATTAATGAATAGTGGAAAATGTTCTCACACAATTTTTGTTATTATGAAAGATAATTTATGTAACAAAAATCTTTGAAAATACACTTTAGCGTAAAATAAACACAAATCCTTGTAAATGTTGGAAAATAAATGGTTCAACAATAACATTCTAATAGAACTCCGGAGTAAGTAAAAATTGATTTTTGTCCTGTTACTCAGTTCCAGCAAATGTGCTTTGTGGTACCTTTCTTCACACACACACACACACACACACGCACATGCACGTATGCACACACACAAGAACAAATTATCCTTGAAAATAAAAGAAAACTACGTCACATCCCAGAGGTAGGTAACCTTACAATTTATGTCATGAACATGATACAGTGGGTAATTCAGAAGAAAAAAAATTCAACTGACCACGCCAGCACAATGGTGGGTATCCAGGCGAGAGAGTCTGTGGTAAGGATGATAGACTCTGCTTTAGTGGAGTACTTTTTCTTTTCTTCATTCTGTACTTGGATCTGTGGCAGGGTTCAGGGAAGACACAATGGAAATTAATTTTTCTAATATAGAAAAAAAAAACTTTAACGTTTCACTGCCATACTCAGAAATTAACAATTAGCAGTGCCAAAGAACTACAAAAAAAAAAAAGAACCTCTGTGGGTATAAGCATACATATTAAAAAAAACCCAGGATAATACCCTGATTTACCTATCCTGTTGTCAACTCTCCCCGGGACCAGACAAGAGAATGCAGAACAATCTTACACTCTCTTCTATCATTAGTCACAGAATCACAATAAAAACTAAAACAACATAAATAATTGTCTTCATTGTGTAATAGGTAAACAATTTCTAAAAATCCAAAAGTGCACAATGCTTCCAATAAATGCAATGCCCCAAATGCTGGTACAGTTGAACCTGTGTAAAACGGAATCGCAAGGGAACAAGTAAAAAATTCCTTCTTAGACAGGGGAATTTAGGGAAAGATGGAAGGGGGGGGGGTGTTCAAAGGCCCAGCCGGTGGGATCAAAGGTCGCTAGTCTGATCGGCAAGCAGTGGTCAAAACTTCACACTTATCAATTGCTATCCTGTCTGATAATGACATGCGTCAGTCTTACTTATCCAATTACCACCAGCTCTTGCCTTTCATAGGACCACTGTTTGACCAATTAAAAACAGAAACGTTTGAACATCTCCTTTGCTTCCACCCTTAGTCCCACCCATCGAAGTAAGCACAGTCAACCAATTCCACCCCTCACTGCCATCATAACAAAAATTCGAGGAATTCTTATCTCGGCTGGCCGTACGATCAGGGCGGCAGGCATTGGTCAGTCTAATTTCACACCTCTGGTTTCTGGCTACCCAAGAAAGTTTCCGTAGTGGCTAGCTAGTCTAGCACTCTCACGGGCACTCGTGAGATTTCACACCCACACTACCCTGACCATCTGCATCGCTCAGGGCTCACATTATGGGGTAACATCTACTCCCAAATTGCACCCCTACTCCCCTTTCTGGCCTAGCGGCATGGCCATGGCGTTAAGCTGGTGGAACCAAACTAGCAAGTTTTGTTTCATATCAAGGCTGAGCCGGCAAAGCATTTTCCGTCTTAAGTAGGTGAAGCCCTCAGAAGGGAGCGGATTTTTCTTTCCGTTTCCGTGTTGTACAGGTTTCCGTTTTATAAAGGTAATTAAAGAGGAATATAACGGGGGGGGGGGGGGGGGGGGGGGGGGAGATTCCGTTAAGACAGGTTTCCATTTTACACAGGTTTCCGTTAAGGCAGGTTCGTCTCTATTTTTTTTAAAATACGATCTCAGAGAAAATCAAGTGCTCCAAATGTCAATACAAAAAAAACAACCCTTGGGAACAGAACTTACTAGATGTCTGACGAAAGCAACTGAGGTCTTGTACAGAAACATCATCGTCAGGAGATCCAAAAACTAGCGGAATAAAGAGAACCAAAGACAAACATGCATAATAGTCTAAAATCTTAAAAGCAGTTCCAAGTACAAGTCTCTACAACTTTGGAAAGAGTGTAAAACAATATAACTGAACTAGAGGACCATATACAAGCACACTGCCTTCACTTTCATTAAGCGATGCAGTTGCCCCTTAGCCAAAAAGAGTTGCAGTTTTAAACAGTACATACGACATCTGCATTTAGAAATGTTTCCTATGCAATATTTACTGAGGAATTAAAAAACAACTTTAAATTACGTTTTCACATCTACTCATTACAATATTGAAGCTCTGTGTTTTCAATAAAGGAGTGCACTCACCAAGAAGAAACCTGTAACCTTCCATGGAAAATAATATGCTATTTTCAAAGCTTGTAAGGCTAGAGGTGTCTGAGGAGGATAAAATTAAAACAGCTTTAGCAGAGTGATTCTAAGTGCGTTGTACAGAAATCTAGGAATTTCTAAAAAATAGACAGTAACCTGCTATCGGGCACAGATAAAACGATCAATGAAAATAAATCGAAACTACGACTAGCTCTCCCAATTTGCCATTCCCTGCTAATGTCTCATTATCATGAACCCCAATTAGACATGTGTTGAACACATCTCTGTCAATCATCAATGTGTTTGAGTTATCCCTGCTGGACTGTATTATTGAAAGAAATTGTTGCACATTATAGAACAAATAGCACACCTATGACAAAGCCCATCACAGAAATCTAGAGATACAGCATGGACCAGACAAAAAAAGATGACACTGCCTTTTGTTTTCACTTTTTAACAAACATGCACTTATTGATGATGATGTTCACCAGATGAAAAGGGTAAGACTATTGATGTGATTTTACACAGAAGTGTATTCTGTTTCTTGAGATTTTAGAAAAACTGTAGAAGCCTGTAGATCACATTGGGCGTTAAAAAGGTTCTTTTTCCTTTATATGCAATGTAGAAGAAAGCCATACAAAATTTATATCCTTTGTTTAAGTCACATAATCATTCACACTTAACCGATGCAAAGTACAGTAGACAATATTTAAAAAAAATAACAAAACACTTTACTGTTAAAACAGCAAGTATTTCTAGAAAAACATTAGAAGTCCATAAATTGGAACTGAGAGCTTACCTCATGAAAAATGTCTCCAGAATATGGGGAAATTAATTGCTTTTGTAGTGCAAAACCTTCTTCAACTGAAACAGAAAAGCAATTCTCCAATTATTTGAATACCTTTGTGTGTGTGAGTGTGTGTGTGTGTGTGTGTGTGTGTGTGTGTGTGTGTGTGTGTGTGTGTGTGTGTGTGTGTGTGTGTGTGTGTGTGTATGAATAAATATATATATATATTGCATGAGAAGAAAGGAAGAACAGTGGAGTCCATTTATAACGAGTCCTGAAATAACGAGAAGTCTGTTATAAAGACACTATTTTAAAACCCTGTCTTTGCCCTTCTTTATCTTTGTAAATAAAATACTGCTATATATATATAGCGCAATCAGACTAACACGCGAGTCGGTTATAGTGGAATATTGATTGTAAAACCTCGAAAGTTGAGAAACTTGTTGGTGAACTAGCGAAACAAAGAATGGGAGAGCCCACGTGTCAACAATGAAGGCCAAAGCGAACAAGTCGGGAAGGTGTGGCATGCGCAGACAATCAGAATGCATCGCGTGATGGGCCAGCCTAGTCTAGATTATCTACGCCTACCATGCCTCTCACTTCTCCGATGCGGGGATGGAGAGGTCACAGTGATATGATGGATGGAGCGAATGTGTGACGTGTTCAAGCAGACGACGGAATGCACCAGAGGGTGTGGTGGGGTGGGGGACAACACAGCAGGCGAGTTAGCCTAGAGCCCTTTCTTTCTGATCGCCAATGCCGAGCTAGCGCTAGCGCTAGAGAAAGAAACCTGATTCGATTTTTGATCAAGTATGACCTAGAGGTCATGTTGAAATAAAAATTATCATCAGGGGAGATAACAAAAAGAAATAAACAGAAAACAAACTCATAGATTAGGCCTACTTTATTATTTCCATAGAATTTATTACTGGACCCTTATAACGAGAATCCTGCAATAACGGAAATTTCGCACCAGTCCCCTCGATCTCGTTATAACAGGATTCCACGTGTAGTATGAAAGTTTTGAAAATGGGTATTCCAATGTAAAGTGCATTAAGCTACTTTTTTTAAAAATACGCTATAATAAATGTTATATGTTAAATATTATTATTATTATATTATCCTTTCGAACCCCAGATTGTGCGTAACATTTCAATTTACGAGAGGGGGGTTATTCATGAGTATTCGTTACATTTATTTTTATAGAAAGCTAGTGTGCTATAAATAAAACATAAGACGTTATTTTCATTATTGATTATTTGACACACACCCTCGCCCCATAGCATGGTATCCACGGCGAAAACACACAGATACATTTCTAGGACCTCCAGCAGCACCCGCTCTGACTGCTAAGCCACCTTGGAGGCCCAGGAGCATCGCAGGGAATGCTGATTATAAAGGAAGTTGATCTTACCAGTAGATTAGAATCGCAGGCTCTGGTAGTAAGCGCGCTGATTAACTTTGAAGATAAGAGTTAAAAATATTTGATCTCTTTTTAAAGCTGATAAAATGCACTGTAACTAAAAGCCATTATTCATTATTTTTACAGATTACGGAAGGAAACGAGTGACCACCCCAACAAATACAATAAAAGAGAGACCTAACCCTAACCCTAGATTCTACCCCTACCCTGGCACTCCTGTACAATTGCGGTCCCGTTTGGGGATACTAGTTTTGACCCTACCGACGATTACTTCAGGTTCTAAATGATTACTTTTTTATGCGCTGGCCGATATGGAGAGATAGCCTATCAAACCTAATTCAAAACATCAAATTATGGTCAAATTCAGGGGGGCATGCCCCCCTGAAACCCCCATGTTTTTGTTAGGTCCCCCTGAAACCTCCTTTGCCTTGTTAAAAACAACAAGTTGTTGTCACTGCTCATTTTGTAGGCTAGATCTACTGATAAAACATTGACACCGCCCATTTATATCAGTATTGATACCTCTACTAGTCAGGGTTGGTGATTTTAAAAAATGTTAAAATAAAAATTTTAAAAAATCGCTTTAAAAAAAATTGTAATCAGATTTTGTTTATTTAAATCGGATTAAAATTTTTTTTTTGATTAAAAAAAAAATGTCGACACAGTTTGGGATTTTTGGTGGCTAAAAGTAAGTTCTTTTAGTGCATAATGCATTGTCTTTATTTTAACTAATGATTAATTTAAGCAACTGCAATTTTAGAAAGCCTTAATCTGCTATATCAGTGAATTATGGCTACAGACAAAAAATGAAGAAAATGTCAGTCCAAAAGGAAGGAGGGGGGTAATTATGCATTGATAAACTTGCATTTTATTACAGTGTGTGTGTGTGCGCGCTCTTGTGTTTGTCTAAAAAGAAAAAGAAAATGCTAATTTCAATTATGAAAAAAAAAAGTAAATTGAATACAGTATTATTTTACTACTTACAGTGACAGGGGGGAAAGCAGACTTTTAAGCATGATTATAAATTTTAGTCTACTAAACCTTATATCTGTTTTATAAAACCAAGGAAAGGAATTCTGAATGTTTAAAGATGTAAAAACAGAATACATTTCTTAAAAGTGATTTAAATCACTAAGTTTTATTTTGAAAATCAAGTTGATTAAAATTTTTTTTTAATCAACTGATTTAAATCGACCTGATTTAAATCAACCCAACCCTGGTTTTCAATTATGAAAAAAAAAGTAAATTGAGAACTGTATTATTTTACAGTGACAGGGGGGAAAGCAGACTTTAAAGCATGATTATAGTCTACTAAACCTTATATCTGTTTAATAAAACCAACAAAAGGAATTCTGAATGTTTAAATATGTAAAAACTGAATACATTTTTTTGAAAAGTGATTTAAATCACTGATTTTTATTTTAAAAATCAAGTTGATTAAAATAAAAAAATCAACTGATTTAAATCAACCCAGCTCTGATTTCAATTTATGGAAAAAAAGTAAATTGAATACTGTATAATTTTACAGTGAAAGGGGGGGAAAGCAGACTTTTAAGCATGATTATATTAGTCTACTAAATCTTATATCTGTTTTATGAAACCAAGGAAAGGAATTCTGAAAGTTGAAATGTGTAAAAACTGAATAAAAATAAATTTTTCAAAAAGTGATTTAAATCACTGATTTTTATGATAAAAATCAAGTTGATTTAAATAAAAAAAATCAACTGATTTAAATCAACCCAACCCTGCTACTAGATCTAGTACTCTGTGCTAGAGTGATTTGTGCAAACAGGACCGCAATTGTACAGGAGTGCCCCTACCCCTGGCCCTCTATTTAATTTGGGAGGACTTCCGTTACGAATGACCACTAATAGACAGAGAAGAATAGAGGGCTAGGGGTAGGGGGTTGGGTTAGGGTTAGGTCTCTTTCTTTATTGTGTGTTTGTTTGGGTGGTCACTAGTTACGGAAGTCCTTCCCTCTTTTCTACGGTCTCACTCAGCATAGAGTGGTCGCTTGTTATGGAAGTCATCCCCAGATTACAGTAGCCTGTGCTACAGCTAAATTTGTTCCTGATGAGTGATGCTGTGGATGAAGTGAGTGTGACTAAATTTGATGAGATCCGAATCAACAACTAGATCTACAATGAGCTGTCTGCTCGCCCATTCGGTGGAAATCCTAAGAAGATCTAATCTCTCGGCCTCATTAATTTGTTTTAATTAAGGAAGTGGCTATTCTCACCCGGGGTGAGAATAGAAATACGATCGACCTCTCACCCTGGGTGAGACTTGCCATCGTAGGCTATTCTCACCCGGTTTGAAACAAAACCTGTTTTTCCTAATTTTGGAATACTTTCTATCGATGTGGATGATCAAATGGATAAAAGCAAAGAAAAGATTACGTTATAGCACAAAAGTAAGCTAATTTTATCGACTACAAAGATGCTATGGCTATTTCACTTTTCGAATAGAGCCGAACAACGGGGGTCGCCATTTTGTTTTGCCCGGAAGTTCTCGCGCTACTCCTCTCTCTCTCTCTCTCTCTCCACTGCCCACAGACAAAATTGTACGCTTTTAGTAGGCTACAGTTGTAATGGAACGTTTGTTCACGGCACAGAATAGAATTCTCCAATTTTTCTGTTATCACAGTGTAGAATTCTGTGGTTTAGGGTGAACGCAAAATTTGTTGGCCTAGATCTAGGCTATAACGGTGAACGCGCACCGGGTGAGAATAGCCAAAAGACTTGCCTGCACTATTCTCACCCCGGGTGAGAATAGAGGTGGCCTTTAATTAAAGTAACCCTCATCCTGCGGGAGCCGGGTTTATGTAGCCCGATAAGCCTATTTCGGCACCTCGCCTGCGTTCTGGTCCCGAGTCAGTGTAGCTCCTGGCTCAGCGCACGCGCAGCGCGCATCCTCTTACGTGTCATTCGGGTCCCCATTCACGCAGGTCAAGTGTGTGTGCGTCAGTCTGCTTGAGTTTGTGTGCGTTTGTGGCCTTCTTCTAGAACCACCTGCGTTGGTTCGTAATCGAGGCATACGTCTCATTCAAAACATGCCAAGTTGATAGCTCTAGATGTTCGTCCAATGAAATTATAGAAGAAATTGACCCACTTAGACATGAGGAGCTTGAAAGGATAGTCAGGAAACAAGACTTCCTTTTTTCTGTACAAAATATTTCAAATGAGCTTGATTTTGTATGAAATGATACTACCTGATAAAAAATGAGCTTGTTTGATAGTTTTGAATACCCTTGTGCAGGTACAAGAGCCATTGCCAAAACGTGGGGAAAAACACACACATCTCACATTAGTGTGCGTAAAATGTGATGCATTAGTATTTATTCCTCCAGAACTTATACACATGTCAAATATAGGATGTAGAACCTGCATTAGCAGTTTCAGACCCCTTGTCAGCTTTACAATCTTGAGTTTGTAAATTTTGTGCCAAGAATGTTCATTTTTTAGTGATTCCTGGAGTGTCATTTTGAGCACACCAATGCAAACCTCCAAGAATGTCCAAAATTTAGAATTTTTGGGTAGGTTTTTTTTACGTGTGCTTTGATCCTATGTTATTTGTCATTGAGAAAGGTTAACTTGCTCAAGAAATCGGTTCATTTGTTTGCAAATAGACGAACAATTCGGATTACTTGTGCATCTGTCATGTCGTCACGGACTAGGTGTTTCAGAAAACACCATTATTTTTCAGTAGAATCACCGTAGCTGGTTAAATCTCTTTGCCTATCGAGGTTTATTCAATACTTCAAAAGCCGCGATGCGCGAAAGGAACATCAGGTTCCTAGATCTACGATTTCGGTCGGCTGTTTAACATTCGCCGTTATTGTCGTCAACTTGCGACGTGCCGGAAGTCCGAATTTCGCCCACTTTTGTTTTGAACGGGTCATCAAAAGTGCCCGGATATAATTGTTTTCTTGAGTGACTTCCCCTTACCCGCGTCCCCAGAACAACGGAAGCAACGGGGGAAACAGAAAAACGAAAGTAGTCATTGCCTTCAGCGTCCGGTGACGCACAAGAATTTTGAGTTGAATGTGACGTACTGGGCTGTTTTGCGTGTTTTTAGGCTACTCTGTTGAATATTTTAGTGAAATTGCGGTGCTTACACTGGATTCCTGGAACAAGAGTGTGATGTGTGAACAAACTTCGAGAGATGGATCATTTCTGTGGTTATAGATTTAGCTTTTGTGCTCAGTGATGACGTTTGGGGTGTCGTCATGCAGCCGTACAAGACTGACTAACGTACAAGAAATTACATTGTCCTAAGAGCAAACATTTTTAAAGTAATGTGTGCTCTCTTTACTCAAACAAATAAACAAACATGTCCTTGTTTATCTGTCTAACTCAAAAATACACATTTGTTCTTTGTTGGTATGATATACCTTTTTCCAATACATTGTGTCATTGTGTCATCATTGTTATGTACAAGTAATATTTTTCATAATTGCTAATATCAATAAGTTTTCAACATATATTTCATACATGCAAGATTCATTTAGAAGCAAAATATGCCTTTTTATTGATCTGTGTTTCTCTTGGTGCAAATTTGTTCTTTGTAGGCATGATTTTACCTTTTCCCAGTATGTTTTGTCATCACTGTTATGTACGAGTACTGTTTGTCATAATTAGCAACATAATTGTGATCGTCTACTGTCTTTGATATGACCTGATATCTGTTTCAAAGCAAAAGAAACCTCTCCTGGTTTTTTTTTTAATTCTTAAAGTGCGCTTTTATCTCTAGAGGCAAGACTTTTGTCTTTTCCTGTACATTGTGTCATCATTGTTACGTACAAGTCATGTTTGTCATCACTGTTATGTACAAGTCAGCTCCATTGATTTTGTGCTTTTGCCTCATATTAGTTAAAAAATTGTTTTACACATGTGTTTTTCTGGTACTGAGGCTTTGATAACTGTATTTGTACAGCCTTTCACTATTGTGATGTGTTGTCAATGATAATGTCCAATGTGTATCCTTTCTTGTACATAACAATGATGACATGTTCTGTGCACTGCGTCATTGTTACAAAGCTTGCCATTCATATTACCATTATGAATGGAGTTCATAGTGTACAAAGTGTTTGTTTACTAAACAAATGGAATTTAAAGTCTATAATTTGCCTTGCTGCTTTTCTGTTTTTGTCATCACTGTTACATACAAGAAATACAGTAGTTGCCAAACCAATAGACCCATATCTCCAAAACCCTACATCTCCTTGCTCTGATACTCTAGGAATATGAGCACTAAATGTCAATCTGTGACTGACAGAAAAGAGAGTCAAATTGGTAAGAAAATTTTTTTTGCACCACTGAGTCTCAAGAGAGTCTCACGTTTTGGCAATTGCTCACAGAGAACAATTTGAGTGTAAAACATTCGGAAATTGACATAAATTATCCCTTTTCGAATCTCAGGTCAGTCATAACAACAAGAGCGTCCAGAAAGGTTATTCAAATGGGCGTAACTACTCGTAATGTCTTATCAGTTTGTGAAAGGGTGTTATTCATGTGTTTGTAACACTTTATAAATAGAAAGCTATGAAGGATAGAGCGTTATTTTCATCATCAGTTAACACACTCCCACAGTATTCATGGCGAAAACACACGTTTCCCGGCGCGCGCACTGTACACCAACAGTACACACTGAGTGACCCCGGTGGCCTGCCCGGCACGTCCGACGTAATCGGTTGCTGATAAGATACGCATCTGGGCACAGACGCAGGATAAGAGTTAAGTAATTTGATTTTGAGTCATTCCACAGTGTTTTCAAAGATCGTGATCAAGACTATTGAATGGTACAGCGATAAAAATCTGCCTACGGCACGACATCGGGTTGACATCGGCAAGAAAACTCCGACCTAGGACCGATATCGGTTTGACATCGGCATACAACGGCAATAAAAAATCCTACATCAGCTCGACAGCGGCATAGATGGATAGGTCGGTAGCCGCTCTGGGGTCGACATCACTCCCGACGGCGGGGCCGATGTAGGGCTGATATGAATCAGAAGGTGCAAATGAGCCCCAGCCGCCTGCAGCGGCAGCAGCGGGCCGGGAGCGGACATTAAGTTTGTCCGACATCAAATGGATTTTGGGCCGCCATAATCATGCTGGCTGGGTCTGTGCTAGAGTGATTGTGCAAACAGGACCGCAATTGTACAGGAGTGCCCCTACCCCTGGCCCTCTATTTAATTTGGGAGGACTTCCGTTACGAATGACCACTAATAGACAGAGAAGAATAGAGGGCTAGGGGTAGGGGTAGGGGGTTGGGTTAGGGTTATTTTGTTTTGCCCGGAAGTTATCGCGTTACTCCTCTCTCTCTCTCTTTCTCTCTCTCTCTCCACTGCCCACAGACAAAATTGTACGCTTTTAGTAGGCTACAGTTGTAATGGAACGTTTGTTCACGGCACAGAATAGAATTCTCCAATTTTTCTGTTATCACAGTGTAGAATTCTGTGATTTAGGGTGAACGCAAAATTTGTTGGCCTAGAACTAGATCTAGGCTATAACGGTGAACGCGCACCAGCCAAAAGACTCGCCTGCACTATTCTCACCCTGGGTGAGAATAGAGGCGGCCTTTATGTATTCCTTTAATTAAATTAACGGGAAACTTCAGATTTTGAGTCATTCCACAATGTTTTCAAAGATCGTGATCAAGACTAGATCTATTGAAGGTGATTAAAATGTTACCTCTTTTCCAAGATGTAAGAGGAGTCACTACTTCATTCTGCGTCTGGAGCCACGATGGTAGGTGGGTGAAATTGAGGCCTACGCGCAACAGAAGGCCGAAGAGCCCAAGAAGGTAAACACCGGCAGCAGCCATTTTGGTTGCGATGTTCTGTTTACGGCACGGCTGTATTCAAGCCATAGACTTGTACTGCTATATTGCACACTGTCATGGCCGCCGCCCTTCGCATCCTTTTAAAACTTTGCTGGAGAACACTTATGCCCCCAAAAAGAGCTAAACCAGTTTTGCTATATTTGTGTGCTCTCTCCCTCCTTCTTGCCTTTTTTGCTTCAAATTGAATCAGTTAAAGGTGTTTGCTTTAGTGAACTGGAAACATGTCAGAGTCAGAGAAAACAAAATGGGCATATTATTATGTCAATGCTTCAATTTCAACCCATAGAGTTATCTCCTTTTTAATCCTAAAAGTGTAAATCTAGGCCTATCCTTCAACTCCAGTGTCGATGATCTCCTCTCTTTCGTTCCCTGCGCCTTTCGTTTATTTCGAGGTTTTGTAAAGTTTCCTAACAATTATTATCCCCGGTATTTAATTTTATTTAGTTTTAGTTTAAGTAGAGTTTTTACGGCGCTCGCAACTGTATAAGGTCATATGATTGCTAAGGGGTGGATGTCAACAGAGAAGTCCATACCGGGAATCAGGCTTAGGCCTACTCTGCTCACTTCTCAAGCTTCAACAGCACAAAGACAGCGTCGACTATCAAGGCTGATCAAGGCTCCCCGTAAATAATGGGTCACAAGAGAGTGACAAACATAGGCTACGATCAAAGAAGAGGATATGACGATAGTAAGGATTAGGAAAGAAAAAGCAGCAGTTTCCCGCGTGCAGTTTAGGCACAGTTATGATGAATCAGCCCATAATTCTACTGTGCATAAGAATATGACTGCCTTTGGGAATGGCCTAAGAAGCTTCAGTCATTTGCACCGCTCCGGGGGGTATCAGTATTTATTGTCTCTGAAGTTCTGAACAGAGTTGAATTAAAATCATCCTTTTTTTTTCTTTTAGAATATTGGTACGGCTACCTGCTTACATCAGTGTCTTCATATTTCCAAAGATAAAAAACTAATTACATGTATTCAATCGTGTGACAGAGGAAATTGGGCCGGGTCCATAAGAGGGTCAGAAATTTTAATTAAGTTTGAGTAAAGAGAAGCACATCAATACAATAACGCCCATACAGTGCAGGGAAGAAGCAAGACAGATAGAAGACAGAAACAAAAGAGGGAAATAGAAGAAGTAGGACCTACCAGCGGCTCCCTCCAATCGCTTTTCTGAAATTTGAAGCCTTCCTTCAATAATAAATTCAGCTCTGAAATTTCTGGATTTTCAGAGATCAAGAACGTGTTTTTACAATACAAAGAACAAGAAAAAATAAGGCAAAATCGGTAAAATGATCAGCTGAAGCCTCCTTTGAGAACCAATTGAAACTGAAAGAATGTAGAGTGTTCAAATTTAAACAACAAAAAAAACTAATTAAGTTTCAGCACTCTGTCCTGATTTGTTTCTAATGAAATGTGGCCATTTTGGGGTTGAATTGTGGAAACTACAATTCAATTCATTCTGCATTCATTTATTTATTTTTGACAGTCTTGAGGTTCTCTAGTTGTTTTGTAGGCTCTGATTGTTAAGTCTTCACAAAAAGGACTGTAATGTGTTTTCATAGGAGTCACATTATACATTACAGCTTTTGTACAAGAAGTATTGAACTATGCGATGTCCAGGTTTCAAATAAGGGCATTCCTGAACTGCTGAAAGAAATTTTATGATTCTACTTTCTGTCCTGTCTTTTAAATATCAAACTAGAGGAGCTATCATGGTCTTGAGGTACAGTGTTCGCCTCTCATTCAATAGATCCTGCGTTAAACTCAGACAGCGACGAAAAAATTTGTTTTAGTAGATGTTTTACGGTGCTCGCAATTGCATAAGGTCATATGAGCGCCAGAAGATTAAAGGTGTTACAAGAGAGTAACAAACGTAAAAAAGAAGAAGGGGAGATAAGAATGATAGATGTTTGATAGGAAAGAAGGAGCAAACCACACCAGAGCACCCGCCAACCACCCGCAGCTGTTCCAAAATTTTCTCTTTGCTTTCACCTCCTTTTGTGTTCTCTAGACATTTTCTGTCATCTGTTTTCATCTCCCCTTTCTCCCCCCCCCCCCCCCCCTTCTCCCTCTCTCTCTCTCTCTCTCTCTCTCTCTCTCTTCTCCCATCAGTGTTCTCTGTCTTTGCCCATAACTCAAGAATCGGATACGCAATAAAACTCAAAAACAGAATAAATTTCAAGTCAGTATACACATTCTTTGAAAGTGGTATGTAACTGTCTGAAAGGTAAGGAACACTACTTTCTTGTAAAAAAAATTAACTTTTTATCTCCGGCCAGCCGCTCCCAGTCGGAACCACTATGCCGGAGAGCCGCTGACAGCGGCTTGGGGCACATTCCTTTACGACGACTTCGACATCAAATTACTTTTCGGCAATTGTCGAAAACAGTTCTCTTATACCGGAATTTCGTTCATTAAGTGAAGAACTATCAAAATAGGTTTGCTAGTTTTGATTAATGATCCATTTAAGAATGTTTTTGTCTTTTTTAGACTTAGCCCCCAGAAAAGGGCCCCGGTGTAGGGGTTTACCCCTCTAGATAAAGAGTTAGACCATACATTAGCTCATCATCAACCATCCATAATATCTGACAAAATATAAAATGATGAAGACACACACACACAAAAATTATTATCCATGTAATCACATGTAGCCTAAGAAGTTAACAACTAAGGACAAACACTCAAAGCATAGATCTAATATAAAGACAAAGACTTCAAATTATTCATTAAGGGCAATTTATTTGTTACTTCAGATAACAGGAATTTCAAATAATAAATCAAACTGCAATCTTCTTTCAAACAGAACACTCAGGAAGTAATGAGGACACATCCAGGTCAAGATCATACGAAGTGGGAGATAGACCTTCCATTTCACGAATACAGCCATGTCCACTTACCAGCAACTCGGATTAGAGCATCAGCATCTTAAGCTTCTGTACCAGAATTTTTCCTGCATAAATAAGCTCTTTAATAGAAACCTTTTCCTCTAACGGCAACCTTCATCTATAAGTTGTCTGACAAAACTATTGTTGGATGATGCAAAAACTGTGATTATCGACGCAGGACTATGATTTCAGTGTTTGTGTATCCCTCCTATTTAGTTGATCTACCCACAACACTTACTTAGGTCAAATAATACACTACAGGGGGTACAGGAAATCATTTCATATCCTCTCACCAAGAGCAACCTTCCTTCAAGAGTCTCTTCCTAGCAAGAGGAAAAGTCTTTGATCACTGTGCAAAACATTATTGCCCTGTGATTGTGATTCACTTGAAAGGATAAGTTCTTGTGGGACCTTGGCCTCTGCACTGCCTATGTTCTCACTTTACAACATAACAACATCACCACATCCTTCTATTAAGAATTTTGCGAGTGTGTATGTGCATGCACGTGTGGTGTGTGTGTGTGTATGTGTAAGTGGTGTATGTGTAAGTGAGTGAGCGAGTGAGTGAGCGAGTGAGTGAGTGAGTGAGTGAGTGAGTGAGTGAGTGGGAGGGAGGGAGGGAGGGAGGGAGGGAGGGAGGGAGGGAGGGAGGGAGAGAGAGAGAGAGAGAGAGAGAGAGAGAGAGAGAGAGAGAGAGAAGAGTGTATGTGTGTGTTGGTGGGTGCACATCATGCTGTGTTGGAAAATTCAGTTAGAAACTAAGGCTTGCTTCCCAAGGGAATTGCTGTTAGGCAGACACAAATGTACTTTTGTCATCATTAGCCTCGTTTGAAAAGCTACATTACTTCCACACAGACAATGGATCACATAGCTTCCACTTTGGTAGGATTGGCAAATGATTCCCTACACAGTAAAAAAACCCATCAATTTCAGATATATCTTGTTTTACAAAATCTGGTTTATAAGATGAGCAAAAATTTTTTTATGACATGAGTTATTACTATCATAAAATAAGCATGCGACCTAGATCTAGATATATGGCAACATTTTGAAATTGAAAACTGACCAGGAGAAAATAGAGAAAAAGTCAAAATCACAAAATTAAAGGGAGGTACATGTGCATACACTGTCATACAAGAAATTAAGACCCCACACCATTATTCTGAACCCCTCCCCCCACCCCCCAAATCGACACAATTTAGATTATCCAGGAGTTAAGAGGAAAGAGGAGGGCTTCAATCCTGCCTGTCAGGGATAACATGGGCTTTGAGGGACACAACGTTCCACCAAAAAGACTGAGATGCTCAATAAAATTTCCCCAAATAGGAAACAAAACTTGTGCCTTATGTGTGCTATGGTGAGGCGCCTAGCCCCTACACCACAGACACCTGTCAACTATTCTAGTATCAAAGTTCAACTATCCTTTCAATACTACACGAAATGAAAAATATTACCTGCAGTGCAACACATAATTTATCAGACACTGAATCCCCACGCTCTTTTATCATTTCCAAGAAAGAACTGTTGGCCTGGAGGATACCAGTCATTTGAAAGAAACTATACTTTTCAGTTGAGCAAAGCAGATGAGAAACTTCCATCTGGACATAAGACACTACAGCCTGAAAGTACTCTGAGCATGACTGATGACCAGACAGAATTTTTAAGAAACTACTTCTGTACTCTCCATCAACTGTTTCTATAGATGTGGCATGCTCTTTTTTTCAGTACCACATTGCTGATATTAAGCTAATCTACTTCTTTTGAGCTCCAACAAAGACAGTAGTTAGATTCTTGATAACAAAACAAAACAAAAAAGCCACAGACTTAGGACTTATTTTACACTGGTCTCAAGGTAATATTAATTAATATGATCTACAGATGTAAACAGACACATGCCTTAAACTTTGCACAAGCATGCTCTCCTCTTTTTTCAACTGTAGTTTCAAAAAGGAATAAAAATGCACAAACATACAGCCACGAGTCACAAACCCTCTCACACCAAATTCCAATCATCAATCAACATAAAAGACATACAATTTCATTTGTACCACAGGCACAGGCCTACACATGAGGGCATAAATAGCAAGACAATATTGCACTAAAGTCGATATTATCCATTTGGAATACTTACAGAGATTCGAATATCACATACATTCAGACCTGAGTTAACCAATTTCACATTTCGGCTCAAACACAAGCATTAGAAATTCACTATCTCTACCCCAAAATATTGTAAGACTGCAATGCAAGGCTTATACTTGCGGTAAATCAGTCTGTTTCCACTCTGAAATTGCTCCATCCAACGTTCTCAAAACAAATAACCACAAAATAAGAGGTAAAAACACAAACAAAACCACAAGGGGTGATCAATAACTTAACAAAGCATAAAAGAGTGTCCACACAAATGATTAAAACCAAGCAATTCCTTGACATATTCAAATCTCCATAAAGAAGAAATCAAGTGGGGTAAAGTAAGGTTTCTGTGAATCATTTCTTCAATGATACCAGCAAAATAACAAAACTGAGCAACAAAAAAATTTGTTCATATCCCATGTAATTTGCTATTAAAAAAAAGGTAAAGAGTTTATCTCGTGCAAGATTATGCGGACACGGAGGAAAAATATTAAGAAAACCATACAGTCCCCATCAGAAAAAAAAGTCTAATTGAAGACAAGGTTTAGTGTAACGGTAGGGAAAAAGAAAGATTTATGGACAGAAAAAAAACCAACAGAGGAAGAAAAGAAGTTAGACCTACCATTCGGGATCGTCATGAAAAGGAAGGCAAAACTCTACACATCATAGAAAATCCAGCTTATTCTAAAACATGGTATAAACTAAAAAGAAAACATTAGATTACAGCTGATCACTTACTACTGACGTTCAAACAGATTATCAACCTGATACAATATTGAATTGACTTATCCATTTTGGAAGCCAAAAAAATGCAATTCCCACCATTATTAAAGCATTCAGACATATATATATATATATAAATCAATGCGTGGAAGTTTCATATTCATCATAAACAAGAATTTTCATAAGGTGCTGCATACAAAGATACAAGACAAAAATATGGCATTAAAACAAAATACAATTAAAGTCAAGTAACCTTTTTCCGCAAACTTGCTTGTCACATGGAAAATGCTTTCACATAATTTGACTGCCATCCGTGGAAAGTTATAATTTCTAAGCTAATACTTCAAATTTTTGTATCAAAATACAGTATGACACAGATAGGTTGAAGACAGAAGACTCGAAATCATGCATTTGTCAAACTGTGTCTACGGTCCCGTTTTTTCTTCTTCTTTATCTCAGTAAGAAAATTACGTAAAGCTCTAATACAAACACAGAAATATTCGAATTAATTACGCCGCTGTAGAGGTCTAAACTCAATGTCCTTTGAGCTGCACTTGAGACCAAAGTAATAACAATAATAAAAACTGAAAAAGGCAAGGTCGGTAAAATACCACCGTCCCCCTCCACAGAAGCAGCTAGCTGTGCTATTTTAGTGCGTTGCTCGATACACATGCCCAATGATTATCTAGCTAGGCTTGTGTGGAGCGGGCAAGAGAGACAGTTGTGTATCACACAATCTATTGTTTTGCCCCTAAAGTAGCAGTCTTTGTTGCCTCCTTTGATTCTCTGACACAGCCGATGCCATAACACTGTTCTCGTATCCTTGAATTACGGATCCCTCACACTACCGAGGCCGCTCCCGAGGAATCCAAGCTATCCGTGTTTTACTGTACAATGCAGCGACAGAACAAAGGTGAAATAAAATACGAGTTCTTTCACATTACAGAATCAGGAAAAACAAATTTGATCTCTACTTTCTGCCATACACCAATACAAAAAGTATATATATGTCACTGTCACTCATGGCAAACAGCAAATGGACTAACACCACACTTGATCCTTATGTAATGGAATAGGTTTCCCACATCCAAGGCAACAATGGAGTATGCACCAGACCAGACCATCAATGATTTATTTATAGAGGCACCAGCCATCCATGTCCAGGTGCTGTTTTAGTAGAGTATGCACCAAAAAAAAAGAAAGGGGAGGGGGGGGGGTAGGAGACACCTAACAAGCAAAACAAGTAGCATAGCCATAGCAAAATGAAACTTGAGCAAAATACCGGCCTTGTCCTGGTGTTTTCACCTCAACCTCCGCAATGAACGCAGCTGTGAAAACTTGACAGTTGTACTTAATTCGTCACGAAAACCAGAAAATTCGCCCCGTATGTCTTACGTCCTACGGTAGCAGTAGAGCTAAAAAACAAAGTATTGTTCTCGTTTCATGTCAATAACCTTGTTCAAATCATTTTTAGACTACTGCTTGAGTAAAACTGGAACAAGGTAAATAAAATGCAAAATTTTGTCCACCAGCAGTCAGAAAAGCTGAACATTCATTGTCACAATATCACCATGCCAGCTACCCGGAAGCCACATCCAACAGCTGCTTCAACTGCTGGGTAATGCTATTTTGGGGGGTTCAGTCTCAGTTTTCTGTCCCCACATTTTCATAACAATTTCATGCAACACAAACTTGGATTTCATTTATAAAGGTTTTGTACATCTCACAAAACTAAATAGACATTAAAAAAAGACCTGCCTGATGAGCAGCAAAACGATTTTCAAAGACCTAGTGATCCTCCAATCAGCCAGAAAGATACATTTTTTCCAATCTCATATATCACTACATCTGTATTACCAAAAACATATAAAAAACCAAACTGTGAGAAGAAAAATCTGGAATGTTTAAAAATAATGGAATTGAAAGATGCACAGCAAAACATATCACATGGTTTCACGACTTAGAAAAGGAGATATCAAGAGAAAAAAAAAACAGTTAAGAAAAAAAGCAGATCTTTAAATAGTTTGATAACTTGAAAGCTTTTTTATATTAAAAGTGCAGTGGGGATACAAGGATTCTCTGAAGAGTTCTCAAAGTTCCAAGTGCAGTACTGTTGCAACATGAGTAATAGACTCACTTTGCGAAGTATAACGCAAAACATCTAAATAAGCTCCTAAACATAACAATCACATGGCATCAAAGTGGAAGCGCTGGGCCTCTTGAAGCTTTTCTCTCTTATCCTCCATCTGTACCAGAAAAAAAGAAAAATGAATATGATGAGTATGACAAATTTGAAATCGAGACAAATGTGGAGAAAAATTTGCTACTTTTTGTGTTGAGAAAAGCTGTTTCACAAATCCGTACGGGTGTTTAAGAAAAAATGTTGCAAATACAAAGAAAATATAGCTCTGCATAGTCGGTATCTGCAAAAGCTATAAGTAATTTCGAGCTTTTCGAGAGTTTGTGTTATATCTGTGCCCGACTATATGTGTTCTAAATACAAAAAAACATACATTATAGGGACAGAAAAAAATTCAGAACATGAAAATCTGTTTGCTATGAGTGTCTTTGCTATGTGCGAGCTAGACTGGATATAAATGATTGTAAGAAAATGTGGCACTTTCGATTATATAAATCACATGTCACTGATTTTGTAATTTACAATGCTCAAGAGAATAACTAAATAGAAATGCAATTTAAGAAAATGGCTTTAAAGACACTCACCCTTTCTCTCCACTGCAGAAGACCAACAATGATGGCGATAAATGCACAGGTGCCTAAGAGTGATACTCCAGTTAACAAGACCAGCCGGCTTGGTGTGATATACAACTCGTGTTTCCAGCTGACAAAGAAAACAAATGAAATACATTCAGAGGGGGGGTAACACAGCGTCAGCTAAAGACACTTTCCACAAAATTTTGATTTGGATAAAATCAAACAGTCAATGAAATCTAAAATAAAATCATACTTAATTGCAGTTTCTCTCATTTTATGTACTCAACATCTTTATTATCTTTTTTTTTTTAAATGGGAGAAACAAGGAGTGGAGACTGAATTCTTTTAAGTAAGAGTTTTATGGAGCTCGCAACTGTAGAAGGTCATATGAGCGCCGAATTCTTAAATAATCATAACATATATTATGTACCAAGTGAGCACTACAATGTTCTTTATGTGACTCAAAACATGGGAATTATGAGAACAAACATATGTGAGGCATCGTGGTGAAATCAGGCGCTCGTCAAAATAATGAAATCGAAGATATCGGCATTTTTCATCCAATTTGACAATGTTGGTTTTATGGCTCAACAGCTTTTCTTTTATGTCTGTCAATTTAAAAACATAGTTCTGTGTGGATTTTACTGAAAAACATTGATTAAAGGCACAGCAAATGTAAATTTTCAGTTTCCAAGGACTCTCAAGCTTTGGAAATCACCAAACTTCGGCTGCCATTTTCTCACTAATTTTACCACTGAAACCAAGCAATCCCAACCTCCTTCTTTAAATCAAAAGATGGTCAAATGAACAATCTTTAAAATGATACCAATAACTCCAGATGCCCCAAAACTGACAGTGCCTGATTCTACTGCGTCGTGACGCTGCCTCAATACATGTAACTGTTGTATGTCCCAATTTTTACAATAGTTGACCTGACTTGGTATTCTACCTAAATAATTACTGCAGGTGGGGGAGTGGGGGGTTGTTTTTTGTTTTGCATCAACTATAATTTTCAAGTTAGAAAGTTAATAAAACAATATAAATTTAATAGAAGATTATTTCATTTCCACAAAGTTGCCAAAAATGTCGAATTCAAATCTTTGAGTTCTGTTATCTCAAAACATATACAGAACACTGGCAGGAAAAGATGACCATAAGCCATACAGTTAACAGGAGATTTTTGGTTGTGATAAATATTTCATGGCCTCATCTAGATTTAAATTATTAGGGGGGTGGGCTGCCTTGACACTTCTCGTCATGACTAACCCAGGGATACACTCCTGAAGAAAGATGGGTATAATTGGTAACATTTTCCTCAATTGGGAATCAAATTCATAACTTTCATGTGGAAAGTGAACAAGAACCCAACCATTACACCTCAAATGTCAGTCAGCTGAATACATATAGTGCTGTGCCACACATTGTGACCCTAGTCCTTGTGCTGCATGGCTCACAAAACAAAAATAACAAAACATATTCAGGCCTCTTGTTATCACTTCCCTGAATGGGAAATTTGTCAACACTTGTCCACAAGAAGAGAGAGGACAATAGAAACTGTTTTGACAATCAGGTAAATTATATTAAAAACATTTCATGAGGAAGCATCAGTGTGTTCTTATACCTATAATAAGAGTCACGTGTGTTTACGCACATAATGTAGTGTTATGATTCACGGTGACAGCATGCAAGACTTTAAATCCTGCAGGGTTAGCAACTGCACGAAAAATTTGCTGTAAAAACACTATGTTGTACTAGAACAAATGTACATGCCTATCCTCTCAGAAAGAGAACATTCTGAACCTCTGTCTGGTATCTCAATTTCCAACTATTGCCCTTAATCGCTTATTCTTTACATCAAGACAAGGGTGATCGAGTTGTAGGCTCCCACAGCCCTGACTTTGCCGATAGCACATTCTCTCACTGTGTCAGGTCTAATCCTCTGATAGTAGTTACCTGCCAGGTGAGCTCACTGGATACGGCACCACAATCACATGAGAGTTGGGAATGATCGTTGACCAGGAGTGTCGTCGTGGAGACTGGGAAAGGTTGATTTTTTTAAAAAAGTCATTTTGGACCAAAACGAAACATTTAAAAAAATCTTCTGTTGCAACCCCCCCCCCAGCTCTTTCATGTATTCAAGGAGATATGTACGCAAAAATCAATTTCTACGCTAAGAGATTATTATTGATAATCTGATCAAAAATTTAAAAATTTTCAATAAATTTCAGTTTTAGAGACATTTTTAAATGTTACTAGGTAAGTCACGACAAAGTTTCCGACAAAACTTTGAGAAAAGTTTGTATAACAATTTTTTAAAAAGTTTTCAAGAGTAGTGGTGCTTCCTATATGTACAGTCAAACCTGCCCTGACGGCTACCTCTGTAAGACGGCCACCTGTACTAACGGCCACTTTCCATTTCCCCCCTTGTGTTTTTTCTATATAATTTAACTGTATAAAACGGGCACCTGTCCAATGCGGCCACGGCCACCATATTTTAACACGCAACCCCTATCACACTGAGCAATAACACTTGTCTTAGACGGCCACCTTAGTGGCTCCATTACGTTTTGTCATAAATTGTGCATTGGCCCCTGGCGTTGTGGGCTAGCCGTCATAATCCAATCACCTGTCGTTGTTGTTAGGTAGCCCCTCCAACTGATCATGTTGCGTAGGCCCCTCCCACTGTTGACCAATTGCTACCAATTTTCAGCTGCTTGTGAGGTAAGCGTGTGATCCCTCATAACCCATAAGCCCCGCCCAGAACTCATACACAAATCGTAAGTGAGATGAGAGGTCTCTGTTTACCCAGTCTGTAACAAAGTAACAAAGGATGTCAACATGAACTTGTGACAGAAGCGTCGCTTGTTCTCCGAATGGGGCGACCCATGTGTTTGTTTTAACATGGCACTCGGTCTTCCTCGTCTGATACATTTCATTTTATTGTCATCCTTGTGCAAAATCAGCAACAAAATAAAAATTACAAACAAAATACAAACCACCACCACCATCACCAACAACAACAAAAACAACAACAATGCGGCTACTTTCGATTGGGACCTCAGATGGGAATGGTTTGTTTTCTTCATCTTGATCAGTCCTGCCTAAGACGGCCACCTGTCTTATTAGGCCACTTTTCTCCTTGATAATGGGTGGCCGTCTTACACAGGTTTGACTGTATATCATAATTTCTTCAAATTATTTTGGAAATACGAAAAATTTCCTTTGAATGTTATCAAACAATTCAATTAACACACTCTGTAATGTCATGTAACGCATCACTGTCTTAGGTATCCTTTCTGCAAAGCTCTCACCTGCCCGCTTGGATAAGGAATGCCGACTTCTAACTCGTCCACAAAGTTGGGTGTCCTCCCCAAGCCAAACAACATAAACGGCAGTTGAAGGGAAAAGTATGCAGACTGCGTCAGCTGTGATGCTGTGTGGGGAAAGATGACAAAGAATTGAAAACTTAGAAGAAAAAAAAAGCTAACGCAGGCCAATGAATCATTTGCACATTAGTTCAGCAAACAAAAATGGAACAAACTTTGAACAGAAAAGTCTTATCTTACCTGTAAGACATGAGACAGGACACAAATATGTCACATGTGTATTTAACGGTAGCAGATTCTAGTTCACACCCTCCCATTTAGAAAGACCACAGAAAAACTTTAACAATAAAATTGCCCTTGATATTTCACAGTCATTTGTACACAGTGAGCAACTGTAGGAACAAAGAAAATATTCTCAGATCTGAATCTCCAAAAAAGTCACGACTGCAACTCACCTATTCCGATCTGTTCTCCTCCTGAAGGATTGGTACTTTCAAATTTAGCCGTGGGACCCACTTGGTTCACTCCATATGGCTTCAAAAAATAAGACAAGGTGTGAAAGAAATGTAATAAATAAAGTCAATGCAAAATTACAGTATCTCTTAATGCAGAAAAGCAGCCCTTACTTCTTGACTTCATAAGAAAAACACAAACAAGGTTTACAGTTTTCAAATGCAAAACAGATGTTACACATTGCATAGCTCACAATCAACTTTTTGTCGAACTAAAAACAACAAGCATAATAGAAAACAAAAGTAAATATTTTCATAACATTCTTTCTTCGCCCCAGTGAACTTTTCAACACAAGCTTCCAGAATTTACCGCCACCCAAACATGTAGAATAAAATTTTATAGCAGCCGCAGTTGAAGAGGAGCTTAAAAGACAGGTCCACACAGATGTAGGCTGTGGGAACAGAATAGACCTACGTCAGAAACAGGTGGGGATGATTAATAAATGTCTCTACAGGTGATGTAAAATTTTATGGTTACATTCATTGCCTTGTCACACAGAATAGATATGGGCTTAACTCCCACAAGGAAAAGGAATTTTTATATAGTTTCTTCGCCTTTCCACTGGAGTACAGCCCAAGATGGCTCTAACAGTTAAGACACCCCATGTCCTAAACGAATTAAACTGAGATGAGGGAGGTAGCCTATATAAACAATTACAATCACTACCATCATTATGTTGGTTTATTTTTCTTTGGGAGTGATATGGGTCAATAAATATGTGAACAGCAGAAGTTGAGGATGCCATTTCAACCTCCAACATACCGCCCAAAAATTGAGCATCAATTAAGGCATCTGACTCACCTGGTGGTCATTGGGACAGTCGCTGTGACAAAGTCCACTCACCACTGAGGAGCAACAAGGAAAAAACGTGAAAAAAAAATATCCACCCCAGCTCTAATACTAATAGAAACCAACATTCAAATAATGTTAACTGTGACAAACTTCTATAAGTTATAAGCATGTTTCTTTGAAAGATAACACATAAATGCTTTCTCACTCTTTACAAATAACTTCTAACATTCTAGAGTACATTTCTGGAAATGGAAAAAGTAAACAATTCAGCAATACATCAGCACTATAAATGCCCTCACACTGTCACAAGAAAAGAGTAGTAGTCCAGTATCCAAGACTGCTATGTTTGTATTTCTTTTAACCATTACATTTAGTGTGCCTGAAAAGCATATTACCACTTTTTGGGAATACAATAATCAGCAGAACACTTATCTTGTGCTCAGAAATCTTTCATCCTTGGGGGCTTCTGCATGCGTTTCTCGAGAGATGATTAGATCGCTCACTTTCTATTTTTATAGTATGCCATCTATTCAAAACTTGATATAATTAATTTGCTCGAGTAAACTTTGTAAGTAATCAATAAAAACAAAATGTGTGGGTACCTAACACTTTGAGGAAACTGGCATCTCCATTGAAGTCTTGCTCAATGGCCCTGATAAAGACTCTGTTATCCCCAGTGACCTCGGATAGCAAAATGTCAAGAGCACCCTGCAAAAAAAAGGTGAAAGCAACATCACAAAACTACTATGTGTTAGGAATTCCACTTAGTTTACGTACTTTGTAACTAAGGACAGACGAATGAGATAATTTTTTATTCACAGATAATCCACTGCCAGTGTATCAGTAATTGCTCCTCTCTTTTCCAGTGCTATTGTTTTCTCCTCATCCTTATCTTTCTTTTTGTAGTATAAATCTTAGTCTCATGGAAGTTGATTAGACATCATCAGAGATGCAACGGTAATAAAAATACTAACTGTATGTGTTAGGTACCAGAAACTAAATTTTCAAAGTAGCTGTATGCCAAATTTATCTGTTCCATTTGAAAGGCCTATATCCACTGAGCATTATTTTTACCATTTTTTAACCTCTCCGTCAATTTTTAAGAAAATGGTAGTTGTTTAAAATTTGATCAAATTTGTTAAAGTCAGTCACTGGCTGCAACCCCATTTTTGACAGACAATAAGGGAGTACCAAGTGCACTAAACATCTCCATATTAACAGAGTACAATCACTATAACAAATATGTGGAGCCTAATTTTTTTAAAGACTGTGAGATCATTACAAATCAATATTTTATCGGCTCAAACACGATGATCTGTCGTTATTTCGACAAAAACACCGAGCGTTGACCCGGCCGGACCGGCCCCCGCGGCGAGTGAGTCGGCTCTATACTGTAGTGTACCCCGTGTGCCGGGTCACATGCTTTCTGAGTCTCGCAGAAGGATTGATGAAAAATAATTCCAACCTGATTACTTTATTCTAATAGGAAATGAACTGATCTTTTAATTGATACCTTGTTTAAGCCTGTATTTTACATATTTTGTGTAAAAAGTGATTTTTAAACATTTTGACAGTATTTTTAAAAGCTTTCTATTTAAACGCCAAAGGCCAAATATATACCACGGAAAAGCCTGTTTAAAGCTCTACAGTTCGCCAATGAAAAGACGGTATTTAATCATCCTTCGTTCTGCGAAGCATTTGAAAGCACGCACGTCAATTTTTTAATCGGCCGACCGCGCATTCCGACCGCGAGGGGCTTCGCTTTCGTCGGCAATTCTCCAGCTCCTAATAATCAGAAATATCAACAACTTACACTATTGTAACAAGGAAAATCTGAACTTTTACAAGGTGTACGGCATTTGGTGTTTTATAGCGAAACAGCAAAGAAACAGCGATCGGAATTACCCCGATTTCACCGATACCACACCTTCGGAAGGCCGTGAGTGCCCGCGAGGCCGTGTTTACGCTACCTCTATGTATAGAGAGCATAACCATGCTCTGAGTGCTTTACAACTATTCAAAATGGAACACTATTGTTACTACAATGGGAAAAGGAACACAACATAGATCTGTGGCAGACCTAGCATCCATTGCCTACTTTTCACTTAATCATTTCTCCCCAGTGCAAGACTTACCACCCCATGGGGAGACAATGTGAAGATTGGGTGCCGGACTATGGTCACGTTATGTCACTGATTGGAAAACACCACAGTGTACCCAGCTTCTCTCTTCCAACTTCTCAAAACATGACAGACACCTAAAGCCTGCTGGATTGAGCACAGCATAAAAAGCAATGTAAAAGCTAGCCCATTAGGAAAAACAAAAAAGCTCCACTTACATTCTCCATGAGGTCAAAAAATGCTGCAATGACGGGTTTATGCTTATGTAGAGGTTGACCGTAGTCTATGGAGAGAGTTCGGGAAAATCCTTCACATTTGTCTGTCCCACACCTCTCGTTATACATTAGGAATGATGACATATTAGTGCTCCTGAAATAACAAAACAATATCAAATAAAATGCTGATGAATGGTTGGGCCTGTTAGACTTACATTACAACCCAGAGAACCAAATAGGTCTATATCTCAAACAATTTACTCAACAAATTAAAAAAGGGAACTTGAAACTCCAGGAACAAGCTGTCTCCATTGATAAAGCTTGAAAATTAACTTCTCTACACTTTGAATCAAACTGGAAGCTAGAAATGGTCTGACAATTAAATAAGAGCCTTCCCTGCTCTCTCTCTCTCCCCCTTCAATTTTCTGAAATAGGTTAGAAACATCAAATATGAGGAAAATGGAGCCTTGCCAATATGTCTGCAAACTTTTATGCATTATTATACTATTATACATACAGAAGATGCATACAACCCATAAACCACAACATGGCTAGCTTTGTTAACTATTATCATAAATTAATCCATACTAGACATCAGTTTCTAGGATTGGGATCACAAAATTTAATTCCCAAATCAAAGTCTTGTTTCCCTTAAAATCAATGGCTTGGACGACTGCAAAGCTATCCCTTTGCTAACCTGTTCATTTCAGTTTACCATCTCAGACCTCGTCAAGGATACATCATGTTAGGAACCCAAACACTGTCATTTACATCTTTCAATCCCCCTTGAGTTTTAACCTGTTTTCAGTTCAGTGAACAATTGAAATCATTCTCCAAGGACACAACACCCTACCTTGCCAAACCACAGATACATACATTATGATGCAGTGTGTTCAGAGTCACACGTGACACCCCCCCCCACCCAAAGTAAAAACACTGAAATACCCCGCATGCGTTTCTTTCAGCACTGCGACTGCATCGGGATATCCATCATGGTTAAAATCACCCATCCTCAGCATGATGGGCAGGGAGAGCCAAGAGGTGGGGTTGATAGTTTTCTCAAATGAGGTTTGGTGATTTTCGTCCGGCTTGAAGTTAACGTCCAACCGATGCCACTTGCCCCCACTGGCGCCTTCTGTGTACTGAGTGAAAGAAAAGATGACTCTGTCAATCCTCGAAAGAAGACCTGTTCCACAATGACATTCACTAACACCCCCCCCCCCCCCCTCATTCTCCTCTTAAAATGATTATACATTCTTTAATTCTTGAACTCCCACAAATGCTACTTAGATCATTTAGGAGGCAGGCACAAGCAGCAAACCAAAAAAATTGTAGTGCAATTATAAATGTTAAGTGCCCCTATCAACAAAATTTAGATCACTTAGGGGGAGGGCTACTTTGACCCTGCCTAGCAGTGCCAGACCTTGCTGAGAGCTATACAACATCCCAGGAGAGATATATGTTTAAAAAAACCCTCCCAACTTGGGAATAAAACTCCCACCTTCTGCATGCAATAGTAAAGAATCTAACCACCATTCCACAGATGCTGATAAAAAAAAAAAAAACAACAATAAAAACTTACTTTATTGTTGGTCCACACAAATATGGCAGCTTCTTTGCACTCTTCATCTAGGCATCCAGGCAGGACGATGTTCGTCTCATGATTACCGTCTGATGGAACAAACAACATCAATTTATCAAAATGATAAAGCGCAAAAAAAAATATTCAGATAAGTATCTGATTGACTTTGATAATGTCTTAACTGAAACTGCATCTCATGATCTACTAGAGGCCTTGTCATCTTTATGGGCAGTCTGTAAAAAATTGTTGAATCAGTCTCTATTCAAACCCTGACTTATATAAAATCCTAGCCTTACTTAGTTATTTACACACTTTTACTACAGACTGAAAATTCACTGAGCTAAAACATGTTTAATGTCTAATATCAGTAAAAATTTTATAGAAAAAATAGACAGAACATACCAAGTTCAGATTCAAGTATGGTACAGTCAAAACTTTCTAAGACAGCCACCCATTATCGAGGAGAAAAGCGGTTGTCTTAAATAGGTGGACATCTTGGGACGTGTTATTATGATTCTTTGAAAATGCAAAGGGGAAATGAGAAATGGTTCTTAGTACAGGTGATCGACTTGGACAGGTGGCTGATTTTGCCTGTACACATTACCAGTTAGAAAGCAACTACACAACAGGAAAATGCCCACCTTTACACAAACACACTGATATTGTGTACACACATTACCGGTTAGAGCACAACTACACACTAGGAAAACAACCATTTACTGAATATATCAAACAATTAGGGACCTGTCAATTTTGTGACTTCACAATGGAGAAATGTTGAAAGGTGATAACTTTTTATCGCACACCTTAACATCACATTTAGTCCTGAATAATAAAACAAATGAAAAGCTTATGAAAATACAGAAGCTGGTGAGGATAACTTGTTAACTTGTACAGACTTTAAAAAAATCAATGCTTTACCAGAAGCTTAATTTCAAAATGTCCTGCTTTTTTCAGTATCATAGAAAATAAATGTGAACTTTGAGCAAATGATGAAGCATGCCATTTTAACAATTGGGTGACTTCTGTGACCTGACCATTATATTCAATTGAAATCCTAAGATATGTGAGAGGTGATAACTAGTAAGTTCTACACATTCATCACTTACTGAAGTCAACAAATGATGCTTGGCCAACATGCTTCAACGAAGCAGGTGCAGAAATGCTTTTCACCCATGTCAAGTTTCCTGCCTGAAACATACAAAAGCTATCATCAGAAAGTTAACTAAAAACATAACAATACACAAAATAGTGAGTCCAGAACAATTAACAATTCCTCATTAAGCAACAAGGAACTAAGTTTAAAAGTAGACTATTTACCTATTTTTATACTATTCCATTTTTTTTATCAGCTTAACAAAAAGCATATATATGAAAGCATATGAAAAAAGAAAATGGCAAACATAGCTTTTTAGATACTGCAAAATCGTGCCTTTCATAAAATACAAAAGCAATTCAGTTTCTCTTTTCAGCCACTGGAGCTACTGTCTAATTAACCTTGTGCATAACCTAATGCAGTAATCAAACATTATATTTGACCACAATTAAATGATTTTACATTATAAACTCAAAACTGAAAGTTGTGAACAAATAATAAATTATCGTTTACTTACAAGATGGCGGTATAAACAGAGCACACTGGAGGCTCTCATGGCCTAGAGGTTAAGCTGTTCGCCTCTCATTCAAATGTCCCAGGTTCGAATCCGGGTAGCGACCGAAAAATTTTCTCCTTTCACCTCTTTCCCTACTCTCTAGCAATATTCTGTCATCTGCTTTCTTCTCCACTTTCTGCCCCCACCCCCTCATCTTCTTTGCCCCTTCCTCTGATTCCCGACTCTTTCTGCAGTCTTTCTACTGCTACTTCTTGGCTCCTTCTGACAGCTGTCTTTCAGCCACACCCAAAAATTCAAAATTCCCTACCAACTGAAAATGTTTAATGTGGCCCTCGTGCTCATATGACCTTATGCAGTTGTGAGCGCCGTAAAACAATTACCAAACCCCCCCCCCCC